CGTCCCTCTCCGGACCATCCATTTGAGCTTCGTGCCGGATGAAGAGATCGGCGGCGTAGAGGGCATGGGTGAGCTCTTGAAGACCCCCGAGTTTTGTCTGCAGTTGCTGCCTGCACACCTGGCTTCTGGGCGTTTGCAGGACGGTGAAAATGTGGGGCCTCTTGTGAAACCCTGCCAGACCGATCACCTGCCCAGGAATTCAATGCTCTGGGCGAAATTGGGTTGGCACTGGACGAGGTCAACTCGGGGAAGGGTCTGGGCTGTGCAGCGACGCAGACGAGCTGAGAGTCCATGCTCTCGCTCAACAGCCAATCGTCGTCATATGCGTGCTGCACAATTTCTCAAAGAACCGTTACTTTAGTGCTCACTAATTAGCTGGCTCTTTCAACATGCCAGTTATTCGGCTGCTCCTACGAGGACGACTGCTGCTGCTGCAACTGCTGCTGCTACTAATACTGCTGCTGCTGCTGCTGCTGCAACAACAACAACTACTACAACTCCTACTACGACGACGACGATGAAGACGACGAAAAAGACGACGACTAGCACTCCTACACCACGATGTAATGGCTATGTACCGTTGCTGTTGACGTTAGTACTTCTTTGTCGTTGTATTATTCTTGTGTTGTGTTGTTATTTCTTCTTCTTGTTGCTGCTGCTGCTGCTGTTCTCGTCCTCGTCCTGGTTCTCGTTCTGGTTGTTGTTCTGGTTGTTGTTATTGCTCATGTTCTTGTTGTCGTTGCTGCCCTTGCTGTAGTGACAGAATTGGGAGGAGGCAGGTGGGCAGGCCGGCAGGTAGGCAGGTAGGTGGGTAGGAAGGCAAGAAAGGAGGTGGGTAGGTAAGTTGGTGCACACACTGTGCATGGTTGACATTCGTCTATCAATGACACGTCATTGCAGGGTCTCTCCAACCCCGGAGACGCCTTCACAGTGTAGCCTTGCTGCAAGCAGGTCGTCAGAGGAAGGTTTTCAGGATCGGCTGAGGTCCAGTCGGGGTTCAACGTCGACTCCGAGCCTGTGATTCGCCGAGGTTCTACGGTGAGAGAACTCCTTGGTGGTTGCTGGTGCGAGCGACCGGACCGACAGGCCTAACGGGAAGTGGCAGCCGTTCTCAATGCGAGTCGTGAAGAACACGGTCGGGGGGGTCTGTTTCTCTCTCTAGTGCCCCAGTCGTTACGTTCAGCTTCTTTGAGGACATGGTAGCCGGTTTATCAAGAACACGGCGCCACAGCTCCTTGTCTGCAATGCCGCTCTCCTCTGACCATCTGTGAATTCTTTAGCATTGCAGGTCGCTCTTGTTTGCGGTGTCGCGGATGATAGGCTAGCTCTGCCTCCAGTCTTGACGCAAGCCAGCCCGGCCAGAAGGCTAAGACAGCGCGGGCGGAATCCCTTTCTCCGCTCCTGCTGCTCCTGCTGTTCGAAAAGTCCCAGGAAGCTCCTGCGCTTCGCGGAGCGCGCGCTCGCCTTTCGCAAGGCCCAGGCAAGCCAGGGAAGGGCAGATGGGGCCGGAAACGGTTCGGGGTCGGAGCACCGAAGAAGACTTCAGGAGGATTCTTTGGGCCACGGGAGCAACGGCTGCAAGCATGGAACAGCCTGCCTCCCAGACATTCCTGCATAATCGACTGTCCGCTGCACGCTCGCGGAGTCAGAGGTGTCACGATGGAGCTAGGTGTGCGCATGTTCGGCAACTATGCGCAATGAATGCGGTGTGAGATGTATCAGTCGCAGACATCCTAAACTCTGACTGCTCTGGGTTTATTAACGTAGCTAAGGCTCAAGCTATCCTTCCAGTGCCTTGCTGCAACATGCTGCAACAAACTTCACTGAGGCCAAGAAATTGGGTGCCGTGCCAAGATTTCTGCTTCGTCGTCTTAAGCTCGCTGCTTTCGATTTGGTCTGCAGCGGTGGTTCAGCTGGCTGGGACTGCTCCAGCTTGCCAGTCGTCGGTCTGAAGTCGATTTTCTCAGCGCTTTCTGAAGAGACAGGGTCGACCGGCCCTCGTCGCTTCACTTCATGCTCTGCTCTGGTGTTGCAAAACCGCCACATTTGAGCTTCTGCAAGGTGATGTCACAACCGTGAACTTGACGATGCTCCGATGTGGTGTGAGCAATGACAACGGGAAGACTTTCTGCCGCTCTGCCTGCTTCAGCCCTCACCGGCCGTGAGCCCGTCGCTGTACGTCGAGGCCTCAACGTGATCCCCACGGAGGCGGAAGCAGGTTTCGACGTTCGCATCACGCCTGACCTGAAGCCCAAGGCCGGAAGGGGAGGGCGTGCGCTTTTTCTTGTTCGGACTCCGCAGGATGGCGCCAACTCTCGAACGTGAACGATTGTTCTATATTCGATTGTTGTATATATGTTCTTCGACTAATCACGAAATCCCAACCAACGTCTGCCTCCTCACTGAACACGCTCAGCTGTACTCACAGCCAGGGAATCAATTTAGGGAGTTGGGAGGCAAAGGGATCAGGTTGGCAGGGCCTGGACGTGTAGTTAGCTTAGCCCAACTCCAACAACTACCGACTTAGGCTTGTGGGAGCCGTATGAAAGGAGAAGTCCCCCCCCTCACACCCGACGGATCCACGTGAGCAGAGCATGTGACATGAACAGCCGCCCGGGCTCGGAAGAGTCCACGCAGAGCCAAGTGAAGCGAGAACTGCGACTGAACTCACGCGAGGGCATCGCTGCAGAAAATCTCAGATGCGAGTGACTATCTTCTGTCGGTGCACGGAACAAGTCAAAGAGGACTTCAAGAACTTGCTGGACCAGTGGTGCAAGGAGGACGAAGGTGCCTGAGCAAGCAAGATTGGGATTGGAAGGGTTTACAAGACGCACGGTGGTCGCAGCTGGTGGTACGCAGTCAGCAACGTGGTTATGCCGGGGTTCTGCTAGTGACGCTTCGGTATGTTCCGTATAGCTGTAGTATAGCTGTATGTCACGACGTGGCTGTAGCTTGATTTAATACATTCGATGTTGGAGAAGAACATGACAGCTGCGATGCTTGATGCTTGCAGGATTCGAAGATGCTACCCCTAGCCCCCACAAGCCATCATGTCAACACTTCGATAGGCGTCACCGTCGGACTTCTTTTCCCACTTCCTTGAACGCATCCATCCCAGGTATCACTTGGCAGATCGCACCGTGGACAAGAGCTCTTCACGAGCACCACATTACTGCTTCTCGGGCCGCAAGTCAACAGGAAAGTGTGACAATGACGTATCTCAGAGCCGCAGGCAGACGGAGACCGAGCAACGATTATCCTGACATGCGAAGGGCTACCCAAGAAGGTGCCTGCAGCGACCCAGCACCTAACTTGGAAGAGAAGGCCCAAAATCCAGCTCATCCCCTGCGGCTGCACTTTGGAAGCCCGGCAGTCTCTGAACAAACCCGTCTGTTGGATTCTGGGTTGTCTGTAGCATGTCCCGAAACTTCAGAACCTTGAGCACACTCTGCTCGGTCGTCGATCGTCATTGCTCGATCCGGCCCAGAGCCTCGACGGCTACCAATTTGAGAACAGCCGAAGGCAAACATACTGCAAACAGCGTGCCAGCCAAGCTCACAGAAAAGGCTCCAGACGAGTCGAATCCCTGGTGGGTGGCTTTTCGCACCCTGGGCTGCACATCAGCTGTGGTGTCAGGGTCCCGAGGTGTACCTGAAAATACTGTCTCCCTCACCGGACTCATGCTGAGGCAACAGGAGAGTACTTACACAGCTGTATGTCCTTGGAAGAGCGAGGCATCAGTCGCGTGTGGACCATGACTGTTCCTGCCACACCGCACTGATGATACTGATGTCTCTCGCGATGGTCCAATCAGACAAGGTGTCCGCTTGGTGCATACACCGCTGCCTTAGGTTTGCATGGCGTCTTTTCAGTTTGTCCGGAGCGACCTGTCGTCTGAGGCGATGCCATGTCGTCGATGTCCTTTGACATTGAGCCGGAGGCCAGCAGCGCACTTCCTCTAAGCTCCCTGAACCCCACAGCCAGCTCTCGACCTTCCGCGGGGGCGTTTCATCCTGGGAGGTGTTTCCGGCTGCCACAGACTCTCGCTTTCTGCGTGAGTTGGGAATCCCGGCCTTGGGCTTCTCGCCGATGAGGCCACAAGCCGTCTGCGCAGCCGAATGTGCCCAGCATGGGCAGTGCCGTCAGTGCTCTTCGGCTGTGTCTGCACACTGCACACTGCTTCGGGCCCACGGTGCAGAGTGTCGTTGCATTACACCCGTTTGAGGATTTAATGCCTCGCTTCGGAGATCTGCAAGACTGTTGCTCCGCTCGCGCTTACTTTCAGAGTGCTGTTGCGAAGCTTCCCATTGGGACGACTGCCTTACTACTGCATGTGCATGTTCGCTAACATCGCCTCCTACAGACTACATTTGTCATCGCTGGGTTTGCTTCAACTGCTCGATATCGGAGCACCAGCTGAATCTCAGCAGCATCGCTTGATCGGTAAGGATTGGGTCGCGAGTGCTGTGTTTGCAAGGCCCCCTCAGAAAGACCTCGCAAACTAGCAGACAGAACGCGGAGTTGTGTTCGGTTTGGGAAAGGCGCAGAGAGGCCATCCTGACCGTGCGCAGGCGCTGCCCGATCTTGCTGCATGAGCATAATGAGTACCTTCCGGTGGACGTCTTCATGTCAGGCACGGCACAGCGAGCTTGCAGTGCGCTGTGTGTGGCAATAGCCGGCGTTGGTGGTTGCAGTCTACACCATTGCATGCCGTAATCCAGGCCATCTGTGTGCAGTCAGGACACCCTGCCAGTGTTTTGCCGTTTCTTTTGGTGCTGTTTGCTTGGGAAACCCATGTTCTGACACGCAGAACCTGTGCTTTCAGCAACGAGCTGATGCTTCTTTTTTGTCAGATTCCATTACATCTTGTTTGCGTGGCTGTCTGTTACAACCTGCATTGTGTCTCCCGGGAATGCTTGTTGCTTTCTGCTTTTGGTTTGGGCTTTCAGTTGGAAGATAGGGTTTGTGTTGTGGCTTCAGTCAAACATGTTATTGGAGCAATGGCTCTCGAGATCTACGCTGAAGAGCAGGGGGCCAGGAAGACATTTCAAGCAGTTCTACAAGTAATTTCCTACATTGCCCGCGTTGCGATGATGGCAACGCTTCCGGTGTTCTGTCGGGAATCCGAGTACTGGCGGCAGGAGGTAGAAGGACTGGAGCTGGATCTGATTAGTCGGGTTGCGGTGCTGCGACTAGCGAGCAGAGCTCCAGGCATCGACGTCTATGTCGGCCTCATTGATGCGCTGGCATCCAAGCAAAAGCTTCAAGGCGAGGATGAGGCTGGACGGAAGCTAAGCTGTGTCGGCGCAGACTGTGTCACCGATCCGACATGTTCGCCACAATGCATGTTTGGGATCTAAAGAGTCAGCGTGAGACAGAGGGGCAAGATGAGAAACCAGGGGAAAGCACGCGATGAGTTCCAGGCTGCTGCAGGAGTTGTTCTGATCAGCTGCGTTTTGGCTTCAAAGTTCAAAGTGAAGTTATCGCCTGCCCCTGCTCCCTGTTGCCATGGTGACTCGCGGCTTCAAGGAGTAAAGGCCTGCGGGCCCCGGATGGCAGAGCCCCGATTGATCCCGAAGATGGTAGGGTTCAGAGATTTAGCCAATTGAGCTTCCCCACCCCTTGCTCTGTCATCTGGCGGCAGCGGCGGCCGGGATACAAACAACTGGGCATCGCAGAGACTTGCTCATCAGAGTTTTCCATGTTACGACTGTTGGAGATGATGAACTTGCTTTGCCGGTGTTCGACACTTCAGGTTTGAGAAGGTTTGCGGTTTCGGCATGTCTCGTCGTTACCATGGGCAGCCCGGGTGTTGCGGTAACTGCATTAGTGTCCAGCACCTCAGCACCGACAAGACTAAGTACAAGGTCAAGCCGGGAACCCGAAAACCCAGGCGAAAAGAAGACTGCCAGAATGGAAGTCCGCACGTTTTTTTCTCACGTCCCGCAATCTTCGAGCTGCGGCAGCGGCTGCGGTCGCCTCCTGAACACCCAAACACCCAGGCCCAAGCTCCGGCCGTCCCGCGCGCACCGCCCGCACACCCGATATCACGCTTCCCCCAAGCTCCGCGGCAGTCCCGCACGCACCGCCAGCGCACCCGATATCGCGCTACCCCCACATGCAAGCTCCGGCCGTCCCGCGCACCGCCCGCGCACCCGATATCGCGCTTCCCCCAAGCTCCGGCCGTCCCCCGCGCACCGCCCGCGCACCCGACATCGCGCTTCCCCCAAGCTCCGGCTGTCCCGCGCGCACCGCCCAACCCTTCCCCGCGCAGCCGCCAAGCCTTAACCCTCCGCCGCGCAGCCAGCCGCCAAGCCTTGCCCTCCCCACACGCAGTCGTTAAGTCTTGCCCTCCCCCACACACCATCCGCACCTTGTCCCCGCCCTCCCGGCCCTCCACCGCGTACCGTCCGCGCACCCGATCCGCGCACCCGACATCAAGGCCCGTGCACCGCTTAGTCTTCTAAAGCTCTTCCGTCAAAACAGGGCCCGATATCGCGCACCTCGCGTTGGAGCACTAAACGAGAACCCAACCCCAGAGGGGTTTTCGGGAAAAACAGTTGTGTTGCATTCCCAGTCAGGCCCCACCAGCTCAAAAGAGAAGTACGCATAACGATGATGCAAGCACAAGCGCGAAGGTATTGGTGCTCACAAATTCTGCAACCATACTGACAAACACGCATCTGATATGAGTCCAGTGGAACTGGAAGCAGAAACTGAACAACCACCAACAAACACACGAAGCTAAACGCGCCACCACTACACCAAGCACCAAAAACCCACGCAAGAACAAACACGCAGAAAGGTAACAGCAAGATGCAATCCACCGGCCAAAGAAAGACGTTGCAACAGCTAGTTGCAGCTAGTTCGTGTAAAGAAAAATTTCACCGACCTGCAGGAGTGGCTATACCTTACATGCAGCAACAAGAAGCGACTGCATTGGTCCAGATCAAACCCAGCAGTGGGTGGAGGTGGAGCAGTTTGCAACACAACCCAGACCACGTTCCATGCACAGACGTGTTACCTCACACAGCCCTTTCGCACAGCAGCACCAGCAACGCCGGACAGTTTGTTCTATCATCACCAAATACAGTACCACTCCGAACTAGTGGTAAAAGCAAGGCCAACGGAAAAGATCCACGAGATGCGCAGCACGCAGAATTAGGCATAACCCAAGCGCTATCGTGTCTAAGAGCACTGACATGAGCAACATCAAACACAATATCCGCACGACAGATCAGGAACTACTGTAAACGACATTAGGGCAAACCTACCACTTCTTTCCACATGCACCCACGTCTATCAAAGCTCATCATCTGCCTTCCGACAGGGCGAAACAGGCACTCGCAGCACAGAACAACATAAGCAAAGACGAGAAACGTGCATAATGCCCGCACAGTATTGCAGTAGAAGGCGTCAATGCAAAGCATTGCAAGAAGTCACAACCATGTCGAAACGGAAAGATCCCTTCGAATCCCGCACCAAGCAGAGCAATTTAGAGGAACAGCGCACACGCAGGTCACAGAGCCCCACAACGAATTCAAAACGCTCAGCCATACAGTCAGCCCGCATAATTACGTCAGCAGAATCCTGAACCACGTGCAACATGTGAATTCGGCATCCACGGAAATTCCGCTGTGCAAGCTCTTGCACCGATCTTAGCGCAGGACGTGCAGCGTGGCTCCAAGCCAAAGGCCTTGTTTTGGCATTCATGGGTTCAGGCATTTCCGATATCGAGCTTTGGGGTTTGGTTTTCGGTTTCGGATCGTGCCTCGCACTCACTTACCGATCGATGGGTCAGCTCATAGCGGTTCACGGAAGCTCTTTATTTGGTTCGTGATTCAGTCCACGGTGTCAATCGTTCGGCCGCGGTTGGGAACATGGGCCCACGTGGGTGAGGCCCAGGTGTTGTGTGTATGCCCGTGGGAGTAGAGATCTGAATCATCATGAAGCAGAACGAACGCACCTGAACCCGTGAGAAGCCCATAAGCCAGCTAAGATCGGAAATAGACGGGTTCAAGGCAGCATGTGCAGATCACAAGCTCCGCACTAGATAGGTCACGGTGCTGGAAACGCGCAACGGCGCAAACTCTGTGAACATCAACGGGCTAGACGGAAGGGCGCAGTTGGTGCCCTAACGGAAGCCAAAGACGAGCCCTGGGAGACAAACCTTCGAATAACCCAGACCGCTTGACCCACATCGTGCAGGGATTCGGATCTTCTGCGCCGCGATTCGTTGCAAAGGCTTCGGAAGTGCCAGGCTGGACTTGGGATTCCTGTGTAATAACAACAACGACTATTCGGAGAATGTTTTGTTTGGAGGATGGAGTGGGGGCAGAGTACGAGTCAATCAGCTCGATGTTTTTTCGCCAAATTTTCCGTGATGAGCAGAACTTGCAAAACTTTCAAGCAGTAATGCATCTATTAGATCGTATTAAGTTACAGTGGCTGGCGAGCTTGCAGATTCCCGGTCACGGCGCAGCATTGAACCTATGTTTGACAAGCCCCGCACCTTGCGCCTCGGAGCCGAAATCACACACCTCCACGCCCGACTTGTCCAAGCAAACCGGAAACGGTAAATGCGAGCCAGAAACCCTGAACCTGAAGCCGCGGCAGCAAAACCCAGACACTAACACCGGATGGCACGGAAGACCAAAGTTGATGTGCCGGAAACGACATCCTTAACCTACGCCCTGAGTCGCATGCGGGTTCTAACCAACCTCGAAGCCCAAATCCCAGTGGGCCACGAAGCTGCAACCGGCAAGGACCCGGCTCTTACAAATTGCCGAGGCCAGGGCTTCCAAAAGACTCAAAGGGGTTTGGTCGGGTGCTGCGTTGTTGAGGCTGGTGCTGGTTCAGATTTGTTTTGGAGTTTCTATGTGCATGAGCTCGCGGGTATGGATTTCAGTGCTTCGATGCTTCGGCACAAAAAAGTTTTGAAGACTAAATCTGCGAAATCGCACGAAAGGTTTGCCTGGTTGTCAAGAGTTATAGAAGCAAGTCTTGCGGCAGCTGAAGCAGTTGCTTGCTAGTGTTTTGTGGTATGAGGTTGCGGTTGTGGGGATTAGGGGTCAGGCTGACGGCTTTGCTGATCTGCTTCGGATCTTGGATAGTCTTTCTAGTACGTAAGAAGCGTGTGATGTTTTGGAGTTTGGAGGTAGGATGTGTCAGTATGTCGGGGATCTCATGGCTTAGGTGACACAGTCAGCGTTTTCTGGAACATAATTACATCAGAGCACTCTCAGGGTATCGAGGCACGGCCGGGGCTGAAGGTTCAGCAAAGTCACCCCAACAGCCCGCAGTCCCTTTGTTTATTATCAGATCTTCAAACTCGAGCCTGCAATCCCAAACCTTCTGAACACACCATGGGACCCATCGTGCAAAGAACCCCATGCCCTGAAATGTTAAAGCTACACCGAAAGCAGGCTCTTCGATGCTCCAAGCCGTGTGCCACCCCATGAAACATTCAAGGGTGTTTCGGGAAGGTACCTCCTTTTGGAATCCGATTGTGAGGTTCATAACTGTTCTAGAGATTCCACACGAAGCTCCCTATGTCACAAAAGACTTTAATTTATGTCCGGGTGTGGAGAAGCGATTTTTTGTGATTATGGGGCGCGTCATGGGGTGAAGCCGGGAGGGTTTGGTTTCGGGTTCAGGGCCAGAAACTTGGCATCCAAAAGCATCTCCCCGACGCCCAGCTTCGGATGTGCTTCTAGCAAGCCTGATGGTTTTCGTCGTTCTTACATGCAGGCTTATGCAAACTTATGCTCTCACGCTGTCTGGCTGAACGTCCACAGCTGTTAGCTATGTTGCCGAATTGTGAAGTGTTAGGTCCACCTTTCAGATGGTCGGGGGGAACCTGTGGGCTTGGACTTGCGGCCTGCAGAGGTGTGCCAAGTTTCGGTATTCAGGTTTGCAGAGCAGCTCTGTGGCTGCTTGACATCACTCAGGTGATGAAACGGACGCAAAAGCTGCCAGCTTACTTCGAGGATGGGAGAGGGATTAAACAAGGTATTTCCTGTTGTGATCCCGTCCACGTTTCCGCACCCTGAGCCATATAGACCTGGAGATACCGGCAATCAGCTGTGGAAGGAGGAGCTGACTAGGTCACCACCGGCTGTTCGTTCTAAGCAGATAGCTTCCGAAGTTGCATCACAACATTTCAGCATCAGCTCCTCACCGGCAGGAGCCCGGCGACAACATCGAGCTGGCCCCGCTCGGGTCCAAGACTTCTCTGAAGTCAGGAGTTTCCAGTCTTGGCCGGCTCAAGAGTCAAAGAGCGTCCAGGGTTTCTGGATATACCAAGTTCTCCGTCAGCAACCGAACGACTCTCCTAAGTTGCGCTGCACAGACCACATGCGTCAGGTTGCAAAAGGTCATCACCGAGGACGCTTCTTTGAAAGCTGGTTTGACTGTGGTGGTCTGCAGTGCTGATCCATGGGTTTGAGATTGATAGATGCGATGTCGAAGGTCGAGCAAACATTATGAGGCTTAAAAATCAGATACATGCGTTTGCTGACAGTTCTGAGCATTTCGTTGGACGTACGGGCATAGCAAGGGCGACCCCTCATCAACAAACTTTAGTGTTTGTTGGGCGTCCAGCCCACGTGCTGCGCATGGCTTCCTGTGCAGGCTTTGCCCTTGGAGCTCGACTTCAATTTGTCTTTGCATGGTCTCCAAGCCGATTCCATTACATTATGTTACGTTTCCCAGCATGACGGACCCTGAAAGGCAAGATCCAGACCGACAGCCCGAAACCCTGAGCCCAGCCCAAGTCGACGAAAACTTGGCTTGCCAATAAGCTTTGGATCTACGCAGAATAAGCCACAAGCAAGGTTGAATATCTGACATCCTGCAGTCTGATACATATGTTGAGAATCGTGCATTTTTCCTCCTTACGAGCTAACCAACCGAATCATGGAAGGACGGCCCGGACAACACGGACTGGGAGGCAACGCTGGTGCGGAGAGGGGGATCGAAGAAGTTGCGACGCGAATCTTGTGAGAGTTTATCTGGGAGTTTCCGCAAACTAGGGGCACCTAATTTTGGGGTCCTTATAAGAAGGATCCTACTATTCAGGGTACTATATTAGGGTCCCCTATTTCCGATAAATTCCCATCTCAGTGTCGGGATGCTAGCTTTTTGGAACTGAGGCCTAGCAGCGGTCACAGCCTTCCACGGATGTTGAAGGATTGTTTGAGCATTCAGGTGGTTGTCTTGTCCATGCCCGTGGTTGAGCCGTTTAGTGTCCAGCCGTCGTCCTGCTTGAAGATTTGTAGTTCCCAGCTCCTCGGTTTCGACCGCTTCCACTTTCTGCGGCTGGACCTTTCAGCGTTCGGCTCCTGGTTTCGAATGTTTTTTTTGTTCTGCTCTTCCGGCTATTTCTTTGGCTGTCCGGCTTGGCCATTGGTTTGAAGCTAGATTTTTGTCGGCTGCAAGCCCCTCTACCCGTCGGTGCTGTGTTCAAACGGGTTTCTGCCAATTTGACGGTAGATTGTCTTGATTTGGACAGGTCCTTGTCTCCTTGTGCTGCTCGCGGCTAGTGTTTGAAGTGCTAGGCTGTTAGCTCCAATATGTTCTTGGCCAGTGTTGCAGTTGCAGTTAGAGCTCGAAGCGTCCAGCACTTGCCTGAAGCACCTTGTTGTCCGGCTTCGCGATTAGACCACTGCAGTCTCAGGTCGATGGGTGTTTGGTTATGCTGTCGATTGCAATTTAGCACCCAGCTCTTTTTTAGACAGGTGTTTGTCAACTCGTAAGTCGTAAGAAATGAAAACCTTTGAGACCTCAGACCTACCGAGGGTGCTCGTATCCAAATCGTAGTGGACTCTCCGCTGCCTCAGTGATTATTCGCCGTCCTTCTATGGGACATCTGAGTCGTGCAGCTGACCAAATACATAGCTCGCTGCGGTTGGGTCTGAAGTTGTTTCTTTTGCAGTTGTCTTTCTGTCGCAGCTTCCGGACTGCTGAGACTTCACCCGAGGCCGTTTACTCGGATTCTTACCTTAGCTCGTTAATTTCTAGAGTTCATATTTCCCTTGGCCTTTCCATCTTCCCATGGCACCAGGATGTCCAGGACACAACGGAGGAGTGGCTCGTCCAGAGCTACACCACGCCTGCGACCGAGATCAGTCTAGATCCGTCGGATGCTTCAAAGCGACAGCCACTTTGCCAGGCTTCATATACCCCAAAGTTGAATTCTGAACCTCTGCACCCCTGGCACTCCGACCCATCCATTCCAGCCACAGCCAGAGACACCTGCCTTCGGGGCACTGCAGAGCTGTTGGGAACCAGGCCCGTGCCAATCCTCTCGGACGATCAGATGGCACCTTGGCTTCACAGTGCTTTCCCTTCGCGTGCATCGACTTTGCATCGGAAATGGATGCGGATGTCCGTTACGCGAAGTCAGTATTAAGCTTCCGTGCTAGTGCTAACCGTAAGTCTTCGGTAGTTCCGAACAAAAATCGAGAGGACATTTCCCGGTATCTCAGTCAAAGCCTGGTATCAAGCATTGATGAGGTGTGCACATTGTGAGTCTCCCAAAATGGCCTCAAGGTTGTAGATGTTCTTAACCTGAGACTGAAATACTCAGGGTTACAGCGCAGTCGCGGATCATTTGGGTTACGTTGCAGGGGATAGCAGACATCGGACTGGCAGTTCGCCTGTGAGAGACATCCATGTTTAACGGCGCAAGGTTCATTCAAGGGTAAATGTTCGTGAATTCAGAGTGAGCGAAATTTTTACTATGGCTTGTGCCCAGAGCCGGGCTGGGTGAGGCATTGTGGGTTTGCCGTCGCCAAAGCTTCGGGATGCTCCCCAAAAGTCACCGTTGAAATCGTAGAGTGGGTCATAAGACCTTTCTGACATGCTTACGGCGGTGGGATCTAAGTTGCGTACTCTTCTCTTCCTGTCTGCAGTGCATGGCACCCTTTCGGAGGCAGAGATCGACGAGATCGTTGGATGGATCATGGGAGGAACTCCAATAGTTCTTAGCATCTGTTTCTTTCATGAAATTACTTTATCAAAACGCTGTCTCAAGCTGACACTTTCCCACAGAGAAGCCTTATGCAGATGATCATCATTTCTGGATGTGCGTTTCACCTGCCAGACTGGAATTCCAAAAGTGTTGCGCGCGTGGCTTCAGCGAAGGGGGTGGGGCGAAGAGCAGGAGTAGTCGCATGCAGGCGTGCATTGAAGCTGCGGGCTTGCGGGTCTTCGTCGTGAAACAGGGTTACATAGTTACTTGATGCTAGAAAACGCATCGCAAGCCGAATGTGCAAAGCCAAGCAACGCAAGCTCAGGATTCAGCTTCTCTGTCTGTTGCCTGAAGGGCGTCTGTAGTTTCATAACCTTTGCAGGTGCTTGCAAAGCGAAGGCGGACTACATGAGCTAACAGCGCACGTGAGCTTCCGGAGCGCCTTCGTTCCGCATTATGTATACGAATAGAAAGCTGTACCTGCAGTGCACATTTGGCTCGGAAGTGAGTGCACCCGACGGTTGCTCAGAAGTGCTTCTTGACTTTCTGGACGGATCCTGCGGTGTCGATGAGTGGCGCGGGTCCTTCAGTCGGAGTTGGGCCCCGCAACCAGTGGTTTCATGGGAATCTGTATCACATGGACTTGCAGAGACCTGTGCTGGCAGCGGTGACGCAACTGACCGAAACACTTTGAAAGAATCCCTCGTGTCACATCCTCGGGCTGTGCTGTCAGGGCCACCCATTGGTTTTCTGAGCTCTCGCAGAGTGCATTTGCTCAGCGTGCCCCCGTCGAACGAAAATCGAGACGAGTCTAGGGTTAACAGATTGCGCTGCTGTATTCTACGCGATCGGAGACGGCCCTAGCGTGAGTTGGGACGGCCTGCGAGGTCCCATGCTGCAGTAGAGAATCGATGACAGCTCGACTGGCTTTGAGGTCTCATCAGTCTAGCTTCACCGCTCAAGAACCTGCTTCACTGCATTTCCAGCGTTCAACCCCGGCCTCACGTCGAACAGCCCCCAGCCAACCTGCAGTGAGCGCAACTTTGCTGCACCCACCGCACCTCTCTTCAAACCCGTAAGTTCCTGAGATGTCAATGTGGCCGCTTGCTGATGGAGCCGCCAGCGGGCCTTGCCTTGCTGACGCTGCCGCGTCTGGCCTTGTGGCTTGGCTTTGGCGACCGAAGAGAGACAGAGACAGGTTACAGGGGCCCACAGGCTGCGCAGCCGTTCGCAGCCGAGGCAAGTCGGCTGGCGGGTGCTCACTGAAGCGAACACAGCAGCTTCGATCAGATTTATTTGGCATTCCGTTTCCGGGCACTTTGAAGAGCGAAGCCTTCGAACTTCAAACTCTACTGGTAGCAAGAAATCTTCAGACAGAGTGGTGCCCAGCGCCGCCGACTTTGGTCAGGTAGCAGTTCAGGACAGCATTTTGACCATGTGTGTGTGCTGCAGGGTCATGGTTCGCTCCTGCACGGAAGTCCCGAGTCGGAAAGTTCGCAGTGCGAGGTCTTGGTGATCATTCTGCTGTTTTGGCACCAGGACGCGTGGCTGAAGCTTGAGGGAGTCTCCTCTGCCCTGGCTTGATGCTCTTGAGTCTTGAGTTGAGGAATGGGCTTCTGCGACGCTGGGCCTCGTGCTGACCACGGCGTCCTGGACTCTCTGTGTCATCGATGTGCTGCTGGCTCAGGCCCGGGCTGAGACAGACGAAGCTATGCGTCAGCGGCTTTGTTTGATAGGGAGTGTAGGCTCCAACACTATAGAATCGCCAAGAACTGCATCAGCAAATTAATGTTCTTAAGGGTTGAAATGTCATGAACAGGCTGGTGGATGCATCGCGGTAGCGAATTCTAAAGGTGCCTCTCCGTTTCAGCACCAGTTTCCAGCTTGTCTGCCTTAGTCCATTCCGGTACAGTGTCTCCATTGCCTTCCAGTGATGCACATGAACAGCTGCAACATTGAACAACAAACCAACACTTTCCAAGGCTTCGGAATAGTGAAACTGTTGGACAGAGGGACCCTATTTCTCGAAACACATTGTAACACTCTTTTTCAAAAAAATGCTTGGGGTTGAAATGGACGTGTGCTGACAGCTTTTCTGATTTGCAGTCAAAAAATCGATCCCGTACAGGATTTGTCTCGTCAAGTGCGAATGAACTGTTTCGGTGATTCGCGAGCAAAATGCTGTAGTTCAGCGGCCTTTGTGTTGTGCTTTCGACCGAAGTTGTCAGCCTTTTGTGAAACGTCTGATCAGATGCCGTTGCTTGAACCGGAGACCTCAGGTTGCAAAGGCACCGTTGGTGCCCAACCAGTCTTGAATCTGCACAGGGTCTCAGACTCCAGCTTTTGCTTCGTGACGAGGGTTGAAGCGCCCCGGGCCTCCAACTCCAACTCCGCTCTGACTCCTATGGAGCCTGCTACCACCGGCAATCTGCATTAGAAGGCCCGAACTTTGTCGAGAATTCTCGAAGCGAACTCGCTTCAAGGAGCCCATCTCACCTCTAGACGAGGCGCAGAGGAGCTGGGATTCAAGAAATGCAGGGCTTTGACCCCTTCAAGCTGCAAGATGCCTGGAGCCTGCGGGTGCCAGAAGTATTTTTGTAGAGGATTCTGTCCACTGCTGTCCACAGGTTGAAACCGGAGTCGCAGTAGAGTCTTACGGTCGTTGCCAGCAAGCCTCCTGTTTCAATAGCCGGGAAGCTTCAGCTTCAGCCATCAGACTTGAACACTCCTCTTTCGTTCTTTCATGTTCAAATTTGCCGCCGTTGCCAGGAGCCTGGCTCGTGGTGTTGCGACACCCGGCTGGCGCGCTTTCTGGGATTCTTGTCGAAGAGTCCTTTTTTTCCGAGCGTAGCCGGCCTCAGAAGACCGATCTCGGCTTTCAAGCCTGGCCTCAACACGGGAGCCTCAAGCATTCGCAAGATGCAGTAGTCAGTAGCTCCAAGGAATTTGCTTGTTTGGGCTCATGTGGTGGGCAATCAGACGCCGTCGGCATGAAGTGCACTTGCTCGGTGTATAAGTTCTGCTGCGCTCTTCTTTGCCTGAAGCCTTAGGGCGGCATTCCCTTCCATTTTTGTGAGACTGTCCCAGGATTACGAGCAGCAGATCCAGGTGCAAGCTGAGATGTTTGTGTCTTTGTGTGTGTGTGTGTGACCTCTTGCGTCTTCGGCATCCCGGTAATGAGGAGTGCCGTCCTGCTGAAAAGAGCTCAAACCGCTTGAGGCTCCCGGCATGGGTCTACTGGTACCCTACGGCATGACATTGATCCAGGCCTGGGTCGGGATTAAGACCCCAATGCAGCCGCAGACACTCCAGACTCTATGCGGCCTTGATGCCCTGAATCTCTGACCCGAACTTGGCAACACTCCATGTCTGGGTTCCGGAAAGGGTTGCCAGTAGAAAGCATGCGCAGAAGCCGAGTCTCACAGGATCTGGACCCTGTTTCGGCCATCGCCGGCCTCAGCATGCTGGTGGTCGCTGCGACTTCTCTCGCGAGTGCCCGCGCCGGTATCCCCAGATGGCCAGGTTCAGCAGGACTTGGGAAAGTCATTGACCTCGCCGTCGCCGTCGTCATCACCAGCATAATATTTGTCACACTCATCAGAATCATAACCGTCATCGTCATCAGCACAGCCCTCCTCCTCCTCCTCCTCCTCCTCCTCCTCCTCCTCCTCCTCCTCCTCCTCCTCCTCCTCCTCCTCCTCCTCCTCCTCCTCCTCCTCCTCCTCCCCCCACACACTCAGCTTTCCGTGCGTGTCGCTGTAGCAACCAACTAATTGTGTAGAACGCTGCCTTCATTTTTCACATGCGTTTTACAAACTTATGCTAGTGCTAAATTTCGGCTCTGGTTTTGCCAGCACTGTCATCTACGATTGCCATAGTGGGGAACCTGCTAATCTGCCGCTGTATTTGTCACCATCATCGCCTGCTGGTACCGGCCAGATGCTCACAAAGACAGTTGCACCCGGACTGCGCGATACATGCAGGACACTAGCTGTCAGCACGATTGACAGGGACACATCGCGGAAGCGCTGGATTCACCAAAACACTCCATGACCCCAGCGACGGCACCAAGCCCTGGCCGAGATGCATCTGCCAGGTGGATTTCAACTGCGACTGGCCTGGCCAGAGAGGGCAGGCTGGCACCCATGACATGAAGACATGAAGCTTCGCCGGGTTTTGCATCGATGTTCCACGCACATCAACGCACTCTCGCATGCGACTCTGTAAGCCTCTAGCTTTGCCATCAAGTCTGAAGTGAATTAGTTGCGAATTTGAAGGCTTCGGTCATCTACCTCCTTGATCCTCTCACGGCCTACGGCCTGCAACTGGGCTTCTTTCAATTTCGAGCTTCGGTCAGAGCAGTAAGGCAAACTAGACAAGCGGAGAGCTTCGTTTTGGTTCCTCACTTTGTACACCTGTTCTGCAAATTCGAGAGCAAAGGTATCTTTTTCTGTCATCGTTGAATATGCTGTAGTCATTCATCTGAGTGGTCCAGGGGTGCGCCTTGTTCAATCCTAATGCATCAAGAGTGACCCTTACATTGTGATTTCAGCAATCAGCATGGATATGACCGCGGCGTGGTTGTTTTCACTGGACTGGTTCAACTAGTTTCCACGGGCAAGTTGCTATGAGCTGCTGGTCCGCGGCTGGTACACGAGTCAACGTTCACCATCTTTGTCTTTGGGACGGCTTTCGAGCGCAAGTCACACAAGCATGGCTGGAAACAGGTTTTTCGTGAAGCTTCCAAGAACAGAGAGAGAAACCATGAGCAGCCTTTAGCTGGACTTGAAACACATGCTCTTGGGATCCAAAACCCGCACAGGGCAGTCGTTTCGAGCGAGCCTTGCTTTCTGGTTCCGGCTGGATCCCGGACGCAAGCTTCAGATGTGAGGTATATCAGCTACTTCATCGGATCAGTGGCTGAGTTTGCCGCATTTGCGGTGGTTAGCTCTGTCGCCGGGCTTGAAGGAATGGGGTGCCTGGCTGCTGCCAGAATCGCATACCATACCGAGCAGCAGTAATCACAGCAGCAGGAAGAGGTAGTGCGAGCAGCCACAGCAATGAAGAGAGCTTGCAAAACAGTAGCAGCGTCAGGAGTTCGTAAGCGGAAAAGCAACCATGGCTTCGACTCTGCGTACGCCCACTGCTCTCACCCTGGCACTTCTCTCCTTGTTCACAGTCGTCGTAAAGCCGGTTTAACCACATTCACGAGAATGTTGCCAGTACTTAGAATACAGTTGCATTTGACCCTGGCTTTGCCAACGTGGTGTTGTTACATGGAAGTAGGAGCAGCAGGGCAAGAGTAGCAGTGGGATTGGCGAAATTTTCAGCAGTTAGGCATGTTTACAAGCGGTCCGATTATCTATTGTTGTACTCAGTGTCACCCTGCTGCTTGTAATCATTGCGGTTGATGTACTGGGGTTCCGGTGTTTGATCCGGCAACGCAGTCATGAAAAGATATTGTGTGACTGCTGTACAGTCGTTTCTATGTTCATCACGATCGTTGCTACTGCTAGAGGTAGTGTGGGCAGTCGCATCTAGCCAACATCATGGAAAGGATCATCACCGATATGGTATCATCAAGCTCACGACTATGGGTTCCGAAGTGTCGAGGTGCAGCACCCCGACACTTAGGTGCTGCACCCTCTTCTTGCTTGTCTGGGCTATGCTGTCGCCATCGAGGCGAAGGGTGGCGAATGGGTTTTTTGCTGTTGCCACTTCGCGCAGCTCCTCATGAGCTGTGGCCCTCTTGGGTGTTACTGTAGCTGGTGGACGTATGCCCTTGTGTCCACAAATTATCGCTGTGTCTCCAGATCGGAGTCGGGCTTGGACAGCTTTTCAGCTAGCTCTTCAGCTTGAAGCTTCTGCTTTAGGGAGCCAAGTCGTGAGGTCAACACTCGCTTTAGTGCGAATGGCTTCTTCATGGAGTCCTGGCTTGCCCCGCACGTGTGGAACCAAGCAAATGCAGTTCTCTGCGCAACACAGCAGTTCCACATCGTAGACGATATCGGCAGCCATCTTCTTGCAAGCTCAGAGGTGGTCTCCCTAGCAACCCAGTAGTAGTGTAACTGTGGGGGCTCATTCCAGGTCGAGTGATCACCTGAGTGATCTCCGACATGGCTTTAGGTACACTTTGTGAAAGCCAAGACTCTCGTCATCAAGCCTTCCAGAATCACATGAATCGCTTACCGTACCCGTACCTAGAATCTGTCCGCGCCCTCCACTTCACCTCTGAAATCTGAGTGCCAAGCGCATAGAATTCCGCTTGGTGTCCGATGCTTGACAGTAAGGTGGTCCTTTGAGTCGCCGACTGCAGTGGACATGTGGGGAGAGAAGTCAAAGTGAAACACACTGACAGTGCTAACAAAATCAAGGGGAAACAAGACATTTGGATGCCATTGGATGCCTTGATTGCCATCACTCTCGACCACCACTTCAACGTGACCTTACATGCTGTTCAGGATTTTGTAATGAAAGCAACTGCCTCAAAACCGGCTACAGAGCTTGAGTAGTTACCGGGATGCACAATCTGTTCCCTCGAGCGCACAGAAACGAACCAGAGCATGAGGTTATGTTCTTCGGCCTGCAGACGCGGGTTCTCGGTACGTTTCCTGGCCAAGATACTGGCCCTGGCACTGTATAACGAGTCGCCGCAGGTGTGAAGCATACACTTGTTTTGCCAAGAGCTCTCAAATTGAAGCAGTAACAAGCTATGCTAGGTCCTAGGTTACATGCCACAGAATCGTTCCCATTAGAAGACCTCATAAGTTGCCATACATAGGAAAAGCTGCCGTCAAGTTGAGCATCTCTCAGCAATCAGCAAAGACGACTCCCATGCGGCCTTGGGGCCTTGTTCCGTCATTCCAGGCCAGCGCGTCGAGATCTTGCTGGGCCCGGGTGGCGCGACTGCTGGGTTTGTGCGGAACCATCTGACATCCGGGTTTGTAAACTTTGAGCGGGGACGTCATGTTGTTCTGTTCATCAGTTCATCCTTGTCGAGCGCGTTTTCATTTTGTCGTGCAGACGGAGCTCTCAGGTGGCCCGCCGCGCTTTGCATGCTGCTCCGCTTGGCTCCTGCAGCTGAACAGTTATCACGCTTGCTTTGTTTGGAGGAGCATCCCATGACAGCAGAATCGAGTATCCTTCCAGTCATAACGACAGACCGCCGTCAATCCTAGACCGCAAACCCCCTGCGATGCTAAAGAATTGGATAATTCAGAAATTAAGAAGCTGCATCGCTGCAGCTGCAGGCCGAGGCAATGAACGGTGCTTGGACGGTCGCACAGACTGATGCACCAGTTGCTCGTTCAGACATCAAACTACGATAAGCAAAACCACGGCGGGACATGCAATCACGACAGGCCTTTTACATTGTACATAACAGTACAATAGTTTTCCATGGCCTTCGGATGACAATGCATCAACTACCGAGATCCGCCATGAGCTCTTCAAGCATACCACCCTAATCTGTAGCACGATCAAATACATAGCACCCTTGGGTTGTTTGTCTGTCAAAGTACAGATGCCGGCAAGCCTCTGACATTCACTTCAGGCATTGCTGCTGGGGTGCTGCTCGGTACCTCTTCCAGAGGACCGGGAACCCTGGTCGGGGCACCCAGGAGCTTGCGGGCAACACTTCATGCATGGGCTCAAGTGCTTCTATGGTGTGTGCAGCAGAGATCGATTTGGCTACGGCTACATAGCTGCTTGTACTGCTGCTTAAGTTCAATTTAGTGGATCGTTTGAGGGCAGACTTGTGGAACAGGCGAGAAACAATCATCCCGTCGACATGTCTTCGTCGACCTTTCGCGAGACTACAAGCAGTCGCATGAAGGTGCCAACAATTCTCGTCGAGCATCGTTGGAGGGTAAGTTATGCCGTGCACGTGAAGGTTGCTGAAGCTGAGCTGATGCGCACGATCTACTTGTCAATCTGCCCATCTGACCCAGCCCCTCTACTTGTGCATTCGGCTATGCCTAACTGTCCATCCATTTTGCCAGTCGCATGCATATCTCTGGGTTCTATGCACGGTTCGTTTACCTAAGGACTTGTTTTTCTTCGACTCGTTACAGCATTGCAGGCATGCAGAAGTCATTCTTGGACCAGAGCATTCGATTTACGTACGTGCATGCATCAGCGAGGCGAATGTATCGTCTTTTAGTCGTACAGAACTACCGTCTTGCACTGCTTCAGAGCAGATGATGCTCGTTGCACCACATTCCGCTAACTGCAGTGCACTCCATGATGGGGTATACCATTCAGAGGCACTGCTTCACGTTGTCCGTCACAGGCAGTCGCAGTGAGCATATGTCTTGGAGCTTTTCTAGATCGAGTCGACTTCCCTGGTGGTTGTGGTTACCCATCCCAGACAGCTATGAGAAAGTTGCTGGGCAGTTGTTGACATCTGCCCCAGGGAAGCTGAACTGAAAGTTGCCTAGACCACATGATCATTTCCCACCATCATCTGGATCTCTATTGGGATCCCTAAGCTCTGAACCTTTGGAAGTCTTGGGCAAGTCTGATGCAAGGCAGCGCCTGGGCCGGCCGGCCGGCCGCGCAGTTCTGCAAGACTTCGCCGCGCCCACCCGCGTGGCTTTCGGCGCTGCTGAGGTCCCCTGACCGGCTCTCCGAAGCTCCGAAACTCTTTCAGTCGTCGAAGTGAAAGTGCTTGCTGGCGATCCCACCTTCGTGCTGCCTCATTTTTACAACTTGTTCCCCACAGCATTGTCTATCTGCATGCATGTCTGTGTCTAGATAGCAGTGAAGGCAGCTACCCTTTCTGATTGCAGATGCACAGGAACTCTTGTTTCAGCAGCCACGTGTGCTCAGGCATGCGCTCAGCCTGTAGCAGCAGATCCTTGCATGTGAAGAAGCAGTTCTAGGATTCTAGAGCTGAACGATCCTCATGGAGGAGCAGTTGGGACTCGCTGCCCAAGGCAGCGAGATGGTGAGAGATGCCGGGGAGGCGACGCAGGAAGAGAAGCAGAGAGCGCTCACGGAGATGGGCTTGCCACATGGTTTGCACGTGCAAGTACTGTCGAGGCCTGCAGCTGCTGGAGACTCGGGAGACGAGGATACAGCAGCAAGAGCCCTGACAACGGAACAGAATGAGGACCGCATGACTTCTCCGCCAACTGACTGTGAAGTCATGTGGTCCTCTATCTGTTGGGTTGTCAGGGCTCTTGCTGCTGCATCCTCGAATCAGCAGCCGTGGGCGGAAAGGCAGTACCTCTGCTTCGATGCCGACCCCAAAAACGCTGACTCCTTCCGGACGAGCCGTGGTAAGAAGTTTCGAGCGTACTCCAAGAACCTGAAGAAGGTCTACGAGGAGAGCGTCGACCACGCCGGTGGCGAGCGGCGCAAGAGCAACTTCGTGTGGCCTGTGCATCTTATCAAGTTCAAGGACCTGCCCTCTGACATGCGGAGGCCGGTGCGCTGGAGTATCTGAAGCTGCAGCACCTCATGGATGATGAGGCGGATGCGCCGCCTGCTGATGCTCAGGAGGCGCCTGCTTCCAGGAAATCGCCCAAGAGGGCGCCACTGGGATCTCAAGAAGCTGCTCCCAAGCAGAAGCGGATGCGACGGCCCGCTGCTGCTGCTGGACGCTGAGGCAGCGTGGGGCTCTAAACCAACATAAAAAGTAGGGTACTAATTTCCAGGCTTTAGGATCTTCTCAAAGCGCTCCTGAAACTCACCAGTCTCGTTCCTCACTCTCCTCACTTCTGAAACTGTACTGGAGTGTCTCGTACTGCTTACCTTGCTCCTTCCGAAAGAACTTCAGCTGTGGAATCGTTGCTCAGGTATTGCAAGTCGACCAAGAAAAGGTCGTGGTCGACTTGCAATACCTCAGCAACGATTCCACAGCGGAAGTTCTTTCGGAGTTGTGAGAATTTTCGCTTTTTCACTGCATGGCTTCAAGTCTTTCTCCGCAAAGGAGGGCCTTGCAAAAGCAAGGGCTTTGCCATTTGCAGCATGGAAAAGAGAGTGGAACTGAAAGCTGGGGTTCTAGATAGCTCTGCATGCGAACCATCGTTGCGAAAGGTGTGCATCCTCAAGTTCAGCTGCCGCCACTCGGGCGAGTCTTGCAAGCTGCTTTTATGCGTCGCTTGATAGATCTTTTCGAGAACGCATTCCGCAGCGACCGAACTTTCAGAACAAGACCCTCCGTTTCTCTCAGCGCTGCATGATGCCAGACCAGCTGTCTTGCAGAAGAATGCCCCATCCTCAAGCCTCCCAAACTTTCAGACGCGAGTTACGTGTAAACGGCGAGCAAAGCAATCGCGGGCTTCCGCGGGCAAGCCCGATGTCCGGTGGCCATCAACCGGAAACCGCCCCGAAGCGTGAGAGCGAAGTTGATCCGCGCAACCAGGTGCCCCTGATCTCAACCCTTCGGAGTGGTTGCGAGCCGCACTTTTGAGCAGCTTGGCTGTTGGGTTAAGGTTCTTTGCGTGGGGGTTGCAGGGTGGTAGGCTGGCCAACGAACCTCAGGGGGTCTGCGCACGGGCCTTGGGCGCACAGTGCTTGCCCACGTGGTTTGTTCCAGCCCCCGGCCGACATCGTAGTAACGTCGCAATGTAACACAGGTTTGGTTGAAAGAAGGTGTGAAACTCGTTCGAGCATGAGAGTCTTGGGCTGCCCAAATTTTCTGAACAGCCCTGGGCCAGCCGACCCAGACAGAGCAGGCACTGTGCTGATCCAGATGCCACTGCACTTCGGCATCACCATCTACCGACTGGCTGCGAACTCGCATTTTCGGGCTGCTAAGCTCAACCGAGAGGGGCTGAGATGCTTTCAGGTTCGAGATCCGTCTAGGCTCCATTGAATGCAAGCGACATGTCATGCAGGATCTTCGCGCAGATACGACTCGGCATTGCTTTTAGCAAAACTTTGCAGGGTGGCAGGACTAAGTTTTCTGTGGCTGAAGCGACTTAGCGACGTGAAGGACGCGCGTCAGGCATCAGCAGCACCCCTCGCCTTGCAATCCACAGCACGCGCAGCAGTTCAACCCAGCGGCTTTGGTGATGCGCAGGGCCAACATCACCATCAGCTGGATTTTCTTTTGAGCTTCTTTTTTTTGATCTGGTGGTCTTGGAGCCCACAGCAAGTGTGCAGCAGTTCAGTTCGACCCAGAGATTGGCGAAATTTAGCAAGGCGCAGGACGAGCATCAGGATTTCCTTTCAGGCTCTCTCTCCGATCTCGCGGTCTTGGAACCCACAGCAATTCGACCCGGTGATTGGAGGGATTTAGCAAGGCGCAGGACGAGCATCATCAGCATCAGCTGGATTTCCGTTCAAGCTCTCTCTCCGATCTGGCGGTCTTGGAATCCACAGCAATTCGACCCAGCCGCAGGACGAGCATCATCCGCATCAGTTGGATTTCCTTTCAAATTCTCTCTTTCTCTCTCTTTCTCTCTCTCTCTCTCTCTCTCTCTCTCTCTCTGTCTCCGATCTCGCAGTCTTGGAACACGCAGCAAGTGCACCAGTTGGATGCAGAGATTGGCGAAATATTGCAAGGCGCAGGACGAGCATCAGGATTTCCTTTCAGGCTCTCTCTCCGATCTCGCGGTCTTGGAACCCACAGCAATTCGACCCGGTGATTGGAGGGATTTAGCAAGGCGCAGGACGAGCATCATCAGCATCAGCTGGATTTCCGTTCAAGCTCTCTCTCCGATCTGGCGGTCTTGGAATCCACAGCAATTCGACCCAGCCGCAGGACGAGCATCATCCGCATCAGTTGGATTTCCTTTCAAATTCTCTCTTTCTCTCTCTTTCTCTCTCTCTCTCTCTCTCTCTCTCTCTCTCTGTCTCCGATCTCGCAGTCTTGGAACACGCAGCAAGTGCACCAGTTGGATGCAGAGATTGGCGAAATATTGCAAGGCGCAGGACGAGCATCAGGATTTCCTTTCAGGCTCTCTCTCCGATCTCGCGGTCTTGGAACCCACAGCAATTCGACCCGGTGATTGGAGGGATTTAGCAAGGCGCAGGACGAGCATCATCAGCATCAGCTGGATTTCCGTTCAAGCTCTCTCTCCGAATGTTCGCCCCAGACATGGGCGAAATTTAGCAAGGCACAGGACGAGCATCATCAGCATCAGCTGGGTTTCCCTTCAAGCTCTCTCTCCGATTTTGTGGTCTTGGAGCCCACCGCAAGTGTGCAGATGTTCGCCCGAGAGATGGGCGAAATTTAGCAAGGCGCAGGACGAGCATCATCAGCATCAGCTGGAAGTCCTTTGAAGCGCTCTCTCCGATCTGGAGGTCTTGGAATCCACAGCAGGCGAAACAGGTCGACCCAGTGGAGGGAGGGAGCAACGCGCAGGACGCGCATCATGAGCAGCAGCTGGCCTGTTTCCAGACTGAGATATCCATGCCGGCGGCATGAGAACAGACAGCAGGGTGAGCAGTTCGACCCGGTGATTGTGCGGTTCCTGCCGGCTGCAGAGCGAGCATCATCAGCATCGGCTTCGAGCATCATCATCATTACTCAGTTTCCAGTTTTTAAGCCACAGCAGGGGGTGGCAGCTCGCCGCAGGGCGAGCATTATCAGCATCGGAAGGAGTTTCTCCAAGCATCCTCATTTGCTCGATAGCTTTTCCATTGCTTGCTTGTTTCCTTACTTCCATCTCTCTGCGAACCAAGTACTGAAAGTTCTAAAGATTCTAAAGGACCAGCAGCTGGACTGAGGATGGCACTGTGGACAAAGAGCTCTGCAGCCAGATCGAAGCCAAACGAAAGGCAGCTTCATGAGTCCATGACTCCCTCAACTCGGCACTGTGCTTGGGGCTTGGGTACTGCCCCCACTCAGTAACAGTTGGATAATATTCATGATATAGGCCCTATTATAGACTGTTACTGTATGGGGGCCGTACCCAACTTGGGGCTGTGGTGTCCTGTCTTGGGGGACCTGAGTTTTGGACATGACAGCAACTCTGGCACTGTCAAGGTTCCTTCGGTACATTCAGTTGCCAGTTGCCGCCGTAATGTTGGAGCCCTCCACATTTTTGCCCGTCCCTGCCGCAGCTTTCAAGACCGTTTCATTGCACTTCACATTATAATGTGTTGAAACGGTCTTCTGACTGCTTGTTCGAGCTGTTATTTCAGCCTCGCAGACTCTGGCGAAAGTCAGCTCCTCATGGCGAGAAGCAGATCCTGTTTGGGCCACTGCGGCCACAGGTATTGGTGTCGATAGGCCCCCATCCTGCAGCCCTGGGAAGAATCGAAGTACGAGTGCGTGATGTTCATGTCTTCTTCAGCTCCCAGTTCTTCCTGCATCATCTGAACACCACTGACATCTTTTTTTCTGCTCCTTGTGCATGCTGTCCGCTGCCCAGACGCACATGATTGCTTCTTTTGAGGAGGGTTCGCTATTGGCACACGCACAACATGTCGTGGAAGTACTTGTCCCTCAGACCCGGTCCCCCTTTGCGACCTGCGACGGCCAGGAGATCGAAGACTTTGCAGCACATTCTGAGCAACACCCACACGAGTACGAGCTGCTGGCAGTGGAGGACCTGGGATCTGGGACGGAAGGGATTCGTCAACACCACGAAGACATGGTGCAGAAACTTTCTGCTCACAAACTCCTGTATCTCCCCTTCCTTGCGCTCCCTCTGCCGGGGCTTTGGAGAAGAGTGCTTGGGGAGCGCGTCAGGGCCCCTGCCCCTTGCAGCCGTAAAGCTTCAACTTCTGTGCCGTTTCTGATGGTAGCACAATGTTAAAGGTTAGGCCCTAGGGAGTTAGGGAGGTTCTTCGAGCCAGGACCCTGCGTCGGACCTCGAGGGCCAAAGCAAAATCCAGGCCGAGCGGGTGAAGCCTTGACTCGGGAGGCGCATTTTTTCACGCTGCTTGGCGCCCGGCGGCTCTCGGTTTAGAGCGCCTGCTGGAGCTCGGAGCTCGGGCGATTCGGTTGATGCTGGACGGAGCATCTGCAGACAAAGCTCTGCTGTGGTACAGCGCCTGAAAGCCCTGCGGAGGAGTGGAGCACTGACCGCTTCATGTTACAGTGTTGGGTAAGAAGTCGCATGGTTGGAGGATGCACAGGTGACTAGAGTCAAAGAGAGTCAATGTATCTAGTGAGGCCACCTTCGCCTTGAACCGAATGGGCTCTGAACGTTCGATGCTCCACGATGCGTCAGGGAATTTGCAGGCAAGCCTTGCATGTCACCAGTTACACGAAACATCCTCTGAGGAACATCTCAGACCCCATACCACGACGCACCACTTCCTAATGGAAAGGTGGAAACAGAGTGATGCACGCTGCTTCGTGTGCATCTCTTGCATCAGAAGTCATCTTGAGCCCCACTCACTTACTCATACTGCAGCTTTGGTTGCTGGGTTCTTCCTGCGCGATTGTCACTGTAAGACTGTAAGCCTCGTAGTCCTGTTATGACGGACCAAGAAGGGTTACATGGAGGCGACAGGTTCGTGGAAATGGCGCAGGCTCTGAGACCACCAATCACCGTGCGAAGAATTCTGTCACTCGCAACCGCTTGTCTCAGAGCCAACTCTCATCAGCCCACGTGGGATACCGGCTGTTAGGCTGACAGCCGCGGGTTGACACCCTTCGCACTGCCTCCTTCCTAGTAGTAGCTTCTCGATGACCTTCCTTGCTGTTCTGCAAGAGAAGCCACTTGCTCATGCACGGCTCTTCTCTCTCGCTCCGGCGGGGTATTTTGCTCAGCGCTGGTTCTTCTTAATTACAGCTGCTGCAATAAACGACACCGGCGAGCCAGCATGTTCCGCAGACGAAGTGTATGGCATGTGGACTCTCAGCTTTGCGATTCAGGGTCTCAGGGTCAGCAGGTCAGCAAAGCGGAGGGCTCCGGGTGTAGATTCCGGGGCCTGACCGCTGCCGGAGCCATGAGCCATGCCACTTCAGCCGCAGTGGACAACCTCCTAACTGTCGCAGGTGGCAAGCCGCTTGGGCAAAGACATCGAACACACCTCGAGCCGTTTGAAGCGTCACATCGTCATACGGTCATTTGGGTGCCTTTTCGCTGGGGCCAGTAGACATGGCGACAAGAGTACCGCTGGCCAGTGGTTCCAGGAAGGCCAGGGATGCAAGGCTAAGCTGGTGCGAGACAATCATGTCATAGACTCATAGACTTGATATGCCAGCCGCACGCCGATGAAAAGTAGCCTGAGTAGAGGTTGATAACAAGTCTGGCTTTGCCGGACTTGAGCCCCTTAGGTTGCAGCACGGTGTGGTGCCTTTGTGGTGGGGTGTTTAAGTATACGATGTCAGTTTAGATCTACCGACCCGAGCTCAGGCTTCAAAGCTTGTGCGACGAGGTCTCACGGCAGGCAAGGCTTTTGATCTTGGCTTCAGGGCCTCAAGGCTCCTTTGAAGCGCAAGGCACCCTACGAAAAAACAAGGCCTCCCGCCCTATGGCACTGCTCCGTCTCCGTCTCGCTTGTCAGGTGGCCGAGGAGCTCTCGAAGGCCTCCGCCGAGCTCGTGTCTCAGGCCGGGCATATACCTTGCGTTCTGGTTCGGTTCGATTTCGAGGGCTGGAAGCCTGATGAAATCAAGCATTCAACTTGGATTGCCCTGCCAGCACTGTTTGTCAGACAAGGTGTCCGGAGCGTAGGAGGCCCGAGCCTTTGCAAGCAGCACCATTACGGACATGATGCTTTCTGTCTGTGAGTAGCAACTTCCAAGGTCACCCGGATTTCAGAGAGGGGCTGCGCCTGAGAAACGTCCCAAGGATCATGGACGCAGGTGTACAGTTGCAAGCACTAGTTTTCGACCTCTCAGCCTACAATAGCTGAAATGACTCTGAGGCTTCGTCTAGGACAGCACAGTCTTGGTTGCTAAATTAGCGCGTGCCCTGCAGGTCGAGCGTAAGCTTGGTGCACCGGAAATTCCAAGACAGCAGGCCGGGTGGGTCCTTGACGGCAAGTTCCTCGCCATGTGCCGCCGCTCGAAGGAGACTTCCAAAGCCCCCTCAGCCTCGGGTCTCAGGGAGTCTGACTGAAGACGGACTAAACGAAGCCCAGCTTCTACTCTGCCTACTCCCGCTGTACTTCGCTCCAGTGAGTTCTTTTGTGAGTCCTCCAATCGGGTGCGGAAACACTACTCCACAACTTACCGGAATCAAAAAAAACACTTGACAGTTGTTGGCTTCTGGCTCGCTCAAAGTTTACTTCCCAAATCCCGTCAGAGCCCCGACTCCTTATAGCCCTGTTCAGTCGCTGGTCGCTTGGGCGGAGACTGACGATGGCCTCAACACGCCCAACAAGAAGACAACCGGGTGAGCCCAGCCATTTCCATCCTTTCATGTAACAGGGATCCTGTGGCAGTTCACAAGTCAAACCGGCCTGGCGTTCTCCTGGTTTGGCTGTTCACTGCTCCGACAGAGTTGGAAGATGGAAATAGGCAGACCTGTCATGTGCTGGATTGAAACTTCCCCGACAGGTTCGTTCCCCATGCTTGGACGGAGAGGCACATGCGGACAGACCATTCAAGCAAGCTTTTGGAGGACAGCTTGAGCCCAGACCCTGGCTACCCATTCTAGGCGTCCAGGGCACAAACGGTCCGAGTGTTACCTCATCTGCGCTGATGCACTCTTCATGGACTGCAGCTGAACTTTATGCTGTCGGAGAGGAGATCCAAGAGTCCTTCGCAGAGTTGTGGTACGGACCAGGCGCAAAAGCCTTCCTGGCATCAATGTTCAGCAGTTAGTAGTGGTGCTGGTTCTGGTAGTCCTGTTGCTGCATGTTGCTGCTACCTGTGTTGCAATTGGGACCTCAGGGACAAGAACACAGATAACAAGCAATGGCGCACTGTTGCAGGAATCAAACCAGGAGACTCTGTCCAGTCTGACTATGATTCAATTCGTGTAGTGAACAGAAGTGGCTCCTGAACATAGCAAGCTCCTCTCTTAGTGGCATTTGCCTGGTGCCGCTATCCAACATTCAAGTGCCCACCTGCACTATATTTAATTTGGAAGCGTTTCATCCACGAGTATAAGGAGAGAGTAAGCGTTGTCAGGTGCCCCATGTGCTCACAGATTCATGCTTACCGCGTAGTGAACAAGTACCACGATTGCGCCCTGGCTCCTGCCAATGCAGTTCTGCGCCATTGTACGGGCAGAAATTTCAACCGTTGCTGACTAGCATTGCACTTTGTCCTGCTGCTGAGCTGATGATGCTGGACGACAAGACAGAGAGAGAGAGAGAGAGAGAGAGAGAGAGAGAGAGAGCGCAATACGTGTAACCCTCCTGGCTGAGATGAAGAAGAGACACGTATTTGGTAAGTCCGATACGCCCTTAAGCCTGAGAAGCAAGATACCAGCAACATTTACAACGACATACAGACGTGGAAAAAGAAAGCGTCAAGCTCATGTTCGTCACTTAAAGGCAGCTGGCGGACACCTGTCCTGGAACTGCGCAGTTTTGGGCCCAACCAGACAAATAAAGCAAGGCATGCATTGATGGCATGCATTGGTTGTAGTTTTCTAGCTGGCTGGACGCCCCAGCAATCGCAGTTTGCAGTGAGCACGCAGCCGAACAAGGCGAGTGGTTGGGTTGGGGCGGCGTGGCGGGGGTAAGGGAGCAAAAGTAAGACTTTTGTGGGCATACGGCAGGGTGGCGGGGGCTGGAGCGAGATGGTGGCTCCAAGCTCCGACAGCGGGGTGGCCGATCCAATGCAGGGGAATCAGAGCCCATTATTCCGATATCTACGACTGTCTCCGCGACCACGGCAACCACTGGCCAGGGGCCAGCGCGACTGACTATCATAGCTTCCACCACGTCTACTACAATGGGGCATAAAGCATCAGCAGAAACAGCGACCGCAGCCTCTACTTGTTGCTGCTGCTGCTGCTGCAGCTGCTGCCGTTGCCTTTTTGGGTGTCTCTGCAGGCCACAGCGAGAAGTCGGTCTTCCCGTCGGATCAGGTCGACCCCCAAGGCCAGGGAAAGCTTTCACCAACGGCTGCTTCGTGGTTCTTCGCTCTGTTGGTTGGGTTCTGCGCGACATAAGGCCTTTCCGCCCGCTCAAGTCTTGAAAGATGTTGCCCTCGTTGGACTGTCGTGCTGTAGCAGCCCAGCAGCGCCTAGTCCCGAGCATCTCTTGAGAATAAGGTGGCCACTTGGGCGCTAGTTTCGCAGACCCCCGGCCAGATCTCGATCTTGGCCTGACCGCCTTATAGGCTTTTAGGTCAAGCTCTCCGGCTCCAGCTTGGGAGAGGATGCTTTTGACTTACGTACCACTAGTTCTCCTGTCAGGTGCCGAAAGCTCGTCGACCCTGGTTCAGGCTGCGCGTTGAAGGATTTTACGCTGTGAGTGGGATGCATCCGGGTTCGGGCGCTTGGAGTTTTCTCAAGGAGATGCCTTGAGGCACGTCCGACTTGTAAACCAGCTCAAATTCTTCGTGCGTTCTGGCAGCCGACCGAAGCACGGAACTTCTCGTTTGCTATGTTCTTTGGACGGAGGCGATGTCGGAGGACTCCACGACGCAAGCACGAGGCCTGCCCTCAGGTCTGAGGTAAGGAATCTATCGTTGCGGGACCAGCTTCCGAACAGGCCTTTACCCCAGCTGCCAGTTGAGAACTTGGCCCCCCGACGGGGTATGCATAGTTCTACACATCCATTTATGCAATCTTCGTTCTTGGCTGCTTGTGGCAGTTGAATATCACCCCGCTTAGGCTGCAGGATGAAGCGCAATAATTAGGGTTTTCGTCCGTTGACATTGGAGCCCTGCTCGGCAGGTGAAAAATCACCCGCAGTTTCAGCACCCCGAGCAAAATCGCGGTCAGGAGCCGAAGACCTGTTGGAATGAGGAATGAATCTTGCGAAGCATCTACGTGTCAGACAGAGCCGTTAAGGATTCTTGATGGCAGGGCTCTGCTGCATGACTCTACTGCAGACCTGATCCACTTCTGCTGGCCATGAGACAGCGTCAACCACGGTCCCGTGCTGAAATCCGAAAGCCAGTCCATTTTGTAAGTTGTTTGGATTGCTGGTCTCTCAATTGGCCTTTTGGTCGCCGCAGGAAACTTTGCAGACCATGTCTTCGGCATGATCCCGAACACGGACGACAAAGCCTCTTGGAGCAAAAGCCGGGAGCTGACTCTGAAGCCCAGCACCTCTTTCCTCCATTGTTCTTGTTCTGATTTGCATCTGCAGAGCACCCAAAACCGATCGATCAGAGCGAAAGAAGTGTGGCTGAGCCAAGGCTCTGCCTTCGACTCATGGCCGCTTGCCAGACAGGGCCGTCAGATTTGCTTTCAACAAGAGAAGAGAGCTCGCAAAACACTGCAGCATGCCCTTCTGCATGTTGGAAGTCTTTTGACTACGTGACTATCTGCATCAACTTCCACGCTAGGATGCCAGACAACGGGACAATTGTTGAAGCCGATGTAGGGACACGCGTGCGTACACTAAGAAAGTTGTGCGTAAAAGTTGTTGGTGGCATTGTCTTATCTTGGCTGTGGTCACTGCCAGGTTGCTGTCGGAAGAGGCTGCGGCGGCTCGTTCAGAATCCATGGTCGCTTGACCGCAAGGAGAAGCAACCATTCTCTCTAACTTCGCCGGGACGGGACGTTATCGGAGTGCATGGACATCCACATTGTTGTTGATCATTGATCATTGCAATTTGGGTGGGATGGACAGGTTGATGGACAGACCGAGGTTTTGTAAACTTTTTACTGTGAGCAGAAGCCACCAGGGTGACATGACATGTTGCTTTATCCAGAGCCGCGATATGCTGCTAATGCATGATTCTGCATGATGCCGCCAGTGTTTTTGAATCAGACTCATGTGAACAGAGGAGAGTGACTTTGACAGGGGACAGCCGCAGAGACCAAGAGCCACCGCATGTCACGGGTAAGCGGATGTCTAAACGCGGTTTTACTCATGTCCAGCAGGCAGATTAGAGGAACGCCTTCAATTGAAAATCTCTCAAAGTTTATCGAAGGCCTCAAAACGGGCCCAGTGTCTGGCATAGAAGGAGCAGGGCGGCGAATGCAGAAGTTTCATTTCCTGATTGCGGGCATTCCGCTGTCTCCGTTGCACAACTCCATTTCAATCGGGCAGGAGCTTTGTCTGCGCGGTCACAATGTTACAGTCTTTAGCTTTGCAGACAGAGGACGGAAGAAAGTGGAGAAGTATTCTTCGAGATGCAAGTTAGGCTATGTGGATTTGGGCCCACTGCCTGTGAGTGAAGAGCAAGAAGAGCAAGTGATGCTCACAGGACTGTCTACCAATAGTACAAGGAAGCAGGTGAGCTACATGATGAAGAACATCATGCTGCCATACAACGAAGCCCTGACCGAAGCAATGGAAGCATATTTCAACGCTTCCCCGGCGAAATTTGACTACGCTTTGCTGGGGATGCCGTTCGGGCAAACCGGACTCATTTTGCGAGAGCACCAGATCGACTTCGCTGTAAACATTCCGACAATCCTGTGCCCTCCACTAGTTCCGTGGGCTGCTAAATATGTTCCTATTCCCTTCTACCATGTGAGTGTGCACAACATGAGCTTATTGGACAGGGTGTTTGTGCTTGGCGGCAGCATGCTCATCGATTTCGTCCGTGCCTATGCCTACTACGTCGGATTCAAGTTCAGCCTTGTGCCGGAGATGGACTGGGACCTTTGGAACGGACGTCTCGTCCTCGTGAACACCATTCCTGGTTTGGACATCACGCAGCCGCTGCCACCTTTGGTACAATACACTGGGCCCGTTGTGGACCTGAAGAAGATGGAGCCCTTCTCAGAGGATGTTGAGCAGTGGCTTGAAGAGGTGCCTGAGGATATGCCTGTGGTCTACGTCAGCTTTGGAACTGTTGTGAGACTCACACCCGATCGGGCCAGAGCAATGTTGGCAAGCCTTACTTCGCCGGAGTACTACACCTTGTGGGCCTTACCGAAACCCCAGCAGGAGGGCTTGCCAGGTATTCCCAGCAGTGTGAAGATTCATCATTGGGTGCCAACCGCGAGAGCGCTGGCGCATCCCAAAGTCAAGGCTTTCGTGTCGCATTGCGGAGGCAACTCGGCTACAGAGTCCATGGCTATGGGCGTGCCGTTAGTTGGCTACCCGCAAGGAGGTGATCAGCCAGCAGTTTGCCAACGCATTGCAGATGCTGGGGCAGGCATCTCAGGTCCTCCTGGCGGCTGGGTGCAGGCTGCGGATGTCTTGCATGTCTTGAACACGGAGCACTACGCCGAAAAAGCCGCTGCCCTGTCTCGGCTCTTGGGGACCTTCGGAGGAGTGTCGCGTGCTGTCGATTTGCTGGAACTTGCTGTGCATGGCGACTTGAAGCTGCTGGAAACCCCTTTGGAGCGTACAAGGAGCTCGCAATTCCTTTTGCGAGGCTATGACCTCATGATCTATATGAACATCCTTGTCTTCATGCTTGCATGCTGCTGCATGCGCTGTTGCAGCGGAAGACTGCGTCGACCCAAGGAGAAGGTGCAATGAGATCGGATCAAGCCGGTATTCGGAAGCCGAACAGCTGTCGAGGTGACCTGGTGATCTCCCTTACACATGTCGTCGCAGCAGTGGCCTTGTCCCCTTGCAGTGAAGAAGTTCAAGGCATCTGTGGAAGAATGTGCGCGGGTTGTTGGAAAACATAGCTCGTGGTAAGCTCGCCAGAATTCCAATTTCAACTGCTATAACCTCCAATAATTATTCAAGTCAGCATTTTCGGCAAGAGAAGGTTGGCCACAGACTGTGCAGGCAGCCTCAGCTTGCAAGTGGGTTTGAGGTAAATCTGGGTCCATCACATGTTTACATCCAATACTGTACTCAAGGCAGAAGTGTAGGATGATCCTGCTCCAAATCTCCACAAGACTAAACATGGAACTCAACATGCATGCTCCCTGATTTCTTTGACAATCAGCATCCCAAACCCCAGGGGTACACATCATATACTAGACACATGTAGAATCCGCAGTTTTCGTCTTGCGCCGTGTTGTGGCTGGTGTGTGCCATATGAGTTCTAAATATCGCCGGGACATTGGATATCGCATTGTTGCGTCTTCCGCATCTTCGAGGCAGGAGTAGCTGAGCAGCTACCGCATCCTTCCGGCCATCCCCCTCCCCATGTCATCGCAGTGGGAAGTCTGACACGCTATTGGCGGCCAAAGGCCGCAACTTGCTTGCGCCACAGGTTCGACTGCTTCATCATGGCCATGATCCTGGTCCACACGCTGTCGATTGGCCCGGCTCCTATCGCCCGACCGAAGAGTCCAAGGGTAGCAAGAGGATCCCTCACGGAGTCCCCTCAATGTCTGGGCTGTTGCTTCCGAACTTCCGGACACTGTCGAAGCATGAGGCGCCCAGATCAATCACCTGGCAGCTACGGAGAGGACGGATGGTGGAAGGCCTCAAGAGATGCAAGGAGTTAGACTGTTAGACTCAGTTAGACTTCGCATACATCCATACATACACATACATGTCGTATATGTGTATATCTGCAACTATCATCTAGATCTACATCCGGCTGCACATCTACGTGCCCATCTGCATCTGCGCACACATATACTCGTAAGTATACACATCCTGTCACACCTACACGTAAATGTACGTTTGCATGCATGCCTACATACATGCCTGCAGTCTTGCATCATGCACACACATATACACCCACGGACCTGAAGAAGTCTGTCTTGAACTCAGAATGCTCAAAGCTGTTGGACAGGAAGTTAGTGCAACATTGCAAGTTTGCGAGACTCAAGCACCGTAGCGTGACGTTTGATTGCTAGTTGTGCCAGGTTCTGGCGCTCGATCGACTTCTTTTTTTGCGTCTTCTTCGCTGCAGAGGCGACGTGAGCAGACTCAGGTGGTTGCACATAGGCAGCACTCCACACTGAGCGAAGCAGAGTCAGTTCTGTGGCGGCAAGACTGAAGCGAGACCAGAGAAGGTTTCCCATCTCTTCCGCTATTGTCTTCGCAGGTCAGCATCAAGCTTTACGTCTACCGGTGTCTCGCCACTTCTAGTGTTGCTGGAAAGTTCCATGGGCCCAGGGATTCTCGGCTTGGGGTCTGAGCACCGCGAACTGATTATTTTCAATGCTCCTTGTGCCTTGGCCTTCCGTTTCACTAGGTGAAGCCCACAGGACGCTCAACCGACACCAGATGAGTCAGCTTGCCAAGGCTACGGTTCTTCACCATGCATGCCTGTGCGCCGCTTTCCTGCACTTATGACCCACTGTCAAAGAAACTCACCCACAATGTCACAGGGATCCTGGCTTCGAGGCGCCTTCCGAACTTATGTTCGTCATAAGAAATGCAGCATGAGGCCCTTAGTCCCCAGGTGAAAATGCTGCAGAGCTGAAAGAACAGTTGCAAGTGAAGTGCAACTGCCGCTGCAAATCAGGTGGAACATAATAGACCTGGTGCTTGCAATTCTGCAAATCGTGGAAGAGGTGATGGCCCTTGTTGCATCTCAGCGCGCAAGGAGTCGAACTCAAGCCAAGCTACAGCCCTCGACCGAAGTACACATGCTTAACCTGTGATTGATGCTGCCGCACAGGGCGCCAGGCTCGGGGATTCCTCAAGGCGTGAAGGTGCTACGGATGTTCTGCCTGGCTTGCAAGATGGTGAGCTTCTCCTGCGGCAATCTGGGTTCAGCAGGTTGATATCTTTGAATTCGATAGCGGGCTCAGGATTTTTGTCTCAGGTGTGCTGTTGCCGAGGCTAGCATCACTGAGGAACCCTATCAGAACCTACGGCTTGATTTGATGCGCCACCTGGCTTGCATGCTCAAGGTTCGGGTTCGCGATGTCGAGTCTGCGTTCTGTGTTTGGTGTTCGCAACTGTCACAAATTGTGGTCCATCGCAGCCTTGTGTGATGCAACCTGCTCTGAACCCTCTAAGCCGTGTGTGAAGCATCTGTATCATTTGCGCAATCTTACTGACTTACTGTTCACCTCCGCCTTAAGTCCCGCGAGCTGAGCACCTTTAAGTGGCAACAAGGTGCTGTTCGCATGATGCGCGGGGTCAAGGCCTGCAAGAGAGACAGCAGCTGGAGCAGCTAATAGCAGCTGGTGAAAGAGTGCTCCGGCGGGAGGTCCTGCGCCTGGTGAGGGCCGTTCGATATGCTGGGGACCTGCAGCTGATCGTAGCCTCGGCAGCACTCAGGAGCCAGGCTCGGCCATGGATCCTCGAAGCGAGTCGAGCTCAGGTGAGCTGCTTGATTCTGTCCCTGCGGACGTTTCTCTGGAGTGTCCTCCTCCTGGTCATGACGATCTATGCGTGGAGCCCAAGCACATAACAGAAACAGGCTGTGAGAAGTTTGAATCGGTGTCCTTCGGCCTGCGACGAGACCAGGTCATGGCCATCTACATTACGCAAGCCTGCAATATCCGTCGATTTGAGAATCCGGATGCTGACGGGAATGACTTGCTGCAGTAGCACGGCTGAAAGCGATGGTAGTTCCAGCGGCCTTATTCAGTTTTCGGGAAGATCTGGAGGGAGTCTTCCTCTTTTGTCTCGTTTGTTGAGCCGTCTGTGGTTGAGCTTTTTCATCACCGTCTTCATCATCTCGACAGTATCGAAACGGAAAGATGACAAGTAAGATGGACCTGCATACTGAGGAAATGGTGGGGGGACATCTTCATCAGCACTTTGGCGCATCTTTCTGCAGCGATTTTGTTCTAATCGCATGCATGCAGACAGAGTCATGTTGATTGCCAGCATGCTCCGGGAACTGTCAGCGCCAGTGTTCAACCTTTGGTTGTCCTGGCTGCGAACATTGGGGTAATCGTCGAATCGTCGCCGCGGCATTGCCGTGCCTATATCTCACTGGTCGCGAAGGAGCTGGACAAATTTCCGGGAATCGCCACCTCTGAAAAACGGCCAAGCGCGCAGCTCCAAGTTCCAAGTCCGTCAAGATCCCCGGCCCGAAAAACGATGGAACTTTGGTGGAGGCGGGATGCATGCTGCGTCTGACAGAGCCAAGACCCCGGAACCTGCACTGAAGCTTGGTGTGAACCAGAGACATGCTCGTTGCCCAAAAGCTGAGGCATGCTGTCGGTTTTTCAGGCCCTCAGTGGAGGAGACACGGCCAGGGAAGATGGGAGGGTCCCGGAAATGGCGGCGGCTCCTTCAAGGAAGCAACACCCGCACAGAGGGTAGGCACAGCTACTGAGTTTGCCCCGACCGAGTTCACGCTCAGCATCTCTGCTCCAGCTGCTTCTGCTCCAGGAGTGGACTGGAACGACGTTTACCAGCCCATCTTCAAGCCACTTAGCAGGTTTATGCGATTCTACTGTTCGAGTCAAGGGATCACCTCCCTGAATGTTGCAGAGCTACCTCACATAACTTGACATCACACAGCTTGGGCAGCTGTATCGATTTCGCCACCTAGGATCGGACTGTGATTTGTGCACAGGCAATGACATGATAGAGCTGTTTCACGACACGGAGGGGGTGGGGGCAACATGCACAAATGGGATCAAGCAGGCAATGCAGGCGACAGGGACTAGCAGGGCAGAGTAGCAACGCAAGGTATGTCTCGCCGGCACTGGCAGTCTTCTTGGTCGTGTACCTGGCATTCTGCTGCCTGGTCTTGAATGTCATCTCATTTCTCACCTAGCGTCTCTGCCTATGTCTAGCCTACGACTGTGTATGACTTCGCCAATGCTGGGACTTAAAGCCACGCGCTCCGACTATGAATGCTTTCTTGAGACATCAGCTAGTGCTTGTAGGACATGCACCTATCAGTTGCTTATCTTGGCGCACTGGTTGATTACCGGGATTACCGGAGAGGGCTTCGTGCCGACTGTAGTGATCTCCTCAGCAAGCAGCGACTCGTTGCCTTCGAAGGCATGGCATGTGTGAAGATGTCCGCCGTCCGCAAGACAGAACTTCAGCGAAGCCGTATGACCGAGGCAATGTGAAGCTGTCCACCTTAAGCAACACAGTAATCTGAAACCCCGAAGCCCACAAAGCACTCGAACGGGCAAAGTCGGGGCTTGTTTCCCAGAAGTTGTTCCACGACATCAGAAGCTATGGTGCCTCACACTTACTTCATTTAGGAGTTGAACCCATATGTGCCGAGTACGTTTAATGCGGTTAGGAAGCGGGCTCGCTTTTCCACGAATCGGTCTTCCTTCGAGGCTACATGGCGCTGCTGAATGTCATTACGGGTACCTTCGCCCTCGGGCTGCAAACCGGCGGTTTTGTAGGGCTGGATGATTTCTCGGGGTTTTGACTTGAAAGGCACCGTCCGTCAGCATGTTCTTGGCAGGTCGGCGCATGTCATAGCTAACGAGACCTCATGCTTATATCCGGAAGTCCAGTCCGAGAAGTCACTCAGTGCTCTCAATGTTCTCGGCCTGCCCCTGAGGTGGAAACAGTGGGCCGCCAGGCCAGCGACCTCAAGATACGCACGCAGAGCCTCGGCGGAATCCCTTAAGCTACACCGGTGCCGAAGTTGCCGTGCGGGCACGGATGGAGCCCTCAGTAGAGAGACTTGAGTTCCGTGCAGGATACTTCAGGCGCGGCGGCTGTTTCAGCAGATCGACGAAGACCACTCCGGCTTCATTTCACTCTCGGCGATTTGGCTGTCAAGAAGCGACTTGTAGGCCTCAGGCTGGGTGCTGTGGGAAAGCTCAGGAGATCCAGAACCAGACCGCCACGGCCGCGGTTGTGGATTTCTTTGCTTCATGGCTCTGATGGTAGGCCGCGGTGGCACGCGCGCGCATGTTGTCCAGCAGCTGCAAACAACGGCTGCCAGAGCTCCGCGGCGTAAGCATCCTCGCAATAGGCACCGGCAGGAGTACGACTGTTGTGTTCGTATTATGACTTAGATTACGAGGAAGCTGATTCGAATGATGACGACGACAGCTTCTGGTGTTGCCGAGGCAACGTGGGTTCTCAGGAACCTTGCGGGGCGCAATTCACAGCAATCAAAGCATTCTCAATGCCCAGAAACGGAGCACCGCATGAAACTGAGACAATCGACCCTGCAATCCAAGGAGTCAGTGGACGTGGATCCTTCGGAGGCGCAGTACTTGCTGGAGGCTTCTCTCCCTATTGTTCTTGGGTGGAGGGGTGGGGCTGGTAGATAAAGATTGGATACTCTGACGACGTAGGTTGCTGTGCCTGCCAGGTATGTGGTGTTACGTTTCACTTGCGAAGACGTTAACGTGGGAGCCTGGAACATGGGATACCTGGAAGTTCAGATCTTAGTAGGATTTAGGAGGATTTGGGATTCAGGGTTCAGGGTGGAGGAGGCTGTGAGGCCGGCGGTCCTTGGGAGCTCTGAGTATGGAGGTGTTCAAACTTTGGGAGCTTCAGGGATTCAGGGCGCTGCGATGACCTGGACAGGTCCTTGACATGGATGGGAGCGGCACCATCAATTTCGAAGAGTTCCTGCGAGGAACTTTGAGGTGCCATCTGGCTCGCATGTCCTTCCCGCCCGCATTTGCCAGCCCCCTCTCTCCCTCTGCCCTCGGTCCTGGTTGGGCAGTTGGAATCGACCCGGGAGCTGGAAGGGAGCAACAGAGAAAGGTGACGAGCAAGGACGACAAGAGTAGTAACAATGAGCTTCTCTTCATGCCTGGTCGCTTCAAGAAGAACCCTCCCTTCTGTTCCAGGCTGAACGGCTCTGCTCGGGCGGCGGACTTGCTGCTGGTGGCTCGAGAGATGAAGAGGCCAGGATGTCGGACGCTCGTTTGACTTCCAGATTGGGATAAGCTTGAACATGATGGCATTATCACTGATCACTCATCCGTGATGGTGTCATGATGTTCGTTTGTTGATGATGATTGCTCTCATTTTTTGGACATAGTTCTTAATCTGTACCAAATTGGTGTCATGAAATATCAGTCTTCTTGCTTGTGTTTTCAGCTTGGGCATTCCACGGGTCTTAGGGAGAGACATCGACCCTCAGATTCCTGCAAGACCTCTTTCTGCAATTGGCTTTTGGTGTGGTATTTAGGGTCTTGGGTTTGGAGATCCTTTCGCTTACGGCCGACGCACAGGTTCTTTGTACACACCGCGGCTGAGATGGAGGTGATCAAGAGCCGTGTCTATCTGGTTTGGCATTTACGTCGCCTTGAAACGCTGTTACGGTTTGCAAGACGGCATCGAAGACATCAAGCAACCGAGTTAAGTGATGCAAGCAGTACGTGCACAACGGTGCTTTCGTAGCTGCTTGCTCAGATCTGGGAACAAACGCCCGAGCATGTGCAGGACAGACAGATGCACTAACTGATATGAATCAGTGACCACGGCGCTTACTTGCACATGTACCATTTTCTCAGATCCTCCAATATGTCAAAAACTTGCCACGAGTGACCCATGCCATGTTTCCAGAAAGCTGGCACTGCGAAGAGCAACAGAAACACAGACAGCAAGACGACGATGACGACAGCAACTGTGTGGAATGTGACGGCGGCAGCAGCAGCAGAGGCAGGGATGCACCACGACGTCGACTGCCACCAGGATCACCAGCAGCAGCAATCACGACCACGGAACGGCGCGACAAGCACACCACGAAGGCGGGGTGACGGCTGACGACGACAAAGAACCACCACTGGTGAGACCATGGATAACAGCCGCACAAGAAGCACCGCAACAACAACGACCGCAACGACAACAGCAACATCCCAAAATGAGGAAGCGATGTGTCATGACGATTTGGGGGGGAGTCATCCCTGCAGGGCAAGTAAGCTTTCGGTCATGCAGCAGCCAAGGACTCAGCTGGCCAGATCTGGGGCTTAACATCCCAGCGCTTCATGAAGCTGAAAGTAGTTGACACACCACAGTGCGATTCCGATGCATCACTTGATGCTGCCTTGGAATGTTGACGCTTTCGGCGACGAGAGCAGAAGTGGCAGCGGTATTGCTTGCCATTCGCACATCCGGTAGGCCAGGCAGCTCTTGAATGTGTAGCTGTGAGCTTCAGGGGGCTCCAGCCGTTGAATTTTCCATCAGCTTGGCTCCTTTACCCCCGCAAGCACTGCTTCGAAGTTTCAGATCAGCCGGTGACGGCCTACCACCGAACTTGCCGCACTAGTCAGAGCCTCAAATCAAAGCGTTCTCGAGTCTTGCCGGAGCCTGCGGCATGCAGCGGAATTCGCCATCCAGCCGGCGAAGTCGGCAGGATCTGAAGATCTCCGAAAGCTGAAGCGCTGGGCTCGTGAGGTTCGGGTGCCCTCCAACAACCTCTCAGCAGCCCTCCGTGTTTCCCGGAAGCTTGGCCTCACCAATACCGGTTCAGGAAGAAGCATGATGCACGAAATGCATTTTGGTGATCCGACCTGGTCCCAAATAAGTTTAGGCTTCTTACCGATGAACAAGGTCTTTTCAACAACCCAGTCAGAGGCAGGGAATCGTGGAAGGTGCCTTTGCTCGGAGGCGGCCGCTTTGGGCTTGAAGGCATCTTCAGACTCTCAGTGACCGGCGAGGCCACGAAAATCGCCTTGCTTGTTTTAGTGAGTTGCATTTTATGGTCTACACACATAGTATAAACGATACATGTCATTGTGTCATTGTGTATAACATGTGTGTGAGTGTGAACAAGAACCCTGGTAGCCATCCGCCTGGATCCTTTCCGACTCACCGCTAGCAACAGCGTGGAACCAGAGGAAGCCCTGGTGTGGGATTGACCTGTTGCCATGGCCCGATTGATAACACCTCGCCCGATACCGGGCCCGACACCCTCAACTGTCGGATAAATGCTTTGGTCTGCCAGTTTTAAATATTCAGTCGAAGGCGATGCTTTGTGGGTCAGTTACCGGGACCATACCACCAACCCATAGGGTTCCCTGTAGCACTACTTAAACCCCACCATAAAGACCCAACGTACCCGCAGAGCTACAATCCATTCCCCGCTCCAAACTTTGCATAGATCAGGAATGTCCTCCGTTTTTATAAGAGGATAACGTATGAGTTGTGTGAGATCCGTTCCGTGGTTTGCGAGCAGCCTTGCTCCGAAACTGTTTTTCCTGTGTCTAGCACGTTTGGCAGCGTATGCCTGCCCACTGGTAAATAGGCACCGAATACGATGCAACATCATCATTGGTTGATGCATATGTGCGCTGCCAGAAATGTGCAAATAACTTTTGACGGTGAGAATGCTGACTTACGGTCTGGGGGTGTGGGGGTAGGGCCTTTCAGATGTGCCCTGTTGTGTAAGGTTAGAATCGTGGCATGTCAAAGTGCTGTGGGAGGTTTTTCTGGGAGCGTTGCAGCCAAGCTCTGCTGTCTGTCTCTCTCTCTCTCTCTCTCTCTCTCTCTCTCTCTCTCTCTCTTTTGACCGAAATGGTTTGGTAACTAGTCATCGCTGCGATGTCTGACTCGTTTTAATCTCTCTCTCTCTCTCTCTCTCTCTCTCTCTCTCTTGGATTCGCTTCCGCTCTCGTTGCCGCGATGAAGACTCTCATGCTCATGGAAGCTGCCGTTCATTTCTTGCAAGCAAGTCTCACGAAGCGAGCATAGCTTCACTGCAAAAGCAGCTTTGCTTGCGCAGCGTTGATCAGTTTAGCAGTTCCGATCAGCTAAGCCTATAGATAGGCGTTGGAATGTTCAATGCCTGCTGCTGTGCTGACTCTGGTCGGCAACTGTCGCAGCACGCCGGCGAAGTCGCCGACGAGGTGGGTACAATGCCCCTTTGCTTCCCGGCACAGCAGGCGCATGATCCCGGCGCAGATGACATCGTAAATTTTCATGTAATGTGCTTCGTGTGCCAGGCAAGCGCGAGCCGGCGGTCCGCCCCTTTGACTTCGATCAACGTGCGAAACGATCCCGGGAGCAATATGTCAGCAGTCTTCCAGATTGCTTGCAATGGATGTGCAGCCTGTTGGCCCGAGCCACGGAGGATAGCTTCAAAAATCAGAACGGCGATGCCAATGATGATGAGGCAGTCTCGCATCTGGAAGTGCTAGGTTTTCCTGGAACCACAATCAGGTGGCGGTAGATTTCCAACGCTATCAGCAGGTCGAATGGCCCTGACATCCTGTGAGATATTTCAATGGTCATGACTGGATAAATGCTTGTCAGCTGTTCAAGAGTAGCGAGTTCAGTGGTACTGGTACATGCTTGGGTGTCGAGCCAGCCCAGACTCATGGATAGTCGGTGGTGATTAATTCATAACTCTGTGAAGTGCAGGCAAGCCGGGAGAAGTACCTCACCAGTATGCGCAAAGACGAGGTTCCGACAGCTAGATTGATCAGAGACTGCAGGCGCTTGAGGCTTGGTTTGATGTTGCGCAACTGCTTGAGACAATCAGTCGAGCATCAGCCTGCTGCATGCTTGTCGCTGCTGCCAGGTGCGGGGTCTGCATCCCGCTCCTTGGTTGGCACAAGCCATGCACTGGTGCTGCTTCAGAGGGCAATGCCGATTTCCTAACTTGCTTTGTTTTGGTATGGTGCGCTCGTTCATGCAGCGCATGCTGGTGCATGGATGTAGACAATCTTAGATCGAAGTGTTAAGACAGTACTTTCGCCACTCTCGCAGCCAGAGCACAGGGAACTGCACATGTCTCTGGAACAACGGCCTAGAGACTAGCGGGCACTACGGGCAGGTGTAAATTGTCCATCTTCAAGGCTTGTGATCGCTTTTGCAGAAGAAAAGGTCGTTGCTGAAGCGGCAGATATACTCGGGGGCCTTTCCGATTGGCAGCGGAGTTGGTGCACGGAAGAGGCATCCAAGGGCTTCCAATGTTGAAAGCTTCATCCCCAGTAGCTTGAGGCTTTCGGGTCGGAGCCTGGGTGCAGGTGGTTTCGATATACGAGCGTGGGCGCCCGGGAGATGTGCCAGCAGCGGGGCAACTTCTGGCCAAGGCTTTGCGCTGGCGTCAGCAGCACGAGGAAGCATGGCTCAGAGTAACAAACGGAGATGCATGATTGGACGTTGTTGCTGCAGTGCTGCAGCACCGAGGACATCCTCGTTGGCAGGCGACTGCCAAAGTGGGTTCATGATTGTCGGGTCCTGACTCACGGTGACGAAGGGCATCCCTTAGTGTACGTGCAGCCTAGCTTTATCAGCAGAGCTGTTTCAGGAAAGGCCTAGGTTGGCGAGAGACACTTGTTTCCCAATCCATGCACTCGTATGTGACGAGAGACCAGCAGCAGAGGTGCATGCGACATCAAACCACTTTCTGCAATTCCAACGACGTGGAACATTTTGCAGTCGTCATGGAGGCCGCAGTGAAGGAGATGCCTCCCACTGCGCAGCAGGCCAGATAGTGCAAATCATCCGTCCTGTTAGTGGGCCCTTCTGTGCAGCAGATGTCCAGTCTGCGTGTAATGGCAGCTGCGGCTCGAAGGCCCATAAGCCCCCATGCGTCGTATGACCGTCGCATTGAAGCATTATCACTATCTTGGGGACTTTCAGGACTCCCGACCCGGAAGACATCTCACATGCAAGTTGTTGTGGCCTGTGCTGCAATGCCTGAGTTGCATGCTGGGGGAGGTGTCATAGTCAACTTGCGCACAGGGTGTCATTGTGCCACCTAGTTGGACCTAGTTCGGACAAGCCACCAGCTTGATTGAAAATGGTACCGGTTGTGGACCCCGAGTCAGTCCAGGAGCAACCGCCAAAGTCAGAGCGCCAAACATGAGCATCAGCCATGCCACCTGCTGGCTTGACTGCTGGACTGGTTTCTTGTCGCCCTTCTCGGCATGTGTGTGAGCCTGCGAAGGTTGACTGGATCATGGATTTTCATGGTGCCGACTTCCGGAATCATCTCGATCCGAGGGTTATGCTGCTGGGCTAGATTTGGCCTCGAATCTCGTAGCGCTGGGAGGAAGATGACGTGACACTTTTAAGGATATCGATCGGGGAAATGATGCAACAACCTTATCGAGATCGACTGCGATCTGCTTGCGCCCAAGCTGGGTGACGCAACATCTTACAGGCAGAGTTGTACGTAGTTTAAAAGCCACAGAGTCCTCGGTTCAGGTGATTCTGGTGGATTTTCCGTTCATACTTCGGCCTATGATGAATATTGCTCTGCCCTTCCTGCCGGTGAAAACGCGAAACAAAGTGTATCGTCTTTCTGCCGACGCCGCAGTTAACCAGATCAAGGTGACGGGCTCGGCGACCAATTCGAAGCTATGCTAAGTGCGCATGTAAAGCACGTAACTAGGACTTCCATGAGGGTGCTGGTGGACGTGTAGGACCCCTGCGGAATTTTGACGAGTGCGTGTTTGCCGGGGTTCTTTACAGGATAGCAGTAACAACAGACCCGTTTATGTGCCTCTCTTCAGCCAACGGTCGAAAGCCACGTGCCTTGACAGGAGTTTCAAGGACACCGCGCAGCTCAGATTGTCCAGCAGGTAGTGCGGGAGAATCGCAACGACACTGGTCCTGGCGCTTTGCCTAAATCCTTGCCAAGCCGCCTGGCTGCACTAGCAGTCACTAGCAGCACTAGCAAGGCAGGCAGCACACAACGAAAGCATTGGGGGCATTTCCGGAGCCATGTGCTCCTGTGCTCTTTAGTCGCCGAGGCGAGACCCACTTCTGGAAAAGTGTGAACGTCGGCACTGACCGTCTTGGATCGCTGGCCGAGTCCGAAACCAAAGGTGACCGGGTTTTCACAGACAAGACATCTCTGAAATCTGCAAATCCTCTCTTCTTCCAGGGTTCATACTGAACAATCCCGCCCAACCCTAACCGCGTGAGTCGAGGAGAGCAGTCGCGTGTGTGGTGTGCCCGTCGAAGTCGCGAGCTTGGATGAAACGGTCATGTTTTGATGCCGTACACTTCTGTTTCTTGGGTTCTTGTTCCTGCCTCTCCTTAAAGGAGAGGACGGAGATATTTAATTAGCTGTAGGATTTTTCGCACCGTGTTTCGATGCAGGGCAGAAACCCGCATCCTCCAGTGCCTTGTGCATTTGTCGGAATATCGCTTGGTGGCCTTTGCGAGTTGCTGCTTGGCGCTCCAGCGGCATCATTCCTCGGAGACAAACCAGGGCAGGTGCTCGGAAGGGACCTGAGAAGGATTGGAAGTCGAATTCACCGAGTTAATAAGCACTTCATCTACTTGTCAAGGGCTTCTTACATGCCCTACTTGCACCCATCCGTTCAGGGCAAGCGTCCACGGTGTTCCTCCGAATAACACGGGCTTGTGACATTGCCCACCGTGATTTGGGATTCCAGTCGAGCTCAAGACTTGGGCATGTTGAGACAGTACTCTGATCAGCTTCCTAGCCTTCCACAAACGTGCAACTGTTTTCCGCCCTTGATATGCAAGAAAGACACGCTCGCCCAGCGGACACCACAGAAACATAAGAAATCATCTACGCCGGGCCGGAGCTGAGATGGCTCTCCGGCGCCTGCGTGGACCCTTGTTGCGGCCCATCTGCCGAGCCCGCCGGGCGTTCTCCTCTTTGAAGCCGTGGGAGGCGCTCTCTGAATCCCAGCGCGCAGCCTGGGAGTCCCTCGGCCGCGGCGAGTCCTGGCATCGCACGCCGCAGAAGACCCTGCCGAGTTGGGGCCAGCTGCAGGTGCAGCTGGGATTTGGAAAAAGATCTTACAGGGCTTTGGTCGATGTGAGCGTTGAAACTGGGCATCCCTCCTGAGGCCCACCAGCAGGCAGCCGCCAAGCATGGTCTGGGACTTCATGAAGAAAGCTGGGAAAAATTGAGGGCCCAGATTCAGGCCGAAGCCGCCGCACCTTCACCTTCGGTGTCCTCTGGTGCTTCATTGGCACGCGACGGCGCTGGCGCTGGCGCTGCCAGGACTGGAGCGGCAGGATTGGCCGGAGTCGCCTGGTCCGTCTGCAAGACCCTGGCTCCAATCGTCGGAGATGCGCTCGATGGGGCCAAACACCCCGGCTTGCGCCTGTTGGGAGGAGCTTTCCGGTACATGGCAGATGTAAACGATACTTTGGCAGCTCCTGTCACGGTGGATGACGTCGAAACCATACTGTACTTGGACGACTCGGGCTCAATGCGTGGCTCCGTCCAAGGCGTGTTTGGCAAGTCCGGCTTGCACTTGGGCCAAGACGCCTTGGATCAGGTGGTCCCTTTACTTCAGGGGCCAACACGTATTCTCAAGTTTGGAACTCTCCCTAAAGTGCTGCTTCCAAGAGAAGAGCTCTCTGGGCCACAAGAAACAGCTGCCACAGCAACACTGCTCCAGAGCCTTGTTCGCATTGTTTTTGCGTTTCGGGCATGTGGTTGCTGACAGATTCCATGAGCCATGCATTGCCGCTGAGTAGCGTGGTGGCCGCTCAGTGGAACGGCACCTCCGGGGGGACCTACATGTGGAAGATGATCGAAGAGGACGTGCGCTCGAGGTATCTCCCTGGCCATGGCCGCCTGCGCCTGATTGTCATCACGGACGGGGAGGATACGCACTCCCCAGGCATTGAACAAACAGAAAAACACACACAGACACACACAGAAGGTCTGCTGTCAAAGGGGACACAGTCGATGTCCGCACCTGTGCTTTTGTGGCAGGTGCTTACTGCGGCATCAAGGGCATGGATGCGTTGATGAAGGACAGGTAGGCTGAAGATTCTGTGATGCCTCGCAAGAGCATCTTTGCCCTAGCTGATCAAACAGCGAAGTTGATTGTTGAAGCAGAGGGGTATTCCGAATAAGTTGTGCTGCTGCTGAAGGAGTTGCAGAAGCAGGGCTTCGACGTCGAATGGCACATTGCCACCTGGATTGTAGCCTGTGGACCTGCTGCAGCCCTCAGCCGGAAAGTCTTTTTTGACTGACTCTCGGGTTATGGAAGCACTGAGATCATCTTGGGCCGGTTCCAAGCTGCGGAGCGAAAGCGCTACGAGACCTTGGCGGGTGCCACCGGTGGCTCCTTCCTCGCGCTGGAGGCCTCGCGCGTTCCTGCTGATACCTTTTGGGATTCCCCCGGGTTTGATGGCACTAGAGCTCGAGGTGTGTGAAGGGTTGTTGTAGTGTCACAGAAACACCACGACCACAAAGCACTCTTAGCACTCTTGCGATCGCGTGTCGACGAGGAAGCGGAAGCCTTCCAAAGCACGGCCGCACAGCGCTTTCTCGCAGCTCTCAAGGAGAAGCCAGGCGCGCGGCAGGCTTGGAATGGAAGGGAAGAAACATGCTTCAAAGGGCATGCGCTGAATGACAGAATTCCCAAGATTTTCTGTCTCGCACCAGGCTCGGCAACAGGCGTACTTGGCAGACACAGCTGCCGGCCGAATGGAGCGGGTGGAGTGGTTCAAAGCCTTACCGCCGCCAGGAAAAGGTCTACAACGGGAAGATGCTTGTGAGCCGTCGAGTTTGCATCAGCTCCGTTCAACGGCTGCACCACCGGAGAACCCTTCGAGCCCAACCGGTCAACTCCAGGTGTGTTGAGCAAGGCAATCTCAAGTCTGCAGAACTTTGGATGCCCACGCCGCCCTTGCTCAAGCACCGTAGCTGCGCGAACGACTACGAGCTGTTTGTTTTCAGTAGCAGTCCAGATCTGGAGAAGGTGTGTAACAGTGTAGTGTCGTCTCGGAGCAACATCATTCACGGGCCACTTGCATCTAAAAATCCTGGTCTATAGATCTGAAGTGCCGGCCGTGGCCATGCAGGCCCCGCGTTGTAAGTCAGCGCCGCACGGTACGTCGAGGGTTGTTGAGATTTGCCTGACTGTGCCAGCCGAGCAGCAAATCGAGCTAGCAGGTGCTGCAGGGCTTTCGTGGTACTGACTTCGTACATAAGTCAGTGGCCTAGCATCATCTAAGCGTCGGCCTAGCTGAGCGGAGATTGGCCACAGTCGAGCCGCAGCAGGTCCCGATGTCCAGTGCGCCCGTGCTGATTCCGAAGACCAGCAATGACTGACACCCAGCCCGGTCAAGTCGTGACTTCGAAGCTCAAGCAGAAGTCTAAATCGGCGATCTTGATCAGATCTCTTGGGCTTTCGACCAGCTGTGAAGTCGTATACTACATTGCTCGCAACTCTCCCATGCCTGGTACTCGTATTCCCTTTGTCGGCCTCCGCTTTGGGTGTTCAGGCCGGCATCAAGAAGGCGACTGTGCAGGCAGCGAAGCAGTTCCCGAGTCTAACGAGTCCCCAGAGAAGGGAGTGCTGGACCTTAGGCCTTCTGCCAGCCGATCCGATCCGAATCGAATTCTTTTGACGAATGTCTCAGCGAGCTCAGTGTTGGTGGACTCCAGATATGAAGGTTGCGGCTAAGTTGAGTCTCGAGCGGGCAGCTGTGATATGGGTAGTTACCCATCAAGAAGCAAGTGTAGACCTTCGGATATTGAGCCCGATGGAATTTAGTTGCATCTTGAGAAGTGTCCTAAGTGCAGAGCCTCCCAAGACTTCAGCCAACCTCAGAGGTCACTGTCCTGTTGTGATTGTGGCGTTAGGGCGTTAGGATTCTCCAATTTTCCAACTGGCTGCCATGGCGAATGGCTACGCCTCCAAGGACTCGCCCCTACCCGAGGCCTCACCCTCGGAGGCTTCAAGGTTTTTGTCGAGAAATCAACAAGGCCAGCGGGCCGCAGGCAGCAGATCATCCGCAGGCTGTCGAGCTGTCCTTCCGGTTTTGCTCCCCTGCTGAGGCCAAGATGCGGTTTTCAGAGCTGCGCCTGGCAGAGGAGGGCAAGCGGGCAATGCGGGAGGCGGACGGGTAGGGAATGAGAGGTTCCGTTTCGGACGAGTTGAGCGTTGAGAAACGCACAACACATGATCTCTCGCTTGATTTGCTGTGCGAAGTGCTGTGCTAGTGACTGCATTAAATCAGTGTTTTCTGTCACTGCTATTGATCTTTCCTCGTGCAGTTGGGGTTTCTTGATCAGTGTGGATGTTCTTTGGCAGAAGGTATCGCGAGAGGAAGGAATGTTTGTACTCGAATCATAGGGCAAGCTTGCCGAAGTAGATGCGTGCTTTGACCAGGCCTTCCAGTATGAGTTCCTGATCCCTAGCAGCACAGTTTGGAATAGTGCAGTTCGTGTTGGTTAGTGATTTCCGAGCAGATTCCGACCACTAAGGACGGAGATCCAGCAGAAGACCTTCGAATCCATCCGCAGTGGTGCCGAGGTCGTGGCGAGGGCGAAAACAGGCGGTAGGGAATGGACAGCGGGGAAAACTGCTCGGGGAGAACTGGCAATTTGGCTCTTGCCAGGTTCCGGAAAAACACTGAGCTTCCTACTCCCTTGCTTGGACAGGCCAGTCCTGCTCATGAAACTGCACAGAGGCTGTATGCTGTAGAAGACTAGACCGCACTTGGATATCTCATGATTCTGCATCTCTGAGTTGTGTGCGTGATAGATTAGAAGTACATAAGGAGAGGGCTGAGGGGTCATCAGAATGTGCGCATGTCATGCGGAGGCTGCACGAAGAGCGGGCAGCTCCAGGCCGGACCAGGATCCAGGGTCCTGGTTCTGATCTCCATATCATATCATAACATGATCATTTCGGGGCCAGGAGGATTTTTAGGACATTCGTACTGCTTTTGTGTGAAGACCTCCATCAAGAGAGAGAGACGCCTGAGGAGCGTCAGGGCCTTTTCCCGGCGGTGGAACCGACCATTCGCCGCCCTCTGTCAGGCGAGATTGCTGTTCTGGTTCTCACGCCGGTGCGTGAACTGTCCATGCAGGCCAGACTCGGGGGCTTGGTTCACAGCATCCTTCTGACCTTCATTGGTCCAGCCGAAGAAATCAGTTGCCCGACGACCTCCACAAATCGAAGCAGACAGACACGGAGTGTGTCTGGGTTTCTTCAAGCTTGAGCTGTGGGATGTCAGGAAGCTCCTCAGGTTCGAGGCTTCCGTTTCAGCAGGAAATGACAAAGGGTGTCGGGCATGTATGGTTGCTGTAGAGATGCCCGTGTCATTTTGTTCGGAGCCTTACGCACTCTGCCATGTGGTCAGGTTGCGGCCGAAGCGGAGAAGCTGGCAAAGTACTACAGCAGCAGTAGCACCTCCTTTCAACTCAAGTTGGGAAGCACTTCGAACACGCGTGATCAATTGCTGGCAGACTCTCAAAGTGCCTTGCAAGTGTAACGATGTAGAAGCGATTGTTTTTTCGATAGACTTGCCGCCAAGCGTTGTGATGGTTTCTCTGACGGCCCTGTCGCGCAACATCAGTCATGGCAGACTTCAGTCTTTCCTCTTCACCTCAGGGAATGACACCTTCCGCGTCAGGTATGGTTTGCATGACCGGCGGTGTACCGTGGGAGGAGGCGCTTTTTGCTTGCATCGGGACATGTCGGTGCCTTTGAGCCTTTGACGATATGAAGCGTCAGCGTGCTTTAAGCCATGTTTGACGCGACAGGAGGCCTATCTCGGGAGGGACGTAAAGCTTCTACACATTCAGCTTCCAGCATGCGGAGTAGCCGTGAGCGCAGCAGAGCGTTGCAGGATTTGGAAGCTTTGAATGCAGCATCGGGCGCAGTGCAACTTGACTGAATGCAAAACAGAGCTGCGCACCATGAGTACTTCAGTGCTTGGGATGTATCTGCGATTGGTCGAATGGGATTTGCAAACCTCACCCTTTCCGGTGCTGGCCCTGCGAGGACCCTGGTGGCCACTCCAGGCCGGCTGCAGAGCCATGCGCCTTGGCCGAAGACCCCAAGCCATGGTACTAGGGGGCTGAGGCTTACAGCTTACAAAATCACAAAGCCATCATGTCACAGACGGAAATGACTCGTAGTCTGTTTTGCGAAATCCAGACTCCCCAGCATAGCAGTGCAGCGACCTCCCTCCCCGAATGGTGTCGATTTCATTTGGTGCTGAGCATGTCTGTGGGATTTGGAAGCCTGAGGCGACGAAAACCGATGGCTTTGCCGATCGGCTAGGCAAGGTGCAGACTCTTGGGTTACCATTCAGATTCTACCGAGTGGTGCGAATCAGCTAATCGCTATGGGGCCTGGGGCTTGAGCAGCTGCCGCCATTGCTCTTCCGCTTTTTTCATAAGGGTAGATTGGTAGATTCCCTTGGCCGCACATCACTGGCGTGTGCCCTTCTCTGTTATACTGGCTAGTCTGTTGCCTGAGGATCCTGGTGTTGGACGAAGTGGATCAGCTGGCAAGCGTGACTAGGCGCACCTAAGACTTTGACTTTCTGGTGCTCAGAAAGCTGGGTGCAGCTTGGTTGTCCTCAAGGCTTCATGAGGATAAGGTGATCAGGTCCAGGTCCGGGAGATGTTGCTGAACGATGCAAGTCCACTGGTGCATGACTGGCGGGCTGTTTCAACATTGCATGCAAGACAAGGGTAGGCTGGTTTCTGTCTTTCAGACACCGGGCTTCTCATCTGTTTATCTCCAAGTCCGCCCAAGGATGTATTTCGGCAAGCGACGCTGGACTCGGATCACAGCTGAGGGCTCGCAAGTGATTCGCAGGGGGTTTTCAAGGGACGACAAAAGCCAGAAACGCCGAAGCCGTTGGTTCTCAAAGATAGCAAGTGGAGAAAGAGAGGGACAGAAACAATGAGGGGCAAGAGAGGTGCGGAACTCAACGAAGCCTGATCAAGCCCATGGCCTGCGAGTCCACGAGATAAAGCTTTCCAGGACATCGTGAAAGTGCTGCCTCCGGCAAGCCAGCGCCAAAGCCTGTGCCTCTGGCGGCAGAGTGCTTTACTGCTTCAGATCTTCGGGAGATAGCAGACGAAGCCGGAACTTCCATCTGTGGGTGTTGCCCAGTTGAGTGAGCTGCAGTGCCGTCGAACCATTCGCCATGTAGCTTCGACCATGGCCTTCGAGGTTCTACTCCGCCACAATCGGCGACGCTGTTACGAAGTTGGTCACCTGGCAACCGCTCAGATGTTGCCACCCTCTGCCGGTTGCAAGCTCGCCTGATGTACGGGATTCGAACTGGTAAGGTGTGGGCTGGAATGATGTGCTTTACCTGTGATGTGCTTTACCTCATGTGCAAGAGCAAAGCTCCTTTCCGCCTCTTCGAGTGCAAGTGGCAATCCAACAAAGGTCAGCCAAATTGGCAAACCGGAGCATATTTACGTGGATGAAGCTTGGCTGCTTCCTTCCTGGAGCATTCAGCTTCGTGTTATGCCCATGTCTACCTTCTGTTTCTGTGCACGATGCTATCTGGAAGCCTTCCTGGACACGTTTCCTTTTTTGCAAAATGTTCGCGTCAAGAGTAAGAGAGCGGTGGTGCGCATGAGATGAAGGTCATACGATCTGATGATGTGCTGGTGCCCGAGCACATCCGCCAGACGTATGCCGCCTCGTCCCCAGAAAGCTGACTTCACGGGCTGTGCACAAGGCCGGATTCTAGAGGAACGCGAGCTGAGGTCTTGCCGACGGAGCGCATGACGGAATGAGACCTGGACTTCATTCCTGGCCTTTTGACCGCAGCTGCTGTTCCTGCAGCCTCTGTAATTAAGCCGAGGCCTGTGGGCATCCCTCACCATTGCAGCCGCAGAGGAGGAAGCGAAAGTCGCGGCTGGACCGCACTTCAGCACCGTTCATCGAAATTTGAGAATTGCATTGCTCGCCCTCTTGTGCAAAGTGGGAAGATGTGAGAAGCTAGGTAAGACAACCATGAAGTCGGCCCGACTGTCTTCACTTAGGTCGTGATCTTCATGACGGGCCGTATAGCTGCCTACTACGCCGAAGCTTTTCGGAAGTCAGGCCCCCTGCAAGTCGTCGGCTAGAGGGATCGCATTTTGGATGGCCAGATGATGGAAGAGGGAGGAAGCGCCCACTCCGACTACTCCGGTATTGTTCTTGACGATACCGGCTGTTGACTGTCCGAGTGAGCGAAGGCACCGATCTGCCCGTCTTCGAGATCCATGCGCGAAGAAGCCAGAAGCAGAGGACATGTATCCGAGATGCACAGTCTTAGGTCAACATGGTTTGTAGCTGTTCTCATGTGTAGGACTTCGTTGCTCTTTCGGGCTGCTGGTCTTCGTTCACTAGAGTATGAACGCAATGAATGCAGCTGCCGTTGAGGACAGATGAGTCAGAGCGTTATCGCGCAGCAACCCGTGGGGTGCTCTGCGGCTGCTGTTCAATTGTCTTTTCAGGCTTCGGAAGTTCCTAAGTTTCTGAGAACGGAACTCGCTCGCCTTCTCCCTCCTACCTCCTGATCCTTCAACTTCCTCCATTCTAAAGTGAATGTAGCAGGGCCGGTACATTTGGGGTGTTTCCTCTCATGAGACACGAACGTCCAAGGCTTTTCACAAGCGACGTGTCCTCTCGCGGTTTGGACTATCCAGGCCAGGCCTGCCCATGCTTGTGGCAAGCTGAATTCCACACCAGGGTTTGGATGCTTCTTGCAGATTCATTGCCGCTATTGCTGCGCAACTGCTCTCCGAAAGAGACCTGCCCCGACTCCAGGGGTCACGCACGTGATTCAGATGGGGGCAGCCCACTCTAAAGCAGCCGCGTCCCAAGACTTCGAAAACAGTTGCAGCTTGTTTGGCAGGGCAAGAGGCACGCAACGCTTGTTTGAAGAAGCACCTTCTGCAGGTCGCAGATGCATGTAACTGGGGAAACGGTCGTGATGATGCAGTTACCCTTGACCTCAACTGCTTCAATGTTCGGGCATGAGGTGTTCTCAGCAAGGGTCAGCAAAAGTGATAGGAGAGGTCTGAAGGACACCGCAGCGTGACCCAAGGAATATGTTCACCGCCTTGGGCGCACCGGGCGCGCCGGCCGCGAGGGTCAGGGGCTACTGGGCGGCACCAATTTTCCAGTTTTGGGACCAGATGTAGCCGGTGGCCTAAGGTTGCTCCTACTGCACGAGTTCGAGCAAGGCAGGAAGCTTACGCTGGAGTGCTTGTAATGCACTCTTTGAACTTGGCAAAGGTTTAGACCCTTCCTGTCGGTAGTGTTTGTGCTTGTAGCTCGGTGAAATGCAGCCAGCCGTGCGGGATTGGGATGATGATGCCAGATTGCCAACTTGGCAAGGAGCGGAACCGGTCACTGAATGCGTCTGCATTCTCTAGACATCTGCAGGGTTTGGATAGCCTGAAGAACTGTCACCGTCTCCCTCATGCCCACTAACTTATGAAGAGAAAGACTGTTTCTACAAAGCAGGCTGTGATGTTTTCAGTACTTCCTCCATAGGTCTAGCCCCACCCCATCTCTGGCAACCCTCCTGCGAGGCTTCCTGGCAGAGGTTTCAGACCTCGGGATTGCCGAGGTGCCCCCACCAACCGCCGTGGGGGCGGCTCAGCCTCAGATTTTTAGAAAGAGATGGAGTGCTTCGAAGCAAGACTTCTGCGTTCGATCGTTTTGGTCAAATTTTGGTCTTGACATTTTTGGAGTGGTTCCGTCAGAAGGCATCTCTTACGACCGCAAATGACGATGCACTTTCGGGATAAGGAAATGCCAGACTTCATCGGCATGCCTATCGCCAAGAACGTCAAGGCCCAGGCCTACTACTCGCGGCCACCCGGTTGAAGTTCAGCCCACGCCTGTGCAGGTCACGGTAGGGTCTGGGACACTGGTATGTTTGGATGCCAGAGACTCTCAAGGATCAACCACGTGATGCGCAACTCGAGCCTTGGCAAGCTGGAAATCATGCGCGAGGCCGGCGTAAGGCCATGTTTGCAGGGTCATTGCTTGAGACACCGCTTCCTTCCCGACAGGTTTCCATGCGTTGCACGGTACACGAGAAAATTCCCTGTCGGGAGGCCAAGAGATTTGCAGCATCGGTCGGGGCACTCGATGAGGCGGGTCGGGGGCACAGAGAAGCGCAGGGCTTGAGCCCGGCTGGCCACATCTGAACGAAAGTTCGTTTGCAGCGATGAACCGACGGTTGGGCTGAGATTAGGCTTACATCGAAGTCGGTAAGTATTCGATGCCAAAAGTCCAGCTGCAAGGCATGAGCATGTTGCCACAGCACAGATTATGCTCGATGGTCTGCGAGTCCCTTGGCCAGGAGGGCCGCCCGCCGGAAATCACACGCGAGAATGCCGAGAAGATGGGCGTGACACGACGGATTCTGTCATCTTCGTAACGAGAGCCTCAGCTAGGCGAAAGGAACCTCTGAGACCCTCTGAAACTCTCTGATTATCTTGAGCGGACACTGATGCCCCGATGCCCCGCTCCCGCGGCTAAGATTTTGGAGTTCAGGGTAGCAGCTCCGCATGTTTGCTTTGAGGCGAAATCCAAGTACTCTGACCTGAAGATCTTGTTCCTAGGACACTGCTGGGAGGAGCACGAAGCCACCGGTTCAAGTTTCTCTCGTCCAGCGCTTGGGAGTGACTGGAGATTTACTGCAAGCGTTTATGAGGTTTTGAAAGAATGCTGGAAGGCGATGGCTGGATGAACGGCCTCACTTTGGGCCTGGGGGCCCAAGCCGGCTGCTTTCGACCAGTCCCCATCGACTGGGAGGAAGTCGCCCGATGCTGCGGCCCGGTGATCGGGAGATCGGGAAGTGCAGAACCCAGCTGCCCCTACACGTCCCAGGAGGCTGAGATCTGCTGTGAAGCCAGCCTCATTGCTGAAGTGCCTGTCACCGCGCCCAGGGAGACTGGCCCCCAAACGTCGGCTCGCGTGGCTGAGCTCGCTTTAGGGATGATGGCTGTGTCTGCTGGAACCCCTTGTGGAAGCGCATGCCTCAGCAGCACGCTTCAGCAGATCCAGGCCCATGTGGCTTCAAGCTACGCAGGAGCGACAGCCTCGGGAAATTCCCGGTACTATCGAGTCAATGCGGTGGGTCAAATTCTGGTGCTATGCTGGGTTGCCATGAACCTCCTGCACACTGCAGTCACCGGACCCAATGAAGAGCTGACCTTACAGGTCTCCGACTTGCTGCTTCTCGTGGCCACGTCTTGGGATTGCTGGGCGAGTGCTCTTGCTTTGAAGCTCCCACTCTTTCGACTTTTGGCGCGGCTCTTGCATGTCATGGACTCTGTCTCTCACGTGAAACCCGGGCTTCATTGCAACGCCACCGGGAGCAGTCCGAAGCGACTCTTGACACTCTGGCGACTCCAGTGGTCCTTGGTACAGGACCCCACCTCCGTGGCGACGTCTTACCTGCGTATGGTGCAGGACTTCCTGGACACCACTTTTGCACCAACCTCGGCTTGCGAGTGGCTGGCTGTTGCGGGACAGTATGTACTGACGTATCGCTACTCCGAGCATGGGTATTTGGAGTTTTTGGAAGAGAAGGAGAGCTTCCTTCAGTGGGCTGCTCGCGCCATGACGATGGCTTTGTTGAAGGCCGGGCGGGAAAAGGCAGCTGCGACGTTCCTGCACAGCGCCTGGCCAGTGTGGTATCTCCTAGCCGATGCTTGCTGGATGGGCCTCCTGCAACCCAGTCGACGTTACGTGGCAGAGTTCTTGCAATGGATCTCTCCCTTGTTGCCCCAAAAAGATCCTGTAATCTTCGAAGCTGGGAGCTTCGATGGAAAGCATTCGGAGCTCATGGCCCACGCCTGGCCAGAGGGGAAAGTCTTTGTTTGGGAGGCCAACCCACTCCTTTGCAAGAACGTGGAGATGAAGCTGACGAGCCTTTCTAATGTCGTTGTGATGTGTGCTGGCCTTGGCACATCCACTGGGACCACCAGGTTTTGGCACTGTGGTGAGGACGCCAGTTTATATCATGAAGAGGCAGTTGCCCGCTGTGGTGCACAGGCGCTCGAGGTGGTGGAGGTGCCCTCAGCCACTCTACAGGCAGCTTCAGAACGACTCGGCGAGCAACCCGATTTCTTGTGGTTGGATGTCGAGAGCGCGGAGCTGGACCTTCTCCAAGCGTCCGTCGTCGCAGGAAACGTGGGCCTTGGCGGACCGACCCCGACCCCAGCCGGGCCTCCGGTCTTGGCGAAGGTGGCAGTTATGAAGCTGGAAACGCGCGCATCCGGCCTTTCGTCCTTGAAGGACCTTGAAGCGTTACTTGCTTGGGAAGGCTTCTCATTGGTGTTGGCGCCCGCTGTGATGCTCTACCCGAGCTCCCCAGCTTACCCTTTTGACAACTCTTTTGATGCGATCTTCATCCGCAGGCATGTCTTGGAGGAGCATTTAGGACTCTTGAACTCGACGCGGATGTGCGCAGAGCAGCAAAGGATGCGGCGCCAAAAGACACCGAGATGATATGATAAGATGATAAGCTCAGGGACCAGTTTGACCGTTTGACTGTTTGCACCGGTGCACATAGCAAACCATGAGGCTAAAGCTTCAGCTGAGCTTGCCTTAATTTGGACGGACGGTTGACATGATCAAACTCCTTCGAACCTGCAGAAGCTACATCTCAGGAAATGTGGATACGTAATGATGGTGCTATGTGTCGTAGGCTTCGTATGGATTGCAAGGGTTCAGGAAACTGTAACTTTCCAGGTGCACTCATTCTGTAACTACCTCGCCTGGCTTGAAGCCTTCACCGGATCATGTTCAAGAAGCTTCCTGCAGCCGTGGCTGAGGTAGCCGACATCGAGGACCCCTGCGTCTACATCGTTCCATCGCCGACGAAGTAGGGGATTGTTTTATAGGCGCAGAGTCAGGAGAATGGACTTGAGGCTCGTGAAGCGGCAGCCAGGGTCGAAGCCAAGCTTTCGGTGTGCAAAGTTAGAGGTTTCGCATCCACGAGTCCGAGTCAATCCCAAAGCGACCCGAAGGGTCTACCGTGCTTGGGAGTGCGTTTTGCTGGCGCTGCAACATTACTTGAAAAGGCAGAGCACTCCCAATGGTTCGATTCAGAGAGAGAGCTAGAGAGAGAGAGAGAGAGACCCTTATACCATAACCCTGGCGAAAGAAAAAAGAGAGAGAGAGAGAGAGAGACACTCCTCCAAAAGCCCCACGAACATCGGGGGGGCCTTCAAGGCCGAGGGGCTTCAGACACCCCTCATGCCCCGGAGAAGAAGGAAGAAGAGAAGAGACAGGCGTTTCGGCAAATCTCTGGATTCTAGATTTTCTCGAGGTCCTGCAGACCCGGCCTGGGGCTAGATCCTGGTTTCAACAAGCTTGTGAGATCACGGGTTGAGCAGGAAGTTCCGCCGGAGAATTTTGAGGGGTCTCTGACGTTGTGTCTTGCTCAGCTACCGTCAACGTGCACCATGCCAGTGACCATCAATCATCATCCCGTGACTAGGTGGTTCCTTCAACGCCTGTGATCACGAACTACTGGTGCCCCGGGGTTCGCTGAGGTCCCAAAGAGAATCACCCTCATGGCTCGGCACAGACCTCTTCTTCAGAGCCCACCTTGTGACAATGCAATTGACGTGCCGTTGGAAGAGCCTTTCGTGGACTGACTGTCGACGCTCGCAACTGGGGTTCTTCTGGCATGTCAACATGTCTCAAGAGTAGCAGTGCAGCACTCCCGGGATGTGAGAGGTATTCCTTGACGCCGTATCCGGCCGGCGATCATTACTTTCCCTACCACGATGCTGGGCGTGCACATAATGCGGTTGTAACGTGCAAGGTATATCATGAGTGCTTCAGCGGGCACCTTGACATACTGTACCTTGAGCTTGACGCTGAGTGGAAGCAATAGACTACTGAGGATCCCATGCGTGGTCCCAGGCCGGTGGGGGTCCTTGAGCTGCTCCAGCACGCGACCTTGGGATGTACTGTAGGGGAGTTGCCATGCCCTTGGGCCGGATATAGTTAACCGCCATACCCTCTAGGCCGCCCCGAGAATACAAACGCCGCCCTGCCAAGCAGGTGGAAGACTTCCCAAGATGATGCCTTGGATTCGGCAGCACGCAGCCACGAGGACGGTTCATGAAATCCGCGCCTTCGTGACATCCCTTCGGGCTCTTGCGACTCTAAGGATTACGGCGCAAAGACGCCGCTGATGGAGTTGCGACACGAAGCCTTCATGCCAAGAGCCCAGGTTCTCTGCCCGAGCATCTGCCCAGAGCTGAGAATGTAAGCACGAGGCGAGACTTTCGGGGCCTCTTTCGCTACCCTGGTGGTGCCAGCTCCGTGACATGCATCTCGGTATCTCCGATTCTGCTGTTGCTTCCGATCACGTCAAAGTCTTCTGGTGCGAGTTTGACGGGAGCTGAAAACTGTGTGTGCAATCTCACAGAAAAATGACTTGCTCGCGAAGCTTCTTCGATCTAGGATGCCTTGATATTTCCAGGTCGCGCTACACTTATTCGTTCACACAGCCTCGAAGCAACGCTGAGGGAACAAGCGTCCGCCGCCTCCGGTTCGGCGCATTGCGGTGCGCCGCCGGGGAAGGGATAGCGCATGACAAACCGAGAACATTCGTGATGGCTCGGTTCGGATGTATAGAGGCAATGTGCAGAAGTCACTCCTTGCCCTCTCAATGGAGGAGCCAGAGCCAGAACGTCCAGAGCGCGGCCTGCATGCTTGCGTGTCGACGAGCCATGAAACCTTTGGGCCTGCAGTATGTCATCAGTATGGGTTGAGTGCTGATGAGAGTAGTCCGAGCACAACAGATACTCTGTGCGTTGCCAAGGGCGGAGATATCTTTGCAGCATCTGTCGCGTTTTTTCGAGAGTATTGTAACACGAGGCCGGCGTTCGGTCCCGTGTCGATGATGACGGTACGGATTATCCTCGTCATCATCATAGTCATAGTCGTCAGCATCATCATCATCACCATCATCGTCCTCGTCATCACCATCATCATCATCAGCGTTATCATCATCAACAACAACATCATCGCGATGAGCGTTGTCTCCGTCGTGGTGGTGTCGCTGGGCCGAGTGCATATATCTCGAAGCGTGCCAGGCAGCTGACCATCCTTTGAAAGCTCAGAGATTTAGGGGTCTCAATGATCCTTTTTCGGTCTCACATCTTGCAGCTGGGGCCGTGGTTCTGGCCGAGAAACAGAACCAGAGAGCGGTTTAGGCACACGGGATGACCTGCTGGTGTCGTGTTGTAGCCGAACGCCACACTGCTGACTCTGCTGTACGATGACGTCAGCTGCCTTTTGGTTTCGATAGGCCGTCTCAGCTGCATGCCTTTACCACTAGGCGTGTCATCGTCCCTGAAGGGCACAGTGCAACAAAGAAGCAATCCTATGCTCGAGATCGCTCCCAAAGCTTGTTGCGGCGATGAAACGAATCCGATGGGGAAAAAGCTTGCCGTCGTATTCTGTTTCCAAGAAAAATTCATGGCAGGGTTGAGCAGCTGAGGGAAGCACGGGATTGAAACAGGAGGTGCACCCAACCATTTCCATTCGACTGCAGGATTTCGGGCCAAGGGCTGTGCATTCGCCCAGCCCGTGAGGTCATAGGAGTTGTCATGATTTGCGAAGAAGTCCCCCGCAAATGCCCCTGATCGACAAAGAAGCCTCGAAGCCGGAGTTAGCCAATCTAAATGAAGATGCTGCACTCCCATACCTGTGAAGTGCAAACCAGGAGCCCTAAACCCCAACCCATGCCAGCTGCATCGCGTGTACAGGCTTGGGAGGGGTGGGCAGTGTTCCAGGATGTGGATTCTTGGTTTCAGGAGAGCCTTTGTCGACAGAAGTGAAGATGGCCTAGTCATAATAAGTGACTTGTCTCCATTTGCTGCAAGATCGGCTTGACGAATAACCAGTCGAATTTTGTTTATCCTCCCCGGACTCCATCATCTAAACAGCTAAAGAACACTTGCAACACTCGCGCCGACTCGCCGCCAAGAGTTCTCCACGGCACTCTTGGTGGGAACCCAATCGAAGAGCCGCGGAGGGCTGGGCCCGGCTAGGCCCCCAACATGATGCGTAGGACGAAGGATGCCACTTCGTGCAGGAATGGATGCAGATGACGCCGCCGCAGAAGTTTCACCGGGTGCGACGTTTGGACCGCCTGGTGACGAGCAGCTTGACGGAATCAGGCCTTCCATCGAGTAGAGACCTTGAGGCGATGATAGGAACTAGACCGCTTCAAGACTGAGCACTGAGAGCCTTGGATCTTTCAAACGGCTTTCCTGGACTTCCTATCTGTTCCTCACAACCAGCAGCCATGAGCAGCCCAACGACGGGCTTGAGCTGTCAACTGAATCAGAGTGGTCTTGCAAGCTTAGTCTTACTCGCCGAGGTACGAAATTGGGAAACAGCTGGGCAATGGAGCCGCTTCCCGGGTGTTTGCATGCAGGCCGCCAGGGCGGCTCATAGGAACTCGCCCTGCAGCCAGAGTAATTAGTCGAAAGCCAGAGGTGCGTCCGGCGTCTGAGCTGTCTGAACTCGCAGGCGCCTCAACACCAACGAGCAGCTAGCCGTGAAAGCCGTGGACCTGCGACGCTTATGTGACTCGGGCTGCTTGCAAGGGTGCGTAGCGCCACTTTGGTTGTTCAATGAGGTTAGTGCCGCAGTCCAGAAGCGGGCCTCCAGCCCTGAGGCCTGCTTGGCGACCTCCAGGACCAGATGACCCGCTTAGACAGCGAAGTCGGAATCCTCCACGAGCTCAGACATGCGACTCGGTCAAAGGCAGTCACATTGCTGTCAGAATTCGCTTGGCGAAAATCCAAACCGCAGGCCCTTCGCACCACGACCCTAAGACCAAAGTGGCACTGGGCTACTGAGGAGAGAATCGTGAATCTTCAGGGATTCCACAAGTGCCTTGGCCGTGGTGTCACTGGTTCTTTGCCTCTCCTAAGGTTTCACTTCTGGTCTGCGCAACGTAGGGTGATGAGAACGCGCCTGAACACACCCATGCATTGCTGTGTCATGTAGGCTTCAGGTGCATCGAAAGCTAGCTCGCACTTACAAGTTCGTTCATGCTGTGTTAAGGACGGACAACTGGTATTTCCTCGTGATGGAGTTAGTTGGCGGAGGAGTGCTGCTTTGATTATTTTCGCAGACGGCAGTTTCACTGCAGTTTGTCGTATTTTTTAATGCTTTCCGTTGGCTTTGTCGCTTTGTTACAGTCGGCCTTTCGGCTTCGGCCATTCCTCTGACTGCGTGTTTGCTACATCATTCTGTGCATCAAGATGTATTGGAGCCTCTGCAACCTCGGTGGCGCGGAGGCGTTTCCGACAGACGTGACAGGAGAACTCTTCGACCTCATTGTCCGCAACAAGTCGCTCAATGAGGCGGAAGCGAGCTGCAAGGTTGCAAAAAATCAGCTAGGGCAAGGAACAGACTTTCAATCATAGGGCTAGGTACAGGCTCCACGAATCACCTTTATCCAGCCACGTCCGCCAAGGACACATCTTTCTCCAGCTCCTGGAGGGCGTTGGCTACATGCACGCGCGAGGCCGGAGCAAGCCCAGACAGTTCGACGCAATCTCCCGGCTTGTGTGAAATGTAGGATCCGCCGGATGTGAGGCGTGCTACACCGGGACCTCAAACCTGAGAACATCCTCGTGGCGGGGTCCAGGCGGGACCCGTGTCCGAAGTCTCCTAGGCCACAGACTTCCAGCAGAGCGATCGCAAGTGCCTGGAGGCCGGCCGACGCGCCCGCTTCGGGGCAGCTTTACGACGTGAAGATCGCTGACTTTGGGCTTTCCAAGGCTGCAGCTTTTGGTAGCCTCACAGCCTCTACTGTCTGGTGTCAAGGCTTAAAGTCTGACTGATGTGTAGTCAACGTGTAGGACACGAGGTGTTCGACAGGGCTCAGGCTCAGTATTCTTTCCTTCCTGTGGAGCAAACCCTACAACCTCCATGCATGGTGTGGGAGGCTGATAGCATTTCACAGTCACACGATCAGGGGTCCCGGGATCTCGCACTTCGGACTCACCACTCAGGGCAGGGAGTCTAGCTTTTCAAGGATTGTGATACTTCGAGAACTTCGAACTCAAGACCTTTCAAACGTTGCAGGGCTCGGAGCCGTCGGAGCCGGAGCGTTTTTTGACACTGCCCAGGCCATCGGAGGCGGCGCCTCTCTAGCGAGGACGCGCGTGGGAACGCCTCAGTACTGGGCCCCAGAGGCGCGCTGCCGAAGGGCTGCGACTGCGGTGACAAGAGTGCGTTGCCCTACGCATTGCAGGGTTTTCCGAGCGGTCCAGAGGGCCGAGACGTTCCGAACTCCCATGTCCTTTGTACTCCTGTTCTTCAACCGTCCTCGCAAGACCCGGTTTGCAAGAGAGTGCCCAGCCGACTCGTACCAAGAAGACCCAACCCGGCCGGCTCCGACCACGCATGCGGGCCCTTGACTGATGTACTACGGTGCAGTCAGCCTGCCTGGAAGGTCCTGGACGTGCAGAAACGGGGCGGTGACTTGGCCTGTTCTTCTTGGCATGCGGTTGTGACACCTTCGGAATGTCCATCTTCAAAGGTGGCACTCCCAACGCAAACCTTAATCCTAAGCTTCCTAAGCCTGTCTCACGGAAGGATCACTCGTATCTGATGGATAACTTTCCTTGGTTCCCGTGCCGAGGCTCCTACGACCAAGCGGCCGATTTTTGGGGTTTGGGCGCAGTCCTCTTTGTCACCCGGCATCAGAGAGCCTTCGCCCCAAGGGCCGGAGGCCCAAGGCCACCCAAAACAGGCCCCAGGAGAGCTTCTGCGCAACAACGATGACGATGAATGATGGCACGATGCTTCATGTTACAAGCGTCCATTTTTGATGCTTATTTAGTGAACCACAGCCCGGATCCTAATTGTAGGGGGTCGGGGGGGGTCCGGGTATGGGGGGTAGCGATGATGTCTCCTGCTGCGGAGCACTTCGAGCTTCAAAGAACCAAGCCTGGACCGAGGTGATGCTTTGTGGCAGGTATCCTTTTGACGGCCAGAAGCAAGCTCTGGATGACCAAATCCGCACGGCCTCATACAGCATGACAGGCCGTGCAGATGGGGTCTTGCGTATAGAGCTGAGACTTCGCATTCATGCACAGCGGCGCAGAACTTCTACACACAGATTCGTTGCCACTCCGTGCTTTCGCTGCCCAAAGTCCAGATTCCGCCTGGCTTCTTGGAAATGTACTGAATGCTGGGTTTCCCGCTGCTTGCATTTTGATCCTGGCGAGGCTCACGATGGCGGAACATCTCCGAAGCTGCGAAGAGCCTCGTGCGTGGGCTTCTGCGGGTCAACCCGGTAGACAGGCAGACACGCATTCACACACACACACACATATACACAGAGTCACATACAGCTCGGTACCCGTAACTGACGAAGGAGGAGCTCTCGTTGTTCAAACTTTAGGTTCACTGTGGTGTTCTTTGGCTTTGAGGATCTTGGTGAGGAGGACTGAGGGACTTCCAAAGGTTTGAGCCCCGAGCTCGAGAGCAATTTGGCAGGCTCTCCTTGGATGATTGCCTCAGCCATCCGTGGGTCACTGGTGCGCCCATGCCGCTACCACGGCGGCTGCCTCTCACACCTGCAGCCGCTGGGTTCTTTTGGTTGTGGTTTAAGTCGAGCGCCACAGCAGGCGAGGACGCACATTTAAAAAATACAAACTTGCCCTCAAGCGGCTTCGCAGAGCCATCCAAGGTGCCTGCCTCCGGCAAGAAGTGCTTGGTCGCTCGGAAGCATAGCTGATCTGCAGCCGGTAGAGAAAGGCTGCCAAAGCCCTCCGACATCTGGCTTTGCATCACTTCTCCAGGCCCATTGTCGTTTGTTCTGCTAGAGTTTTGGGATGGGTGATGCCAACGTTCTGTTACTGTGAAGTGCGGGAATGCTTCCCACGGGGCCTTTAGAGCGAATCTTCAGCCTTGTAAGGAACTGGCGCAGCAAGCGGACCTGGCGCAGAAGACTCTTGGAAGGGTTCATGTTTTTGTTTGTCTTGTGCATGTGAGTGTAGGTAGGTAGGTTGCTCTTGAGCCTTCGTCCCGAGGATGGCCGTCATTGCAGAGTCACCTTCAGGGGAAGGTGAGGTCAGGAACTCCGAGGAGCTGCCTGACAGCCTTCTCTTTTTACGTGGGAGGAAGAGGAGAGTTCATCAAATCCAGACCCTGTCACACAACAGCATGTGCCATACTAAAGGCGGAGAGTCCGAGACTCTGAAACTTCAGGGCCAGGGGTAGGAGGTTTGCCTTGAATTGCCTTGTTCAAGATGGCTGTTGCTCGATGCCCTTCGCTCCCGCTGACGCCTGAGAAGCCTCAAAGTCTAAGAGACTAATCCCTTCCCCCTAATATTAAAGGGTCGGGGCCCCCCCCCCCCTTCGCCCTAAATAAAAACTCGAGAATGTTTTTATAATTAGGGGACCCTTGTTATCTCAACTGCCAGAAACACAGGTTCTACAAGTAATTAAATGATGAAAATGATGACGATGAAAATGATGATGACGATTACGTAGCAGCAGCAGCAGCAGTAGTAGTAGTAGTAGTAGTAGTAGTCGGAGAAATAGCAGTTGTAGTAGTAGTAGTAGTAGTAGTAGTAGTAGTAGTAGTAGTAGTAGTAGTAGTGGTAGCAGTGGTAGCAGTCGCAGCAGTAATTAGCAGCAATCGCAGCGGCAGCAGGAGCAGGAGTAGTAGTGGTATTGTCAATAGCAGGAGTAGAACATCCGCAGCATCGGCGCCAATGGCGTTTGGGCAAAGGGGCATGGGAAAGTGGGAATGGGTGGGTTCTGGTGGGTTTGCGCGGGTTTTCGGCGGGTTTGGTTGTGCTCTTGGCGGTTTTTGGTCATTTCAAATTTCGATTCTGGATGGGGAAAGGGCCCACGGGGACACCGCCAGAATTGGGCCTGCGACCGTGCCCAAATCCCCTACGGAGGCAGCCGCCCGCCCCCACAACTATCTGGCCATGGCCAAATGGGTAAACGTCTGCCTCCAAAGCCCTCCTCGCAAAGGTGTGGGCTCAATCCCCGGGGGTGTCATTTGGGCCCTTTCCCCACCCGGAATCGAGATTTTGGGGTGACCTGAAGCTCTGGGCTCTCTGGAGACTTAAGAAACGCTATTATAAGGGCTGCAAATCACACCAAATCCGTGCAAATGCACATTAAATCCGTGCAAAGACATACGAAGTTCGTGCACATGCACACCATGCAAATACACACGGAATCCGTGCAAATACACACTAAATCTGTAAACACGCATTAAAAAAGAACGTGCTGGTGATGTGACGGTTATGATTAGGAAACGTTCTTTTCCATGCTAGTAAGATTCGTATCTGAGTTTCATCATGAATTGTTGTTCCGACAGTCTGACGGCAGTACTTTGCTTAATGTGATGATGATGAGGAGGATGATGAGGAGGAGGATGAGGATGAGGATGCTTAGAATGATAATGATGATGTCGATGTCGAAGGTTTGCAGCAGCCATTGCAGCCATCTCATCTTCCATCCGGTCAATGCACGCTCGCTCATTGTTGTGGGAGTGGTAGCAGTTCGTAGTTGTCGTCGTAATAGGAGGAGTAGATTTAGTGAGAAGTAACAGTAATTAGTCGTAGTCATCGCAGTGGTAGTAGTAGTAGTAGTAGTAGTGGTTGTTGTTGTAGTGACAACAAGAACAGCAGCAGCAGCAGTGGTAATTAGTGGCAGTGGTAATTGGTGGTAGTGGTGGTGGTAGAAGTAGTCGTTGTCATCGTAGTACAAGGAATAGTACAAGTAGTAGTAGTAGCAGCAGGATCAGTAGTAGTAGTACTAGTAGCAGCAGCAGCAGCAGTAGTAGTAGTCGGAGAAATAGCAGTAGTAGTAGTAGTAGTAGTAGTAGTAGTAGTAGTAGTAGTGGTAGCAGTCGCAGCAGTAATTAGCAGCAATCGCAGCGGCAGCAGGAGCTGGAGTAGTAGTGGTATTGTCAATAGCAGGAGTAGAACATCCGCAGCATCAGCACCAATAGCATTTGGGCAAAGGGGCATGGGAAAGTGGGAATGGGTGGGTTCTGGTGGGTTTGCGCGGGTTTTCGGCGGGTTTGGTTGTGCTCTTGGCGGTTTTTGGTCATTTCAAATTTCGATTCTGGATGGGGAAAGGGCCCACGGGGAGACCGCCAGAATTGGGCCTGCGACCGTGCCCAAATCCCCTACAGAGGCAGCCGCCCGCCCCCACAACTATCTGGCCATGGCCAAATGGGTAAACGTCTGCCTCCAAAGCCTTCCTCACAAAGGTTGTGGGCTCAATCCCCGGGGGTGTCATTTGGGCCCTTTCCCCACCCGGAATCGAGATTTTGGGGTGACCTGAAGCTCTGGGCTCTCTGGAGACTTAAGAAACGCTATTATAAGGGCTGCAAATCACACCAAATCCGTGCAAATGCACACTACAACCGTGCAAATGCACACTAAATCCGTGCAAATACACACAGAATCCGTGCAAGTACATGTAAATCCGTGCAAATACACATCAAATCCATGCAAATACGTTCTAAATCCCTGCAAATATACACGGAATCCGTGCAAATACACACTAAATCTGTAAACACGCATTTAAAAAGAAGGCTTCAACAAAGGCTTAGCTAATAAAGCTTTGAATGCGGCTCAATTGAGCAGTTGCTGAGTCATGCAATTGTAATCCTTTGGAAGCATCGTACCCATCCACGTGCTGGTGATGTGACGGTTATGATTAGGAAACGTTCTTTTCCATGCTAGTAAGATTCGTATCTGAGTTTCATCATGAATTGTTGTTCCGACAATCTGACGGCAGTACTTTGCTTAATGTGATGATGATGAGGAGGATGATGAGGAGGATGAGGATGAGGATGAGGATGCTTATAATGATAATGATGATGTCGATGTCGAAGGTTTGGAGTAGCCATTGCAGCCATCTCATCTTCCATCCGGTCAATGCACGCTCGCTCATTGTTGCGGTAGTGGTAGCAGTTAGCAGTTGTCGTCGTAATAGGAGGAGTGGTTGTTGTTGTAGTGATAACAAGAATAGCAGCAGCAGCAGCAGGAGCAGCAGTGGTAATTAGTGGCAGTGGTAATTGGTGGTGGTGGTGGTGGTGGTGGTGGTGGTGGTGGTGGTAGAAGTAGTCGTCGTCATCGTAGTACAAGGAATAGTACAAGTAGTAGTAGTAGCAGCAGGATCAGTAGTAGTACTAGTAGCAGCAGCAGCAGCAGCAGAGTAGTAGTAGTAGTAGTAGTGGTAGCAGTCGCAGCAGTAGCAGCAATCGCAGCGGCAGCAGGAGCAGGAGTAGTAGTGGTATTGTCACTAACAGGAGTAGAACATCCGCAGCATCAGCACCAATAGCATTTGGGCAAAGGGGCATGGGAAAGTGGGAATGGGTGGGTTTTGGTGGGTTTGCGCGGTTTTCGGCGGGTTTGGTTGTGCTCTTGGCGGTTTTTGGTCATTTCAAATTTCGATTCTGGATGGGGAAAGGGCCCACGGGGACACCGCCAGAATTGGGCCTGCGACCGTGCCCAAATCCCCTAGGGAGGCAGCCGCCAGCCCCCAGAACTATCTGGCCATGGCCTAATGGGTAAACGTCTGCCTCCAAAGCCCTCCTCGCAAAGGTCGTGGGCTCGTTCCCCGGGGGTGTCATTTGGGCCCTTTCCCCACCCGGAATCGAGATTTTGGGGTGACCTGAAGCTCTGGGCTCTCTGGAGACTTAAGAAACGCTATTATAAGGGCTGCAAATCACACAAAATCCGTGCAAATGCACATTAAACCGTGCAAAGACATACGAAGTTCGTGCACATGCACACCAAGTTCGTGCTAATACACACGAAATGCGTGCAAATACACACCAAATCCATGCAAATACACAGTGAATCCGTGCAAATACACGCCGATTCCATGCAAACACACACTAAATCCGTGTAAAGACACACACACACTAAATCCCTCTAACTACACACCAGGCACACAGTAAATGCGTGCAAATACACACGGAATCTGTGCAAATACACACACTACATCCCTGTAATTAGACACCAAATACTGCGTGCAAATACTCACGATCCGTGCAAATCCATGCAAATACACACTAAATTCGTGCAACTACACAGGACGTGAGTGCAAATACACACCAAATCCGTGCAAATACACACGGAATCCGTGCAAATACATCTAAATCCGTGAATCCGTGCAAATACATACTAAATCCGTGCAAATACACACTGAATCCGTGCAAATACACACTAAATCCGTGCAAACACACAAATCCGTGCAAATACACACTAAATCCGTAAATACGCATTAAAAAAATAGGCTTCAATAAAGGCTTGGCTAATAAAGCTTTTCATGCGGCTCAATTGAGCAGTTGCTGAGTCATGCAATTATAATTCTTCCCCCTAAACCCTCAATCTATAGACCCTAAACCTTCCCCCTAATTCAAATTAGGGTTTAAAGGGCGGTGCTACTTCCGGGTGGATCGGGGGAAAAGTGTTTTTATAATTAGGGGTCCCTTTAATAAATGGGGGAAGGGATTAGACGTCGTAAGCAGGACTTCCGGAATCTTGCGAACTTGGACTCTGAGCGCCTGGCGGAGAAGCTTGGCTCTGATAGCTGTTACTAGTAGCTTCAAATTTCGGTGTCTTCATTCTTTGATTCTACTATCACAGGATCCGAGGGTCTGGTTTGCGAGGGAAGGTGCAGCGTTGACCCTGAATGGGTTGCAGGCGTGCCCCGTCCACGAGCTGCTGCAGCGCTTCAGACTCTGACTCTTGGCAGCAGGGCTCGCAACTCTGGGAAGTCGTTGTGGGCCCACTCGGAGCTTTCCATGCCCCGTTCAGGCATTAGGCATTGGCCTTGGTGCTGTTACAGTTACGCAGTTACAAGAAGCCGCGAGAGCCACTGCACATCCCACTGCTTCTGAGTCGGGCTCACCCGCAGCATCCACGAATCAGCATTAGCTCATTTGCTACGCAACCATACCAAGGACCTGGGCAAGAGCTGCAGCCGCAATGCACCTGGGTCGAAGGTTCAGTTTGCTGGACCTGTGACTGCGACGGTTCTCGCTGCAGCCGTGGCCATGCAACGAGATGTTGCATATAATATCACGGCATCCGAGCTGAAGCCTAAGCGGGCCTCCATACCTGAGGCAAGCACATTCAGTAGCCCGGACGAGGAGGCGCAAAGTTTGCAGGCTCCGATGCAGGGCGTCAAACCGGGTCCTGGATTTGCTGCCGATCTTCCCCATGACTGTGTCTACCGGTTTGGGTGTTCCCCTTGAGTTCATCTTGTTCAGGCTGTGCTTCGAAAACAGAGTCCGCATACTCGCTGAGAGCTTGAAGCTGTTTCGCCCGCAGCCCCTGCAGGTCGTCTCCTTCCTCGCAGGCGAGCCGCCATGGGTTTGTATCATGTTCGGGGCTCAAGAGGCTTTGGAAGGAAAGGTGGTCAAGAGGCCGGGCGGAGGCAAGCTCAATCAAGCTCCAGCTCCTTCTCATTCTTTCCACCTAGGCATCTCAGAGCACATCTCTTACACGAACATTTGGCAACCGGAGAGATAGAAATGTTCTGGCGATCCTAGAAGCGCATAGAAAAACAACCGACTGCGCCAGGCAAGAACCTTCGCTTCGGCCGCTGGTACTGGCTGCTGATCCTGTGCCCCGGCTAGCTCAAGCTCAAGGCTCAAGGAGGGCTCCTCACGTTGGATGACATCCCTTCTTTCCGGGGAACCTGAGTGGCGACCTTTGAAGAGCTGAGGCTTCTCGGCCTCGCTCTTTGGCGCTGCCGCACTCGACGCGAGCTGATTCCTGGCGAGGCCAGTGGTTTAGGCATAAGAGATTTGAAATTCTCAGTGCTTCTTAGGAGAGCTTTGTTCACTCTGCATGCAGACATACATCTTGCAACTGTGCACCTGGCAAAATCCATCTTCACAAGTGACACGTGTAAGTAGACCCCTTTCAAGCGAGAGGGCTGTGGCGGTAACCCCCTGCTTTGCTTTTGAGCTTGGTCTGGCGACCACCATGCTGGGCATACGCACGGCTAGTTTGCTCCCTGTTGCATCCTCTGCTCAGTTGCCCACCATGAGCTTGGACAAGCAGCCCGCCGGCTACAACACGCCCCTTTGTCAGAAAATCAGGGTCTGCCTTCTCCTAGCTGACAATGCAGCCCCGAGTACATGTCGTGTACATGTCGCTTGCTGCAGTGAGGGTAAACTAGCTTGCCATCCAGTGCCGCAGCGCCGCTCGTCGCTCCAATGTAGCCCTCAGCAGAATCAGGAATCTCAGCGGTGACGGTGACGAGAAGAGCATGCTCGCGGCACTCGACATGCAGACGCCCCTGCACCGTGGCTGCAATCAAACCCGCTGAGCCATGCGGATGACCTGAGGGGTCGCTGAGTCTCAGGTACTATCTGGGTGGTGCGCATCGAGGAGCTGCAGACTCCTGGCTCTTTGGGGCTAGGGCTGCAACGAAGCCAGAAAACATGGATCTTCTCGCTCCCCTTTTTGCGTACGGTGCATCAGAGGATTCGTCTTTGATCGTGCCGAGGAAGCGCTTCTCCTGGAAGCACCGGCAGAGGGGCACAAAAAGACCCCCGGCAGCGAAGCATCCGAGCTTGCTTTGAGTGGCTTATGTTCCGCCTAGGAGCACTCCATGCTGGTAGGTCCCCAACTTCCATCCTGATTCGAGGAACAGCATCTTCCAACTCATAGAGATGCTGAAGAGCCAGGTAGCCATCGCAGGCGCAACCCCGCCTGCGACCGTCTCATCTCACTGCTCGGGAGTCGATTCAGGCGTTTTGCTGGGGTGGGATCTTCTGGTGGAGGCTCCCTACAGATGGCGAACATCGCCGTGCGCCACGTGGACCGAGAGCTTGCAGAGGCGACGAGCAGCGCCTACGAGCAGGCGGGAAGGGCAGGATGAACTCTCAATGCTCAGCTTTCTCGAGAGCTCCCCACAAAAAACCGGAAGCTCATCACTGATCAACGAAGATGCTGTTGTCGATGTTTCTTGCCCGGCATGCACTGTTGCCAATGAGCGGTCAGCTGCTGCATGGAGCATCATCGTCGGGAAAGTGCCCGAGGGCGTACTTACACGTTGCGTGCAAACTTTGAAACACCAGTCTTGCCTGTGCAAGTCCCTCATGCCTTATGTCTATGTCCGCCCAGCAGATCTAGATGCAGAGCCATCTGCAGCAATGAGATTGAAATATTTGAAACCATCTCGGACAACGTTGATGCTGCTCGAATTTGTCACAGGCACGCGACCTTTTCAAGAAAGCCGCAGACGTGGTCTCACGCTATGCGGACGTCGCGAAGCAGGCCGGAATGGATGGATTCTGCCCGTCCACGACAGAAGCCGGTGGCGGCCATCGTTCCGACCTTGCTTGCATGCCACCCACCACTCCCCACACACTATGTCACGACCAGCTGTGCACGAAGAACTGAAGCACACCTGTAAACCGCATGGAATGTGTATAGTAGATATATACATATATGTTGTTTATTTATTCATATTACCCTTACATGTTCTTTCTTGTATATATATATATGCACACACTGCAATCTACACAGGTGAGTGAGCACGTTCTGCCCGACCTCCAACTGGCCGTCGAAGAGCAGGTTCGGCTGGAGTGACCGTAGCGAAGCCTAGGCCTCTCATGAGCTCGTGCTTTTGAGATTCCTGTTGCAGACCTTGACATTTCAGGCTGTAAAAACAGACCTTGCAACCACAGCCTTTGTCTCCAACAGGAGCCGGGAATGGCGGCAGACATGCTTGAGATGGTCAAGGAGTGGGTGGCTGCTGCTTGGCCGAAGTGTCGAGAGCTGCATGGCCACGAGAATGCTGTCGAGGTGTCTCATGGATTGCGCGGGCTCTGTGCTCGGAACAATCATATCGCTGCCCCTGCAGCTCCAAGGCCATGAAGAAGGACAGCGACCTCATTCGAAGCAATTACGGGGAGCTTCAGTCGGCCGTCCTGACGCTACCCGACGAAGTTAGACTTTCAGAATCGAGCTGACCAAACCGTGCAGACTCGGGCCCACATCACGTGCATGTGGATACAAGATGCCGCACGAACTCTGACAGCTTTGTTGTCACGGTGCCTGCACGTTTCAGCTGCACACATCCGCTTCCCACCGTGAGTGTCCACACCACCCTGGGAGATGCAGACAGCGGCATGAGTTCAGGCAGCCCACACCTGTCGGGGCCCCGAGCCACAATCTCTAAGACCGAAGCCCCTAAACTCCCAAACCGTCTTGCGAATCATCTAAGCTTGCTGGCCAAGGTTGGTGGATCGAACCTCCCGCAGCAAGCAGGCAGCAGACGACAAGCTCGCAGCTGCCGTGGCCACGGCCAAGGAGCTGCTCTAGCTGACAGGTTTCTAGGGTAGTGTGGAGTGTAGAGATCTTAGGGTTCAGGGTGTAGGGTTTAGGGATTCAGAGTGTTGGAGTTGAGTGTTCTTCCACATCGCCAGGAACTTTCCACGGCCCAACCTGTCAGGAGGCCCAGATTGCCAAGGCGACGCAGAACCAAACACACGGCTCAGGCGTGGCCGGTGTACCGAGAAGAGTGCCAATTTCGGGAGAGGCCAGACGAAACGTAGCCACGTTCTCAGGCGATCCGAGCAGTGCCAGCTGCGGCTTTCCAGATGAACAGATCGGGAAGCCCTACCAGGCATCTGTTGCAGCAGAAGTCTTCAAGTTTGGCTTCGTAAGGTGCCAGCCTTCAGCCAATTGAGGGGTATCTTAAGATTAAGAGGACTGCGCTCGTGAATCAATTGAGGAACTTCAGGCTTGTGAAGTGAATCACTTGATCGGTGCTTTCTAGTATCATCACGGGAAGCAAGGGCAGGAACCGGGAATGCATCCACGTCACCCGAGCACAGCCCAAACCCGAACCTCCTTCAGACTCTGCCATCCTCCACCACCCCAGCACCCTCTCTGCCGGAAGTCGCGGCCAGGTGGCTACGCGGAGCAGCGACGTGTCCCGTGAGGTGGAGACGCACGTCGCCGAGGCTGCGTGCACCGTGTGTGGCACCGCGTGCGTGGGCCGTGTCTGCCGTGTCTGTGGTGTGTGTGTGTGTGTGAGAGATTTTTTATGGGGTATAAGGAGAAAAGGAGAAGGCAAGGCTTGTGGTTTTGCCTTTGCTGTTAGGTCGTTAGGTGCAATCTGGGGGGGATTCCTCCAGCCTGTGCTTTGAAGTTTCCCTGAAGTCCTGAACTCAAAGTGAAGGGGTGTTCATTCGAACCTGGCAATTGTCGCAGGTGGACTCGCTCATTGAGGTCACGGATGAGTCCATTCAGTTGCAATCAAGCGAGCCTTGGCGATGCAGTCTGGATTTAGGACTTAGCAGCTGGGATTCCGCTTCGAAAAGCTTCGGCGGGAGTCATTCTGTCCACTGCAGGTGACCACCACTCCGCAGTTGACCAGCAGCGAGTACATGGCTTTGGTGCTTTGCTTGCGTTGGCTCAGATGCATGGCTTCTTGTATAGTATGGCGACCCAGCTTAGAGAAGGCTACATTCACGTTGACATGTCCTCGAAGCAACTCAGCTGTTTGTGTGTGTGTGTGTCTCTCTCTCTCTCTCTTTCTCTCTGGCTCTCACATGTTTGTTTGAAATGTCTCTGTGTGTGTGTGCCCAACTCAGCTTCCTTGTTGGCTCTTTCTTCTGTGAACCGTCCAGCAGCATCCAGAATCCCGTGCGGAGTCCGTCACAGGTGCCGTACAAAGACAGCCTCTTCCCCGAGGCCGAGGCTGGCGTGAGAGGGTACAAAGAGTGCGCTGCGGCTCCCTCCATTGCCTGAGCGACCTGAGAAGTCAAAGTGGTGCTTCATGAACGCAAGAACAGAAGGAGCGATATAGAGATTAGAGAGCAGAGAGCATCAGGGCGCAGCCGGACACGCCGCCGACTCCTCCAAGAGCTTGCTTAAGGCAGGGCCAAACAGCTCTTTTTGTCAGTGCCTCCAGAGGCCCAGGGTAAGATTCGACACATACCCTGTCAGCCACTCATTTTTTGGCGAAGGCCTTGCACGAACTTCGGCGCGTGGACTCTATTTTGGAGGGTTGATGCTCGGCGGAAAAAGAGCTGCGAGCCTCGGGACCTGGTTCCTTGCTTAGACGCTTCTGGGTACGAGCCTTGAAGAGTCTGCTTGGGCCCCGGGCCCGAAAGGATGCTAGGAGTAGGAATGTCAAGCTTTGCTCGAACGTGCGTCAGCCTTGCTCTGCTTCAGCGCAATCGACGCCGAGGCTCCGTGTTTTGGGCCGGCATGGATCGTGCTGCCGGAAGCTTACGGCATACAGGATTACAGGAATCGGGACATCTCTTGAGCTGCAAGGCTTCTGCAGGATCTGAGCCTCAAAAGGACTCAAGGAGAAGCTCATGCCTCGCTTCAGGTCCATCAGCTGGGACAGATGAAGCAGCATGCGGAGCGTCTTGTGCACCTCTGCCAGCAATGTGACCACCATGCAAGGCCAGTTTGCGTCACCTCCAGTGGCAACTGAGGAAAGTCGCCACGAGCACTGCGAAGCTTAGGGAACGCTTCGACCAGCGGATGTTGGAGACGCTTGGACTTGGCAATCTTGGCCAGGTTTCGGTTTATGTGCATGAAGTGCCTATTCTCGTTTCATTCAATGATTGTACAAGGGCTGGCAGTTGGTGCATGTGCATCTAAATGCCTGATGTGTGCGGCTCGTCTTCATCTCCCATACAAAGTCCAGTTCATGTCCGCTGAGGTACGGCAAGAACTGGTCTGACCTCGAAAAGCTTTGCCGGGAGTACAACTCCAAGCATCACGAACCTGGGCTGCAGGGATGGAAAAGGCAACCAACCACTGTGTAGAAGTCCTTGCAATTCTCGCTTGAGCTTCAGAGCAGCTATGTTGAACATTCCAGTGCTTCCTTGACCGGCCGTTCTGGTTCCTGACTGGCTGGCGTGCACACGCCCAAGCCCTAAGGCCTCGAGAAACCAGCCACTGCCTGTCCCGACGGTTCTGTGCCATCTGACTGTTTTTGGCTAGGGTCAAAAACGAACCGGCTGCTGCCACAAAGAGGGGGGGGGGGCCCATCGCTCCACCGTAGTGACTAGACAGAAAGCAATCCTACTCGTAGGTTTCAGGATCAGCAAATCACCGGAAGACAGAGACACAGAGGCACATACTCTCTATCGGACATGATTTGCATGCGTAGCATTCATAGAAACAGCGTAGTACATACATACTGGCATACATCCATACCGTCGTACCATACCAAATACAGTTACCGACGGACCGACCCATCGAACGACCTACCTGGCTGCCTATGTACTTACCATGCATGCAAGAATGCATGTTTGAGTTTGCATGGTTGTATATATGCGCCGAGCCTCTGACCATGAAAGGAGGAGAATGCAAAGATGCGGGATGCCGTTCGGGACGCTTGGCCACGCACTTTCCATTCAAACAAGCTTCACAAGCATGCAGGGTTTCCCCGTAAATCGGCGTTTCTCCTCTCTGTTCGGTACCTGCCCGCTGCATTGCCACGTGTTCATGAATGCATTCTGCTTTGGCATGCTGGCAGGCATCATCATGTCAGGTCATGGCTGTGTTTCTTGTGTGACTGAGCCTCTGTGAATCAGGACCTGTTTTTGAGGGCAGATCTCGAGGACTGAACTGGCGCAAGCGTGTTTTTCCCCATGAGTTGTACTGTGCGTACCAAAACTAGGAAGTGAGGAAGCGGGCCAGAATCAGAACGTGCGTGGACGGGAATGAGGGCTTTTCTAGCCTGTGATTGTGCCTTTCACAGGCCTCACAGGGTGCATGGTAGCTAGCTCTCTTTTTTCTGGGAGGGCCCATCACTGTAGGTTCGTGGGGGTGGAAGACAACGCCACGCGTTTTCTGGGGCCCAGTAGTAGAATCCAGTATATGCTCAGAACCAGCGGGTGCATTTGAGATTCAGACCTGACCACAAACAATATCCACGGTCCAAAGTCACAGCGAGATAGCGGCCAGCTGCAAATGCAATGCAGGCTCTCCCACGCAATGCAGCAATTGTCTTGCTTTCCAGTTCTAGACCAGCATTGCAACACCATGGCAGGTTTCAGCTGTTGCATCTTGTGAGAGATTTCGTATTCAAGCGATTCTTCCGCCAGGACATCGCGCGTGCGGCAGGCGCAGCTCAGGGGTGAAGAGCCGGGGTCAGCCTTAGTTGTTGCAGTGTTTTTTTGCTGAACCGTGGTGGGCTTCGTTGAGTAATTAGGAGGTGGGCGGTCTGCTACGATGTGAAACCCAGGTGTGCCGAAGGGTGTTTGTCAGAGCCCGGCCTAACGAGAGGATTCTAGGATGTAGTCGAAGCTCTCTCCTTGAAGACGCCACTGAGACTGAAGCTCGGGCCGGAGGCGCTTTTGCTCCACAAGCAGATGACAGGTGACGATGTCTGGGTTTCAATTTGGAGCTTTTTGCCCGATTTGAGCGCTTATTTGGGCAAGCCTCCAAGTCTGATTTTCCAGCGAGAGGGGCGAGCCAGGGCCCCTTTGATCAGGCTGCGCATGAAGTGAAAGTTTGGAATCCAGCTTCTAGGTTCGACGAATCTTGAACTGCACTCACGCTGTCTCAACATCAGGGTCTGAAGGCGCTGTAATTACGTTACAGTCGTGTGACCACGGACGCTTCGGGTACTCTGTTCGTGTAGTGCGATGCATGGAAGCTTCCACGGCTCTGAGCCTGGGACGACTTGCCCCTCGTCGCTCTCGCTCGCCACAGCAATTGTGCGGAAAAGTTCGGACTCTCGAGCTTTTGCTTTCAATTCAACTTCCAGCTTCAACCACGGAAGGGTTCAGCTTGCGGCACATTCTCCATCAAAGCACGCGTGACCCCTTCTACGGACGAAGCTCTTGAGCACTCTGCGGGCCCCTAAGGGGCCAGGGACCGAGTAGTCTGGCAGCAAGCATATCCAAGACGGCAGCTCTCAGAGGACCAGCATTAGGTACTTTGTAGCTACTCCCCGGATTGCTCGCACTTCAGGTCTTCTTGCCGCTGGTAGGTTTAGAGCTTAGGGCAAGGCTGGGATGACAGGTCGAGAGGTTTCGCAGAGGTTGGCAGCCGAAGTGTAGAGAAGGCGCCGAACAGACGACCAGACTGTGTCGGTACCTTTGGGGCCACCAGCTACACCAAGCTACAGCTGTGAGAGTGGTAAAAGCTGGCTTCGCCCCGACTTAGTGAAGCATGCACGAGGCATTCGTAGATTTGTGCGACCATGCTGCTGGCCACAGTTGACATGTTACACCCAGGCCCAAACCTTGAATGTAGGCTAAAGGTCGCGTGGGTCTTGAGCATGGGGTGCAAAGCCCAAGAGTGGGAGCTTTCCTTACGACTCCCGCCAATGCAGCAGCTGGTAGGAAACCCCTTGCCGCCGTTTCGATATGCAACACAGGGACATCAGACGGTGAAAGCATCAGAATATCAGGCGTCAGTCCGCAATAGTGTTCCAAGGGCACATGCGATTTCGGTAGTTAAATCACCTTGGAGGAGATTGTGCTCCACATCGACAATAGAACTGCACTAGGGCTGGTCTGGCTGGAGGTGGATTGTTGGGGTTCTACAGCTGTGCGGCAAAGATGCCCAGGGCAGCTTTTTCTTGCATGCCCAACCTGCATGCGAGCACTGTGCAGCATTATCTGGCGATTGGGTTTAAGAGCCGCCGACTTATCGAAGAATCGGATCTGACAGCACATTGCCACAGAGATCACTCTGACACACTGTCTGCATTGTTAACCGATCCCTCCCGCAGTGCGCAGTTGACGCGGACGGTTTGCTTCGCCAGCAATAAGCCTGTGCAGTGGATGGTGCGCGGCCAGCCAGTGCGGAGTCATCAGCGGCGCAAGAAACACCGAGTCCTTAGAGCCACTCAATAACCAACAATCTCAGTTCTACGCTAGCCGGCGGTATCTCAGGAAACCATGCTGGCCGGAACCTCCTTCACACAGCTGTGTCCGCCAATCCGGAGCTCGGCCTGTTGCAGCTGCTAGTCTTCTCTGAAGCTGGTCTGAGCCAGCGAAGTTTGACAGATCCGGGACCGAGATGTTGCTTTCAGAGGAGCCTCCTATCCTAGCTATCCAGGGCCTGCAAATCGAGCCGGTTGCAATGCATCTCGGCCCAATTTACTTCCAGAGCAAGCGCTGTCAGGATTACTGGCAGCATGAGGGAAGCAAGGCCGTCATTGTCCGTTCATGCTTGGCAAAAGTTTCAACATGCAATGTTTTGCTGCGAGACAGACCTGCGCTCAACATGACTGGCCTTGACTAGATCGATTGGCCCTTGGGTGCTCTTGGGCATGTGAATATCGCTTTTGGTGCAGTCACGGGAGCCCAGTTGGAGGCAGCTAGAAGGCTCTTCAGACCAAGTTGTGCCGTTAAGCCTTCGTGCGTGAGGAGTTTCTGCTGTTGCCACTGCAGATGCTAGAAGAGCTTACGTAGAACGTGCCCACTTGTTGCTGCCAACTGGGTGCTCGAGCGCTGCCCTTGGATGCATCTTGTAGTGTAGGCAAAACACCGAGGCATGCTTGTTGCAGGGTTGTGCACGTCCTAATCGTGCAGGGTTGATCCGAGCATTGATTATTCCTAGGTCCAGGTGTGTCCCTCGGCTCAAACCATGGTGCACGAACCTCGAATTCACAGAGAATACATTGAGGCATACACTTGTAGAAGGATGCGTCGTGTTGATTGAGCTGTATGACGTCTAAAGCAACCTGAATGGAGGCTGTCAAGTCACAGAAGCAGCGCACATTTGCAATCTGGAGTTGTCACACAGCACCTTCAGCATTGATTACCCTATCATGTCAGAGCTGTCCTCAGAGGAGGCGCGATGCCGCGGCTCGAGCGCAAGCGGTACAGCAAAACATGCGGAACCCTGCTTATAAAACGTATGACGGCTGCCTTCGACACAAGGTGAGACGGTGGTCGTGGCGCGCCAGATATCTTCAGAAACCTTACCGCTAACAAGCCAGAGCACGCTGTTCAACTCGGACGGAAGACTCTGCAGGGCTTCCGCCGCCTTCTCCCGTCCCCCTTTGAGCAGGCGGCGGCCTTGGCCAAGATCCAGGCGGCTGCGAAGGGCGCCGATGTCCGGACCGCAACCGCTCCGCTTTTGATGTCGACGGGGACGGGGGTCCGGATCATGTGCTCAGGATGCGGTCTTCTTGAGTATTCTTCTTCAGCAGGTTTTTGGCATTGCCACTGACGGAGGATGGCCGCCGCTACAGGTGAGAGCCAAGCGGGCGTGCGGCTAAGTTGGCAAAGCCGCTTTTGACATGGGTGGTGGACCAAAGGCCTTCCAAGCCTCGGGTTCAGTGGACTGAGAAGCAAACAGGAGGGTGCGTGATGTTCAGAACCTGCAGCGTTACGGCGAGGAAGTTGGCTCGTAAGCGGTGTTCAACAGCCTCGCAGCATCGCAGAGTACAAGTGGTTGTGTTGATGTGAATCTAAAGCCAACAGCTGTAAGCCTCAGAATTTCCCGAGGCAAAGAGGCGGAGGCGGCGGAGATGAGTCCCGAGGAGAAGGAAGCATTGCTAAAGTGGCCCGGCTGAAGATTTCTGAAGGCAGCTGAAGGTCGCGATGCCCAACCTGTGGCATGTTACGACTCGCACGTGGGATCCAGCACGGCCCGGCATATGGATAGGAAGGGATGCATTTGAGCAAGGTCAAACGAAGTGCTGCGGCTAACTTTTTTTGACCGCGCCCAGGATCCAAGCAGCCCAGAAGGGTGTGGAAGCCCGAGTGGCCGAGGAGCAAAGGGGTACCAGGGATGGGGCCGGTGCGTGCACTTGTGCACGTCATGCGTGCCAGGACAAGCCCCCCGTCGCTCACATGATGATGCGCCTCGCCTGCATGCGGCATCCAGCAGCTGAAGCTCTGATCGCCGGATCAGCGGTGAAAAATGCTCAGGCCAAAGAAACGGCAGCAGCGCCGGAAACTGCGTTCAGCTCGAATGCCCCCCGGCGGCACAGGAAAGCTTCCTTTGGGGTTAGGGGTTTTTTAGCAAAGTGGGGTGTTCCAACAGCCCTTGGCCTTGATCTGATCAGAAATGGCCCCCACGCAACCCGATGCTGTAATGCCAGAGCACGTCGGACAAGTCCGGTTTGGGGCTTTGCTAAAAAGGGGGTTGCGGGCAGCCGAACTCGCAAGACTCGCTGCTTCTTTCAGGTATCGGTTGATGTACGATTTCAAGGCGAAGAAGCTGGCCAGAGCCCAAGCTTGAGCTTTGTCACCGGAAAGCGTTCACAGCTACATAAGCTTGAGCTGGAGCCTTCCTGCTTTCTCCGAGTTGCAGGTGTCCCCTTCCTGACGCTGGTCGGACCTGTGTCCACTCAGTCCGATGCCTGGAAGAAAGAGTCTTCTGGAGTCCCTCCTACCGCTGCTTCTTTTTTTGTATATCGGAAAGGCGCCGAAAAGGTGTGGATGTTCTCAGGTGCGGGCTCAACCATGCACACTGATGCATCGGAAGCCAAGAATGCTGAGCAGCCATCGCAGATAGTTGGCTCCAGCTGGATACCAAAGGTATCCGGCATCGCGGTTTGAGATCCAGTTTTCCCAAAGGGCAGCTGCCGAGGATGCTCGCCCAGCCTAATTATGTATGCACTCACAGTTTCTACTTCACACGCGCATGTCGCGTAAGCCTTATAGGGCTCAGGGTGGGCCCACCATGGCAGAAGCTCGATGGTTAAGTTGAGAAATTGAGTGCTCACTGCACCTCTCCTGGACTCGCGTGACCGAGCATGGCCCGGAGACTTGAAATCGGAGGTCAGCCCTACGGCCCCGCGCCTCTCGTCAAGTCCCGGCTGTCGAGCTGCTCGTGCGGCCTGTGGTGTCTTGAAGTCTCGAGCTTCTAGACTCCGCCCTGATTGGAGCTCCAATCCGGTCGTGAGCTCCGAGCCACGCTGTGGTGCTCCGGAGTTCTTTCGCAGCTTTGGAGGCTCAACAAGGGTATGTCAATGTGCGCCTTTACCACAGGACGGAGCAGGGACCTTTCAAGTGCAGGATAAGCGAGCATCTTGCAGGCAACTGCAGCTTTGATCCGAGTTTCACAGCATCTTGCTGCATCCGAGAGCAAGCGGCACATGGACGGGGATCGCTTAAAGGCCGTTCTCGCGAGCTCCTCAGAACCCATTTGCGAGCCCGGCAGTCTCAGAGCTCAGAGCTCCGCATGTTGTCGAGAGCCGTGAAGCCGAGGCGCGCTGCCGGAGGATCCGCGGTGGGGCCGCCACTCCAACGAAAAGCAGACGAAGACTTCACCAAATGAACTGTGATCACTCTCAGTGTGGTGTCTGGATCGACGTTCGCATCAGGGTCTCTGTGCCCTTTCCGACTGAACTGCCCTTGCGTGCTCCCCTACCGTCAGCTGTCGTTTGAAACTTCGCCACCCTCGCAGCCAAGGAGACACTCAGCAATCTCCCACCGCAACTGGCCGAACGGCTGAAGTCCCTCTACGCGAAGTGCGAGAGGAGCTCTGGCTCTGACATAAGCGCAGTCCGCAGTCCGCCTTCCTGGAATCTGACGGCGAAGCCTCCGGCAAAGGCTCAAGCAGGTGAAGAAGAGCGACACCCCGGAGTCTGGATCGCCTGCGCTCGCCGTAGAGGAGTCTGAGTGGAGTCGACCCAGCCAAAGTCATTCACTCCTTCACTCCGACTCCCCTCTCTTCCCCTCTTCCTTCCAGCGCCGCAGAGGAAAGCGGCTCAGAAGGCGAAGAAGGCTCAGAGCCCGAGGAGGTGGAGGACGCGGCGGAGGCGCATCGTTTCAATTTTTCAATCATTATCGTGGTCGCCATGGTCCTGTTTGTGAGGCCTCAGTCCCTACCAAGAGCGACGAGGCAGAAGGGAGAGGGACAGCACAAGGAAAGCGAGAAGTGTCAGCTGCCATTCAAGAGTGTGAGGTGAAGTTTTGGGATGCAATGCTGAAAGTTTCACAAGCTCCTGCCTCCTCCGGTCTCTTGCACCTGGCTGTGCAGGCTTTGCTGGGTCGTGATGGCTGGGATGGTCCCTTGGCGGTTGTAGGCGTTGGACTTGGTGGTGGTTTCGGCTGTTGTGACATACTTGCCGAGGCCTGGCCGACAACGTGGACAGGCCTCTTGCACCTGGAGAGTAGGAACATCAGAGAGAGAGAGAGAGAGAGAGAGAGAGACAGAGACAGAAGCAAGTCGATTAGGGTACAAGCTGTGTGTTATTATAGCCTGTTTACTGTGTATTTAACACCTAGCCGCTGATCTTCTTCAGAAGTGTGCCCGCGGGGTTGAAGATGTCGCACGTCTGTCGTCTCTCGCACATTTGTTCCGGACTTTGAAGTGGGGCACTCTCGGCAAAAGGCCTCTAAAGAGGCACGCTCTCTTCCTTACACAACTGAGCCCATCCTTTAGTATGATGGATGCGGTTGCGCTGCTGCGCGGGTCGTGAGGACTGCCAACGGCCCATGCCCCTAAGCAAAGCAGCAGTTTTTCACGTCCTCCCAAAGCCCCAGATGCAAATTAGTTTCTCATGCAGTGACGAAGCACAGAGAGAAGTCGAGGGCTGTTGTGTACGCGATTTTTCCATGGAGCGGAAGGCAGCCCGAGCAAGACGACGGCACAGCAACGTGATTTGGCGGCATTGGTTTCTCTCCGGCTCCGGCTCCCGTCGAGAGCCAGGGCCGAAACGGTGCCGTTCTGCGCTGAGGTTCGATCCCTACCTCCTGGCAGACGCGGACGCAGATGCGGATGCGGGAGGGGAGGAAGCTGAAGAGCTCGAAGAGGCCGGGGGACGGCGGCAGACACAGTTTGGGGGAGTTCTCTGTTGTTCTCCTTTTTAACAGCACTGGCTGTGCTTGGAAGCGCCGCGCTTTATCAAGGACTCTGCCACGGAGGCCAGTGATTGGGAAGACTGCGCACCTTGGGTGCAAGAACCACTCTGCCTTGGTTTTCGCACTCTTTTCCAAACGTGTTGGTTTGTGAGGGGAAGCAGTTGCTACCTGAGGATTGGACTGACCTTCCCCTTGGCACCACCTTCGACGCGGACGGCGCCGCTTCGCTGAACTTTGCAAGATCGACGACACGGCGCGGCCACAACCGTTGACAAGCGAGATAAAGCGCTTTTCCTCCAGCTCCAACAGCTGTGTTCGGGCTGGGGCTCCCGAGGACCCAACACTGCACTGCCCCACTTTCACAACTCCCTGAATGCCATTCGAGCATCACCGTCCCGTCTTCTAGGCACAAACACTTGCAAGCCATACATGGCTGGGGCTCTGCGGGAAGCTGTCGGTCTCAGCCTCTCAGTATCAGAACCCGTCGTCCCCTCGTCATGCTGAAGGAAGATGCGTGTGGACTCGAATGCAGGGCGATACCAGTTGCTGATCGAGGGTTGTTGGACAACTCCGTGCAAGTGACATACTGGTGCCACTCTTTGCGACTTATCGCTAGCGCACCAGAGGAGTGCAACTCAGAGGGTTGTAAATCAGAGGGTTTGTGCTGGAGACTGGACCCTAAACACCATCGCCCAAGCATGTGCACTGCGCGCGTACCGCAATCGCGGCAAGCCTGTCTTGTTGAAGTGAACTTCTTAAAGAAAAGGGTGCGCTTAGGGGAGTGGAACTGAGGCTTCCTACTCTGTGGCCCGGAAGCTGGGACAAAGCCAAGGGATCATCACCTATGCGGTCAACTGCAAAGGCGCACCGGCTTGGATGACTGCTTCTGGGTGTCAAGAGTTTTCAGAACAAGTAGGCTCAAAAGCTTCAAGGGATGCATTGTAGCGTGAAGGTTGCAGCCGGTTTCCCGGCCTTTGCAGGAGAGAACTATGTCGCCAAGTTTGCAGCCAAGGGCCCTGAGGCAGCCGCGAGGAGCGGGTGAATGGCTGCTGAGACCAATGTGAATGCAAGGCTTGACGAAGGCGACACGGGTGGCATACTCGCAGTACCTGTTTTGTACTGGGAAGACCAGCAATGCTTGTGTCGAGAGCAGTTCTAGAAGTACGAGTAGTAGCATACTCCACGCACAGCAGCCGTGGGAGCCACGACAGCGAAGGTTTAATGATAGTCCCAACAGCAATGGTGGTCACTAGTTTCAACACCAACACCCACGTTTCAAGAAGACTGACACGGAACGTGGGATCGCTACGTCCAGGGTGGGCTGAGCTCTGCCTTCCACGGGATGTTGCTTCAGTCGCTGTGGTGGAAGTGCGCTAAGCGCTGTGCGAACCGACACGCCTCGGTCAATAGAGCAAGTGTCTACGGCCTTGCTCGGTCGTACAGGGCGGCTTTTGCGGCTCCGGACGACAAATGTCAAGACATGTCAAGGACCTCCCTGGGCCAACAAGCACCACATGCACCACTGCTGCCTCGAGGGTGTGAACGCTCCGCCGACAGTCGTATGTGAGTCACCGAATCATTCGCCATTCGCGCTAACGCGGGAAGCGCACTCTTCAAGCGGCGTCCCGGATCCGAGCACAAATCCCAGGTTCCGCCACAACCACCATCAGTATCATCACTATCATCACGGTAAACTTCCGTGTCGTCCTTGCTGGTTCTGCTCTCAGTCTCAGGTAAGAAGCAGTCCATTCTCAATACTGTCCGTGGTTAGACATTGACTGACCCTCTCCAGGAGGCGCTCCGGTGAAGCAGCCGATGCCGATGTCGTGCTGCAGAACGTGTCCGTAGAGCCACGGACGGAATATTTTTGGAGGGACTTCGTGGTATGTTCTGAATATTTTATCCATGTCAAAGTTTCTGATGGTGGTGGGTGAGCGTGTTAGCATACAGGCTTCCGAAGAAAAGCCGTGCAAAGAGAGACACGGGAAGGCCGCGGGGAAACTCCAAAAACAAGCGAGCTCTCTGAGACCAAGAGGATGCTTACAGAAGCGAACATCTCCGGAATGCTGTGTTTGCGGATTGTGAAGCCTGGAAGTGACGGTCTGAGTTTCGAGGATGTCTTTGACGTCAGCTCCTTCGTGAAGACTCTCGCGGAGGCAAGGAGCTTCGGAGCTTCGGGGCTTTTAAGGCTCCGGCGGTTGCGGATTTTCGGAAGTTACGGGGAGTCCTCAGAAGAAAACAGAAAGATCGCACGCGATTGCGCGCGATTGACTATCAAAGCCGACTGTCGCCGAGGTCATGGCAGACTTTGGCGTGTCTCAGCTCCCGGCGCCTGCTCCCACACTTTCTCCGGCGAAGAGCGCAGCTCCGGCCACCCAGTGTCTTGCATAAAGCTATTGGTGCAAACAGCAGTCGGCAGTCGATGATTCTTACATCCTGCTGCGAGGCCAGGACCCGCGATGCTGGTGCCTACCGAGGCAGGGCTGCACATTTTGCGGGCGAATTCTCTGTGTGCCTCTGATCCTGTCTCAGGCAGCCCCGCAGCCAGAGGCGGCGACGTTCAAGCGACTGCTGCTTAGCCAGTTCATCTGCAGGTATTTTTGTTGGTCCTGTCATCTGTTGTAGGCACGGCCAAATTATTTATTATGTAAAGAAGCGACATATGCTTGGCAACGATGTACAAATCTGAGCAGGCTGGACAGAGGGCTTCGGACGGTTTAGGCTGAGGATGTCAGCGTACTGTTGCGGGAGACTCTGACACTCCAAAGATATGAACAATGCTCGGTGCTTCTGCGAGTGCACCGATGACCACAGCGACGATGCCACCATTTGCAATAGAGGCGACGACGATGACGACTTGTTCAATCTGTTTTCTCGGCACATGCTGAAGGTGCTGCATCGTGATTCGGTGTTGGATTGGACATCAGACCACCAACAGCACGTGAGACCTCGCAAAGATGGTGGAGTCGGAGGGTCCCACCTTCCCAAAGAACAGAATGTCTTTGGTAAATTGTCCGAGGGTGTTCTCGTGTTGCCAATAAGCCAAGCCCCCGTAGAGCTTAGAAAGTGCCTGAGGTTTCATGAGCCAGGAAAGCCAGAGGAGCCCAGTCCAGAGAAGGTGAAGACGCTGCGTCCTGCCTGCAGTGCCTGCAGTTTGCCTTGAGCCAAATCCAAAATAACCAGCTTCTGTCCGGGTATGGCTTTGAGCGGCTCTGAGCGCCGCTCCTGGTGATGCCACCTCTCGTCTTAGGTTCGGCGAAGCGGCCGATGTCCAACCGAGAAGGCAGACGTCCTTGGACAAATCCTGCTTCAAAGTCCTCTTCCGGCATCTATGCGGCATACATTGCAGGGCTATTAGCGCTTGCTGTCGCGAGGGCGAGGGTCTAGTGTGTGTTGATTTCGGCATGCATGTCAAGAGCAGGAAAGGCTCATCTTCCGTGTTGGTCTTTGTCCAAGTTGACTTGAAGACGATAGCACGCCACAGCTTTCCAGACTTTGTTGTCGTACAAGCCAGCTCCTCGACCCTCCCGCTTCGATATTACAATTTCGCCGTGCTTCGCAGGGCTGTGCGCTGCAACCTGACATCTCAGGGAGCCGGCTCTGGAGACCGCGCCAACCACGAAGGAGGAGGGCACTCGGCCAGAAGGGAGCCAAGGCCCTGCTGAAAGCCAAAAATGCAAGCGAACTCCCATGATTTGGGCCAGTCTGGTACACGCGAAGTGCTACCAACAGGATCGCGGCGCTGAGAAACCTGCTGTGCAGAGGGCAACGGGCAAGCAGAGCTGTCCTCCCGGCGAGGCCAAGCCGAGCTCTTGGCGCCCGCTTTCGCCAAGTTTCCCAGTGTCCTGAACTCAGGGACTCAGACTCTCAGAGGGGCCTTTGCTAAGAGGCCCTGGGCCCGACGGGGTTTTGCAAGCGGAGGTTGTACCGCCGAGGAAGCTCGAGGCCGTCAAGAGTCCAGGGGAAAGCGGCGTGCAAGTGCCACCTTCGCTTAATGATTGGCTTTTCGGGTTGGGACCTCCGAACTCGATCAACCACTGGCTTGGCTTGGTCCGCACGCAGGGGTCCTCTCCGGAGAGATCGCCGCCTGTTGGCCAAGAGACGGTCAGCGAAGTTTGGTACAAGGCACACTGACTGGAGAGAGCCTCTCAGAACTCAGTTATTAGGCCTGGCATCACATCAATCTGGCCGTGTGCTCAGTGTAGACAGTGTAGACCATTGAGTGATCTGTTCGGCGACGAGCCACGAGCGCTCTGCTCCGGCGCGGGCTTTTTGAAGTGCGTCGATTCCAATTATAAATGCCAGGCGCCGCCTCCCAAGAAGACCTTGAGCTCCATGCTGAGCAGCTACGAGGATGAGGACCGGCTGCCCCGCCCGAGGAAGATGCCATGAATGCATCCGCTGGGGGTTTGCAGGCATGGCCTGGGGCATGGGGTCTCCTTTGGGCTTCGCGTGGCTTCGGAGCTTCGCAGGAGCCCTTGGAGCCGGAAAGCACTGTGGAGCGGCTCGGAGTGAGGCCCCGGCCCCTGCGGCTCCTTTCCTTGCGTCTGGCAAGGAACTTATCGTCAAAGTTGCCATAACAAAGGAAAGCACTCTCTACCAATCTGTCTGTCTGTCTGGTTGTCTGTCTGTCTGTCTTTCTAATTTGTCTAATGTCCAATGTATTTTGTCGATGGGCAAATTCTACTGCAACGCTGCCGCTGCTGACGGTCCTCCTCATCTTTCACCTCTCCTGCCTGCTCTATGCCGACGCGAACGATGAGGAAGACTCTTACCGCAATAACCGAGCAGGCGCTGTTATTTCGATGACTGATTAACACTCTTACTGCTAAGGAGGATTCCGACATGAGCACTAGACTGGACACTGCAGCTCACGTAGACTTGAAGTGTTCCTAATTTCTCACGACGTTCTACGACTGCGACCAACTTATGCTTCTTCTGAGTGCTGATGATTTGCTAGGCATGCATATGCTAAATGATATGGCTGGAGGCTCAATCTGTGTGCACCATGAAACAAAGTCACGCCAACTGCATTGACAAATCCAGAAGATCATGCCCTGAAGCCCCAAAACAGGCTTACTTCTGATGCGGCTCGAGAGCGTGCCGCGCAGCGCCGCGGCCGGGCGGAGGCGCGGGGTGCACACTCGCACTCTGGTCGAGACGAACGAGTGTCGTGCGAAGGTGCGACCCGTCATGGATGAGGCACCGAGCATCGAGGACGCCTGCGCTAACTACCTGCTCACGGTGGATGTCAGCGGGGTGGCTCCAAATGGGGGCGGCTCCAAAGAAAGCAGATAGGTCATAAGACAAATTTGGGGGCACTTCCTCTTGCTGGGGCATGCGCGCAAGCGTGATGTCTACACTTGCACCCTGCGGTGGGTAAAGCTGCGCTGCTCTCTGTCATGCGCCCCTTCTTGTTCTTTTGCCCAACACGATGCACGATGACTCCGTCCGACAGGATCCTGCTGTTGCAGGTGCTGCCAGCGAAACAGGCACATTGAGAGGAGATGAGGGGAGAGCTACACTGACAGTAGTGAGCCAGATCTCCGATCTCCGTGTCGGTTGCATCTGGCATGGCGTTTCTGCCAGAGGTGGCCTGCTGCCGGGCAGTGTGTGGGACCCTGCCACAGGCCAGTTTGTGTCGGAACCGCCTCTCGTCAGCAGTCGCGTGATTGGGCGGTTTGGGGGGGGGGGGGGGTTTTTCTATGCACCATCAATGGCAGATCACGGTCAGATGGACGGGTTCGGCCCACGAAGACGCCTCAGGATTCCCGACGACATTCTGCAAAGCTTCAAGAAAGAGAAGGATCTTAAGCTGGAGGTCGCCTGCTAGGGCATGTATGCAGGCTTTCTTTGTGAGGGGGCGGGGGGGGGTGATTCTTCCAGGCTTGCCAAGGGGATCAGGTTCGGAATAGTGGCGAAACGACTCGCATCCTTCAGGCAGGTCCGCACCGCGCTCGGATTCCGATATTAACAAGGACTCTCAAGGTACTAAACTGGACTTCCACCTGCCCCCGACGAAAAAATCCGAGGCTTCAGGCTTTTTTTTAAGGTTGAATTCTCAGAGGGGGAGTATCAAGCAGCCTCCTCCCCATCGTCTTCCGAAGGACTACCAGGAAAGGGTGCTCATGGCCCAGCTTGCCGAGAAGAAGCGGCGCTTAGAGCCCCTTCACTAAATTCCGACCGCGATGAAAAGCTACACATCGTTTGGGCTAAGCGCTGGAGTTCTCAGCCCAGAAGGCTTCGGGTCAGGATAGACCATGATGAAAAGCTGCACATTTTATGAGCTCAGAAGACATTGGACGCCTTTCCACCCGTCCTCAAGTTGGGTAGGGTACGTGCTTTATTTCAGGACAGTCAAAGCCAACGCTCCTCTCGGATTTAAGACCCGCGAAGCATGCAGAAGCAGCCAGACATTGTGATGACTGGCTGTCACTGTTCTGTTCCTCGCACTTTTGGGCGGCACTTCAGCTTCGCTTTGATGATACACAAGTCAGGTATCAGAAGGAGGAGGCAGAGAGGAGAGTGCGCATGAAGAAGATCGAGGACGCGCACATGTCCAGGGTGCATTGAGCCAGCAATGATTTGAGCGCAGTATTTCTGTACCCGGGCGATTGCGGAGCAACTCGTCAAAGAGCCAGAATGTGCAGAAGTTTGGTGAAAGACTCAACGACTAGCTGACTGGCTTGTTGAAGCAAACGCAAAGATCTGCTGCATCGAAGAGAGAGCCGCCTTGCTTGTAGTTGGAGGCCCTGTCCACCGGTTGCTGTTCTGCTTATAACTGTTCCCTGAGTTCCCTGTGCCAGGAGGAGCGGGCGAAGCAGCAAGAGCTCCTGCGCCAGCAGCCACCACAGCCACATGAGAGTGCTCCCAGCCTGCTTGCAAGGGTCCCACATCTTCCTTCAGTTGGTGCAGTGCAGGCGTCCTCGGTGCTTTGCTGGCCTATGAAACCGCCGAGGCCGCACAGCGGCGACATGAATCCAGTGTCGGCCATTGACATGATGTTTCTTACTGATCCCCTTGTTCCGGGCTGCACATTTTGGCTCTGTCATGTTTTCACCATACATGGCGGCTGCATGTGGCAGCAGTGGTAATCCTCCTGTGCAGCACGCATGCCGCTGCTCACCACATGAGAATCCTGTAATCTGGCCACACACGATCAATACCAATTGATTCCGCACTGCCTTGCCCAAAGCCCCCTTTGACCAGGCGCTGGGAGCAGCGACGCAGAAGACCGAGGAGGCTTTGTTCTTGTAATGCGGCATCTCACACTCTCAGTGAATCCACTGCTCGATGTCGCGAGGGTATTGGAGCTCGGAGTCTTGCACAAGCATCCCTCAATGAATTGGTCGAGTCGGCAATGTCTTTTCAAGATTCGCCACGCTCCTCGATCGTGCTTTCCAGTCGGCAGCGACGTCTAGCAGTCTTCTGTCCGTCAGGAATTGCTGCATGGTGGCCTCGTGGTAAACGGAGCATACGTTTGCCCACCACCGGGGATAAAACGCCCGCGCGCGCGCACTTAGCAACAAATTGAATAAACCAGCTGTCGGTTCCTGCCCGTCTCAGCATGCCGATGCGGGCAAGCAGCACAAAAAAGGCTACGGACTACCTGCGTGCATCGAACCGTGTCAGAACAATGGGGTGTTGTGGATCTTTCATGTCTGAGACATGGAAATGCTACATACCTTGTTCATGAAGATGACATGTGCCGAAAGTAGAGGAGCAAACGCCCGAGCTCTCGCCACCGGCCAATCCAGAGTCTCCACCTCCAGGCGGTTTGCCCGTGGTTGCTGCGATTCGGACGTGTGTTGGACTGTTTCTGACAGGCAGTTTAGTCCAGTCGTTGCCTTCAGAGATTCTTTTGATGCCTCCCTGCATGACCACTTTGCGTTTTCACTGACTTTGTCTCTGACGAGGGCCAGATCAGCTGGAGATGCAGGCCAGGTGAAACGAGGGATTCGTGCATTTGCAGTTTGTGGCATGTTTTGCATTTTTTGCCGCTGGATCACGGAGCCCTTGGAACTGTAGTTGGATTCCGTATACCCAGCAACTCCGGAAATGTTTGGCAGTCCTAGTACGAGTGATGCAGCGAAACCTCAACCGTTTCTTTCAAGTGCTCGGCTCAAATTTCACTGACTAGAGCCGTCAATCTTACCTCTCCTTGACAGGCTGCCTCGGTGCCTGTGGATGTGCAGGTGGTGCCAGGCGCCTCACTTATTGCTTTTGTTGAACCATCAGCCTGACTGAGAAACGGCTGGCATTTGCCGCGAGCTTCATGCATTGTACACAACCCCTCGGATGATGGTCGGCGTCGCTGTGGTGGCATTAGTAAGACAGCTGTTTGTCAGAAGCTTCGTGTCAAAGGTCAGGTATTCGGTATTCTTTCTGCACCCACCAGTGCCGATCCGTTCAGGAGCCTCAAGGTCTTACAGTTTATTCACATTCGTGGTTCCTTTCGTCACCTCTCCGTCGTTTTGATGCAGTCTTTCTCTATGCACGTCGAAATCTTAGCACACACCGCAGATCCTCGGCAAAGTAGCACGTACCGCTAAACGTCAGGACTAACATCGAATCGAGGCAAGACCGGTGTGCATGTCCTCAGTTTCATCTGCTGTACGCATGTGGGAGGCAGCTCGACGCAGCTGCCTGAGGCAGACCAGGCAAGGCAGTCAGGGTTCTCAGCTTTGCTTTGGAGACTTGCGGCCCCTTACCGACCTGATTTTCATTTGAAATTTCGGATAAGAAGCTTCCTTCTACATGAAAGCCAGGCGCAGCTCCTGAACGTGCAGCTCCAAGCGCAGCCTCCCGACAGCGCATTCAAGACAACGAGACCATTTTCTGCGATTCTGCACTGTCAGATGGGTTTAGGGTTCACTTCCACTTCCAAAGCTCAAGAGGGTCTCGCAAAGTCGTAAAGTCTGCAACTCTAGCGTAGGCAGCAGACGACCCAGATTGTCAGCTCAGGTTCAAGACGTGAATAGACTTGTCTCAACATCCTGGGAGCCCCGAGGCAGTTGCAGGTGCAACAGCTGCAGCTCCAGCAGCTCCAGGTGGAGATGTGTTGCATCGCCTCGGGAGTCCTGTGCAAGTGGCCATCTGGAGTCTACAGTTGCGGTAGTGCTTCTCGAAACTATGCCAATGGCAATGGCTTCAATTTTCTTTCGCAGATCTAGGCACAAAGCCCAAACAAGAGCCACGTCTCTTTTGCCACTTGCAAAAACATGAAGGTGCCCCTGAGGGCATCGGCGGAAAGAGAGGCAACATCACGGCCATAATATCACATCGCTCCCATACCAGAAGCCTCCCTTCCGGTCAAGATAGTGCCCAGTGCCGGTAGATCAATCTGCTTGTCGTTGCTTATCAGGCACAGCAGCTAGCCACGCTCCAGTCGCTGCTGAACCTGTACAGCCGTATGCAGCGGCCCTGGAGCAAAGCTACGAGATCTCCGAAGCAGTTGCGCCCGGCAATGTGAGGGGTGGTTTGGTGTTGAAGCAATGGGCCAGGCCCTAAACCGAAAAGAGCCGCAGCAACAGCACCACTCATGCTGAATACGTGCAGACAGGAGGTCAGCTCAGTCACTGACACCTTTTGGGTTGGAGTTGCCGTTACGGATCCTCAGGCATACTAGACTCATCAGGTTCTCGCCCAAAGCATTACCCAGAAGACTGCATTCGTTCAGGTCTTCTCCGCTCGCAGCCGCGGGGCCAGCGATTGCTTTGGAGCAGCCCGGCCAGTAGAAAGGTTCGATTCGGAGCTCAGGGAAGCATGTTGGCAAAGAGGAAAATCTGTTTCCACCCACACCAAGTCCGCAGCAGCTTGCGATGCAGCAGCAAATGCAGCTGGCTGCACAGATCCACGCCTGGATGTCTGCAGGCGGGATGACTTGCACCCAGGTACAGGCAGCGTCAGCGAGTCTCTCCCTGACAGTTGGCTGTGGGACTGAAGCCGCAGAGTCAGCCGAAACTTTGATTTCCAGCACGAACATGTTGGAGGTACATGTGCACTGTTTTCGTGTTGTGTGGGCACCGAACAGATGTGACGACTCTGCACTGTCATCTGTGAAGAGGTCATGCGCCTCCCGCCCTGTGAGGGGTCGCAGCCTCACAGCATCTGAAGGATGAAGCAGCTGGCTGTGCTGTAGGACGGGGATCGTTCTCATCAGCACTTAACTGCTGTTTTCACAAGATTCCAGAATCATTTTGCAAAGGAAAGCGAACATCGAAGATGCCCTCTTCGAGATTGCAGCAGTTGACGTCACTGGGCCTCTGCTTTGTCATTTGATTCAGCTGGAGAGAACTTCAGCATTCTCAGCACCCCTGCTATGCTTGCCGACCTGGACGTGACTGGACGTGGACGTCAGCGCAACCCTCTGAGCAGAGCATCCGCCAGTTTGTACAGGCAAGACGTGGAGTGCCCAGCAACCTTCGCACCCGTCAGCCTGTCCAACACGTGCTCAATCGATGCGGAGTGGCCCCGATTGTCGAGCAAACAATGAAGGCATCTTGGAGTTCAGGTTTGCTCTGTGGCGGAGAGGTGCAGCCGACCGCATCTGATATATCCCGAAGTTGAGACTGCGCAGACGTTCGCCGCTGCCGTTCGACGTTTTGGTGCATTTGCAGGCGACGATGCTCAGCAAGAGGTTAGCCAGCGCACAGAGAGCAGCCGGTTGCGGGCAGTCCTTGACTCTACGCCTCTCACGTTTCGTGCTTGAGATAGAACTCGACGGCATCGAGTTCACCGTCTTGCCAAAATGCGAACGTGAGGAACCGATGTTCCCTGACATGACAGGCTCCCAGGTGAGGGTAACCGGACTGGAGCAGCATGGGCTGCAGAGGTAGGCTGCTCGGCGGTTCACGACTGGGACAGAACCTTTGTTCGATCACCAGATGCCTTTGCAGGCTTCTGGCAGCTTCCGAGGCATGGCTACCACAATCCGTCGAAGTTCAACCAGTGTTCGAGACAGTTCAAAGCATATCTTCAGACTGCGGCACAGGAGGCCCAAGTCTTCGCATTGGACTGCGACAAAAAGTGATTTGTCGTTTGTGCAGTGTAGCTCGGTCAGCTAGGTTGCTTTCAGTTGGCGACTCTACTGAAGAATTCCATCTCGACCCCCGAAACTCCAAACTTGAAGCGCTGAATTCTGAATCCGAAATACGAGCAGCCCCCCCCTACCACGCCCAAGCCCTCGACGGCACTCCATTGGCCCAAAATCGGGTGGAAGCGGCTGGCCCGGAAGACGATCGGAGCCTTGCCGGGCTCCCAAGTATTTCAGAAGCCCTTTGTAAAGTTCCAGGGATCCCAGAATTCCCCTGAAGGGGCTTGTGGCCCTGTTAACTCGGTGTGGGTCTGTAGTTTGGGGTCTCCAAGCCAGTTTAGGTTTAAGATTCGAGCGGACATAAAGAAGGACTGATAGCAAAGGACAGAACAAACAAATAGAATATGTGATGCGAACATGACGAAGCAAGCACGTGCAGCAATGTACATGCATGTCGGGAGGAGGCGAGTTCGTTCTTCTTGAGGCTTTGGTGTGTTTCGTGCTCAAGCAAACACCAAGCAGAAGGTTGCACTCGACAAATCTTGACGTGTGCCATAGCAAGGTGGCGATTTCAACATCCTGATCTGGTTTCCGGCCCGTGGAGGACGGTATGTCGAGATGAACCTTGCGGCTGATGTATTGGGATTTTGTTTAGGGCCCATCTGTGCAAAGACGCTACCCTTCCGTAGGTCGTTCAGAGCTGCGCGGAAATCTTGTCATCAGGCTTGCGCAAGCCCATGGCCGTTTCAAAGGCAAGGTGGGAGACCGTTGCAGGACCTTGTGGAAGAAGGGCAATTCGCCAACGCCAGGTCTTCTTCTCGACGCCACCCCTGCTTGGGCACAATGAGGCCCCGGTGCTGTAGGTCCCAAAGCCGCACAAAAAGATTCCGGCGAATTGCAACATCTCCTCAGGATCAAATTCCAACACCACGATGTGGCAAATAGCAACTGACACGACTGACGCGCGGCAAGCTGCACAGACTTCGGCCTGATGGCAGGCTTACCTCCCACCGATCAAGGGCATGGGCCATGTAGCACAGCTACTGGGCGGTGGTACGGTTGATGATATAAATCCTGCATGACCCAGAATAAGGAATATACCATAATTCCCATAGTGTAGAGTCCTTAAGGTAATGCAGGATTTTTATCATCAACAGTAGTCCTTGGTAACAAGCAGATTCGTGAGCCTGTGGAGCAGTGATTCAAGGTACAAGGTTCAGGGTCAGGAGCGACGACGCATTTAATGTAAATAATACCAAGGCTGTTGGCTGGGCCGGCTCTGATGATCCTGGCCTCACCCCCAGCATGGGCACGCTGTTGTGCGACCTTGCATATAGTTTGGGCGAGTGAAGCGCAGCCCGTCAACAGGTCCTGGGCTTGCAGAATCTCAAGAGGCAGCTGACAAACACCCACAAGAGCGCCACGCCCTCGGCTCCTGGGGATTGCACCAATCTCCCGTCGGATGTCGCAAACAACACGGCATCCCCCCCCCCCGCACCGCCCTTGACTCTCCCTGAGGAGCTCTACGAGCACATCTGGAAGTTCATTTCCAAGGCACAGAACTGACAGGAGAGTTGATTTCTTTGCTGAGGCTCGCTTTGAGCCTCTTTGTGTGCCTCCACGGAGAGAATGCTTCTCTCTGAGCACCATCTTCTGTCGCAGGCTGAGGCCCGAGACAAGACGGGGCGAATCGTGCAATACTTCTGCCGCTTCCTGCAAGGCCGGGTAGTCCCAGGGTCCCCAGGGAAGGGAAAACTCTGCCAATCTGACATAGCTGACTTCGAAGAGGCTTCCGCAGAGCAGAGATCTCAGAGCCCGAGTGGCGGCACCGCACCCCAGGCTTCCTGGGCCACATGTCCGAAGGCTTCTGGCTCCAGGCCTGGAAGCCGGTGATCGCCGAGGCCGGAAGGGCACCTCTCTCTCTCTCTCTCTCTTCTTTCTGGGATTCCAGGCCTTCAGAGGGTCTAAGGGAGTTTTCAGGGAATTTCGAGTGTTCTTCGATTGGGTGTTGCTGTGGTGTTGGGGTGCGAGCAGCCTCGCAGCTCCTGCGGCACGGCAGGTTCAAACGACTCTCGCCTGGGCTCGGCGCACCCACCGATGGGGCAAGGCTCGAGTGTGGCGCTTGAGATCTTAAAGCTGGAGCATCTGAGCAGCTGCAGTGTTCTGAGCCTTATAAGCCAGCTGCGGCGGCCTGTCGCGAAAGTTTCGAATCGCACGTGGGACGGAGCAGGATGCAGGAACATCAGGAAATATCAGGAACATGATGCCTGGCTATAGTAACAGCCGGTTAGGAATTGCGACTTGGTGCTACTCCTGGCCCGCGAAACAGGAGCTCCCACACATCCCAGCGCTTGGGAAAGCCATTGAGAGCGGCGACATTCTGGAGGCACTCCCGTGAGATCCTTCCTTGGCCATATAATGATGATATAGAGGGTGTTTCAAATCTGCTGTTCAAATCCGAGCTGTGAAGGCTGCAGGGGAGCAGGTGAAACAGAGCTGACGAGCGATCCCTGCGGCACAAAGACAGTTGTGAGACAGGTGCAAGAGGCTTCCGCTCCCAATCTTGACCTGCACGCAACAGCGGTTGAGGGCCTCGTCCAAATGGGGTGGCACTCGAGTAGGACTTTTTGCCGTTGCGATCCGAAGGCAGCTCAGCGGGCAGTACTCATCACCTTCTTGATCCAGGAGTCGCAGTGTTGCACATGCAACCCTTCATCCCAAACGCAGCTCATGGCATCCAGCTTTTGCCTTTCGAGATTTGCTGCTCAATCCTGGGAACTCGTTATGTCTCAGGCATTAACGCTATTTCGCTTAGCCGAGATTCTGCTGGATTCAGGATCATATCTACTGGCTACTGAAAGTTGGCATCCTCAAGCACTCCCGGCCGTTTCGGGGCGGGAGTGTGATGAGTTGCGTCCTGACTCTCATTGCCGACTGCACAGAACGACTGGTGCAAACAGTGTACTGCAGTTTGGTCGCACAAAGGGTCGACAGCATTCGTCAGCAGTCCTTCGCATGGAGATTCGAAAAAAGGAGTTTGTGACTTCTGTCACGTCTTGCGGCTTCCCCTTGGCAGATTCCAGAACTACACCGCGATCCAGTGGCATCGGAGAAATCTCAGGCACTTCAAGCTGGAAGCTTGACTCCGTCGCATGCAGTTTTGACGGCTCACAGACACCATGTTGTCGATCGAGCCTTGTGAGCTGTTGAGCCGGGAGGTTCATCACACTGTCCCACGTGCTCAACTTCTCTCTGTGCGTGCGGCAGGCCCGACCAGAAAGGCGTCCTATCTAAACGGCAAAGGTGGCACACACGGATGACGTCACCAAGAGTGACAAATAGATTCAATCATCGTAAGCAAACAGGGAGCAGGTGCATGCCTACTTAGTAACCGAGTGCTTGAGACTCATCTGCTCTACTACCATCTCAGGCTGTGACTGAAACCTGCCAGGTCATAAACATTCGCAAGAAGCAGCAGGACCGGGTTCTGGGGTGTCTTTGCTGAGCAGAGATGGTCGCTTGTGACTGTCTGCTGTGCACAGTGATGGCCTGGTTTGTATAAGTGGATGCCGGGCGCTTGAAGGCCGTGGCTTTTTCATACTGTTGTCGTGATTTCAGTAGCTGACCTTGGGGTGTGCGTGGTTTGGCCGACCCCAACGTCTCCAGCTCCTGCAGTTGGGTCGCGAACCTCTGACCCATGTCAAAACTGACTGCCCCGCTGATAGACTCACGTGTGGACGGGTGGCAGATATGCCAGATGCCAAATACCTGTAGTATTCTGCAGTCAAGTTAAGCCAGAAAGGGGTGTCGCGGCTCACTTCGAATGAACTCTGCCTGTCCCAAGCAGGCAATGAAGCCGGAAGACAAAGACGACCCTTGGCAGAGAATTCAGACAGACAGCCGCGAACAAACCTACAGACAGAAAGACCGACACATACTTACCAAATTTCCATCTTGATTCTAGTCCATCTTTCCACCTGCCTCATCCATCTCCCCACCTCTCCGTCTACCCCCATGCAGCCTGCCTGCCTGCCGCGGGCCGTCTGTCTGTCTGTTTGTCGATGTGTACATGTGTGTAACACGAATGCTAACATACCTACACGACAGAAATGCGTGCAGGTGAGCACACACACACACACACACGCACGCATCCGCACTCACATGCACATGCACATAAGATCCACACGCATGCATCGGTACGTACACAGATAATGTGGAAACGTCTTACAAACACATCTGACATCCATGGCGTTGTGTGACCAAGCGACAGTCGCTAGGGGCTGCAAAGGTCAGGACGCTTTCAACTCCAGATTGGGGAGCCTTTTCTGAGACGTAGCCGGAGCCAGGCAATCAAGCAAGCAGACAAGAAAGTCTATGACGAAATGAGAATGATGGTCAGGCACGGAGACTTTGTCCGGTGTGTTTGAGTTCTTCGTCTGCATCACGCTTGCAGAAGGATTACGTTTAGATTGCGGTGCTACGGGAATGGTCGCTACATGATCCAGATACTGCTGTTGGAAACGACATATTGAAACATTCCTGATACAGCAGCTCACATTTGCGGGCTACATCCCACGGCACAGCCACCAAACTTCGCCAAACCTCGCTTCTGTGCTTGGGGCTTGAGTCATTTGAGGCCGCTGAAGCTTGATTCGGATTTGTGTCCTTTCCTTGCAAGCGACGTTGCGCAGGTATACTCTGACCTTCATTCAGATGCTGCACGTCTCGCAGGCTTCCGCGAAGGGTGCTGGACATGGAGCGCATTAAGTCTTGGGTCCGGTCTCCCCATGTCCTGAGTGCACAAGCATTGCTCGACCTCCCGGGCGATTGGTTTCAAGGTGAAGAAGATGGACGACTGGTACATCGGCTTGATGGGCGTGGCCTGGGCTCTCAGCTGGCGTGTTTGTTGTGCACAGGGCGGTGCGACGCCCTTTGGGCCTTGTCGAGCATCTTCCGCGGCGCCGGGTTCTATCTAGGCCAAGCATGAGTACCATTCTCATCATTGCAATTGCATCAGATTCATCGAGTTTGGAAGCTTAGCTCCTTAATTTTAGGCCCCAAACCTCAATTTTAGAACCGCGGTCCTTAATTTCAAATCCCAAACCTAAATTCTCGAGCTCCGGTCCTTAATTTCTGTGCCCAAACCCTAATTTTTGGAGCCCGATCTTTAATTTTAGGCCCAAGCCCTCCTTGAATGGCACCCTTGCCAACCAGTGGTTTGGAAACTGCCCCTATCCGCCCTATCCAAGAGTCTTGCCGAGGCGTCCTCGTACATTGACGCGTCGAAGCAGTGGTGAGCCGATGAGCCCAAAGGGGAGCTTGGGAGCACGATATTGCGCGTGCTCGTTAAAACTGAAGCAGAGTTCATGGATTCCGGTCTTTGTCAACCGCAGGCAGCGCACCGAAGTATCGAGCTCCAAAGCCGTAGCTTTCACCTCCTGCCTCGGTCATCTTCGGATTTCGGGCGGCTTGGGCCCCCTTTCTTGGCGAAAGGATTCCTTGACGAGGATGGTGCGGTGGCTATACGCCTGCTAGTGCGGGTAGTTTCGCTTCGAAGTACAATGGGGCCTCCTATCGCAAATTAGACAAGGGGTGTTCTCGTACTATTCCCGGCACTCTTGGCAACGACGCTCCTTTGGAGACTTGAATCGAAAAAGCAGCCGCTGCTACACAGAGGAGTGGAATCCTAGCGCTGAAGCGATTGCTTGACAGTTAAACAGTGGGGGCCTAGCCACCACTGCTGGACGGTGACTCCGAACCCTCGTAACATCTCAAAAATGAGCTCTGGGCACGGAGTCATGCACCAGAGGTGGAAGAAGCCTTGGCCCTCGTAGGCGATGAAACTCATCTGATTTCATGCCGCAAGTTTTTCCCTCTCTCCAGAGACCCGGTGCGAACCCAACCGGGGCCCCTTTGGCAGATCACACATACAGTGCTCGCCAAAGGCAGCATCCAGCGTTATCGCGCTGCTTTGCCCGGCAAGAGGCCGGTAGTAGCCTGATCCGATGCCGGCTGACTGCAGTCAGTTTGCAGTTCGAGGATTCTGGTCAATGGCGCTCTTTTTCTAAGGTAGTGCAAGCTGCTCTGTTGTTGACGGGAGCGAGTTAGCTCGGAACTGCCGGCGGACTCGAGTCAAGACGACATGGCACCATCAGGTGCATGAAAGCCTGGCAGAGCCCAAAGGGCAGGTTGCGTCAACGTCAGCCCGCTCCAACTCAAAGGGCAGCCCCATCAATCGGTTCTGGTTAAGCCCCGGCAGGCCCAGCAGGTTGTCCGCAGGTTCAGAAGGACAACCACTCAACCTTTGCGTGGATCATAGACGTCGCTTCATTCGTGAAGTACAAGATGACACAGACAGCTTAAAGCCAGCTCCTGACATTGGCGCAGCGCGAGACCCAGAGACGCGAAAGGTGATAAAGCTTTGTGGCTGAGACTGCGGCTTTGTGACCGTGCGACAGGATACTTGTGCAAGATTTTCGAAGTTGTCAGCGCAGAACCTCTGCAGAGTTCGGCAATCGCAACGGCCTGTGGCAGCCTCTTGCTTCTTGCGCTTGCATGGAACTAGATTCAGAGTTACATCCGCCCCAAAAGGCAAAGGACCTTGGCGTACAAGTTTGCACAGCGCTACTAGCTTACACTCAGCCGACAGAAGGCTTTGCCTGCCTGGACGGCTTGCTTCTCGTGAGTTGTACGGCTTGTGATGTAAAGCGCTTTCAAATCGAGCCCCTTCGTGGTCTTTGGATGAGGCTGGGAGACCATGCCTAGGGCCTGGGGTCGAAGAGCGCAGCCCACCTGTTGCAGTTCGGCCCTTGGTGCCGTTGGCGGCTTCGTCGGTGGCGTCTTTGGTGGCGTCTTCGGCGGCGTCATCGAGGGCGTCAGGAGACGCCTTTGGGCCTTCGGGAGTGTAGCTGTCGGAAGAGAAGTGAAGCTGCTTTTTTTGCCGTGTTGCAAGGGACACGGATGCTCTGATGCTCGGCTCCGTGGGGTCAAGGGCAGGGAAGTCATGTGTTCGGCCGGAGTTAGAGAGAGCGGTCAGAGGAGCGAAACATGTGGGCATGGCTTGGTTGGTGTTCTCAGCAGCTTTCGCACCGGCATCCGATGACGAAGCTTTCAGGGACAGTAAGGCTTCCCACTCCCCCGAGAGCAATGGCCAGTTCTCCGGTTCTCTGGGCCCTTTGGGTCTGGTGGATCTTCACGGCATCCGCAGTGCCCTCGGCCTCGACTGAGTTCTTCAGGATCCGCAGCGCTCTTGCCCCACACAAGTGCATCACTTCCAACAGCAGGGGTCTCCTGTGGTTGCGAGAATGTTCAACCTCCGCAAGAGGATGGATCAACCCTCATCATGTCTGGTCCTTCAACAAAACATGGCTCGTCAACCTCAAACAGCTTGAGGATGCTGGTGGAACCCTTCAAGCAATGTGCGTCACCTTTGACAGGGCTTACTATTATCACCACGGGCGCCCCTTAAGGCTACGTGCCTGTCAAGACGGTCAGGCAAGCATGGATTGGGTTTGGGAAGGTGAACGCATCAGACACGCTCACAGCCCTTACGTCTTCGACCTGGCCGGCCACAACCTTACGAACTTGGGTGGAAATCGCCATCTGCCTGACGACTATGGCTGGTTTGGATTCCCCGCAGTTCAGCTTGGAGCCGAAGACGCTTCAACTTCAAGCGACCAAGTTTTCTTCAGGGAGATCTTGACGAGCCTGGAGAACCTCACACAGTCCTTCGAACCTCTTCCGGCAACGGAGGCCCTACCCGATCTTCCGCGGGAACAATACAGTCTGTGCCCAGATGGATCCTTTGGTGAGCGAAATGTGTGTCCAGACATGCGCCGTCGAGCTCGCACCGATTATTTGTGCCGAGGCGGCACCCTAAGTTTGAAATGTGTCTGTTTCCCGGGGTACTTCCCTCTCGTAGTGGGACATACTCCGGGGCTTGCCGACTTGGGCTACGTGGATTACACCTGCTGCAGAGGGGAAGGCAACTCCGACGAGTGTGGAGACAATTTGATTTGGTTTCCACTTGCCGTTGCTTTGACTGTCCTGGGCGTTCTGGGTGTGCTGACAACGAGCCTGATAATCCACTGCTACCACCCCAGCATTGCCCATGCCACAGAAGAAGATCTTCAGGTTCTTTGTCCGCAACACGTGCATGACGGCGCAGCTCTCCACAGAACAGTGGAGCAAGCAAAGTGGGGTGTGAGTTTGGAGGACTTGCGCCAGTTCAGGCGGTTAGTGCATCATGAGGTGAAATCAGGAAGTATCAGGCCAACAGATCGAGACCAGTTCGCTTTATCAGACGTAACGATAGGGCCATCGGCATACACGGTCAACGATCAGATGATCCGGCCGATAACTGCAGCTGCCGGCAATGTGAGTTGGGCATTGATGAAGCACCCGGAGGGCTGCTTGTGCGACCTATTCATCACTCACGGCTGGGCCGAGGGCATGTTTGACTTTGTCGAGAAGGTTGTGAATTCGTGGCCGCGGGCAGCCAGAGGGGCTTACGTTTGCTTCCTGTCCAACCCACAAAACCTGGACATTGCAGATTTGCTACAGTCACCGAGGGAGTCCCCATTCGCCAGAGCTTTGAGCAAGTCGTCGTCCATGCTCGTGGTGCCAAATCACGTGTCCAGCATCTACACAAGGATTTGGTGCCGTGGCTGTCCTTTGGCCCTCAGGACTAAATTGACTTGATGTCCCATCATTTTGGAAAGTCAGGCTTAGTAATTTCGACAATTTCAACCAAGGTGTGTTTACGAGGCATTTTTGGCGTCTTCCTGGGACAAGCCAATTCGGCTTGCGAAGCGGCCTTTGCTGAATCAATGGCCTAGGATACTTCGCGTGTTAAGCACTGGCGTCGCTGCCTTCGGAACGGGCATGTTGTACCCCGTAGCAGGTGTCAAGTGGTACGGCGTTAGCCCAGGCAGCTTCTCCTTGCACTGGGACTTGGAGTGGGCATTCGCTTACGTGGGCGGGACATTCGGTGCCTTTGTCGCGCTGACCTTCAAGTGTTGCTTCAGCAGAGCGACCGCGACAATCCAAATGGCAATTCATTGTATGACCGTCTTCCTAGCACTTTCCGTGGCCATGTCGGCCTCCTGGCTTGGTTTGACTGATGTGCCGAATCTGTTCAGATTTGTGGCGATAGTCGTTGGATCAACTGGGCTTGAGGCGGACTGGCAGCGTGCCACAAGAGCCTTGCGACAAGCAGATCAGCTGGCAAAGGATTTCAAAGGGACCGTCAGGCATGCCACAAGCTCTAGTGCCGACGATTTACGAAGGATCCTTCGCAAGATTGAGGAACATGAGCAAGTCGATGCCATTGACGACATGGTAGCTTCCTTGATGGCAACCAACGTTTCTACAGCACAGCTCCACTCGGTGGTACAGGTCACCGGTCACCTCAAAGACTTGTCGGGTTGGAGCAGAGCCATTTTCCTTCTGACCGTCATAGTTTTGATCTTCCAGTTCCGACAGGTGTACACCTACAGGGTTGATGAAGATGGCATGACAATCGGATGGCTTTTGAAGGCTTGTGCTGGCCTTGAAGCTCTGCTTTGGCCAATCATCTTCCTCAGTCTTCCTGTCGAGTCAAAGGCTTTGGCAGAAAGGTGTGCAAAAATCCTGCTGCTGCTTCTCCCAGGCTTGATTGGTCCTATGTGGCAGGGGCTCTCCTTCGATGTCTTCGCACACCTCTGCGTGATCCCTCTGTTTATGGTAATGGCCACTGTCGGATGGCGCATCTCTCGTGTGCCGGTCGTGGGTCCAGCCTTGATCCGCATGCTCTTTGTCCAGAGTCCGTGCCCGCCTAAAACAGGTCTGGGTAGCGGAGAATCTGAGCACCCGCATAATGACCAGCCTACTTGTACAGAGAATGAGGACCACGTGTTCTCGATGTAAGCCATCTTCGAAGCTTCGCGATGTGATACCACGCATGGAGCATCCTGAGTCATCAGCCGCGGCGATAAGTCCTTCATCTTCCAATGACTATCCTCCTTGTCCTCATCCTCGCTGGCATGACTGTTAGTTTCCACCAGTGTTCTTACGATGTTCCTTGTGGCTCCTTATTGACGTTATTGTTATCTTCGTGACCCGGAGTTTAGCATCGGCGTTAAAGGAGTTATCACCATCGTCGTCGTCAGCATCATCACCGTCATCTACCTATCGCTAGTAATCGTTCTTGCCATTCTGCAGTCATCACGACCGTCAGGATCGCAGCAATCATTCCCATCCTGTTCTTCCCGCATCCACAGCACTGCTCACTCCCAAGAATCACACGACGACCCTCCTGCTTCTTGCAGGGGCGTGGCCTGCCACTCCGGTGATGCAGAGAAGGAGAACCAGTGTTCCTTTCAGCATTCGCAGAAATCACATTCCCCACAGCGCGAAGAAGCCCAGATGACTCCTGATCCCATGCGGTCAGCCAAGAGGACGCCCATGACGATGAGAACATCTTCGAGCAACGTGCAAAGCTCGACCAGGCCGTCAGCGCTTCCCGTCTTGCGCGCCCTTCCTTTACAGTATCAACCTTCCCAGCCAGCAAGAGACAAATTGTTTTTGGCCCCAAGCCCTGCAGAGCTAGCCGTCAGGTGCTGCAGTTCTTCGAGCTGGAGTACGAGCATCCCGTCCTGGAGAAGTAATACGGCCAGGCCATCACCCGCAGAGCTGAAGCTCCGAAAGGGGCAGCTGAAGTACCGAAAGAAGTAGTCTGGTGGCGTGTTGCAACTGAGAGCACTCTTCATTTTATAATCCCGAGTGAAGTCGGACCTAGCTGCCATCCCTACAGTGTTGATCAGACGTGTCTTTCCATGACTTGACGCCTGAAGATGCGAAGACTGCCCAACAGTCAGATCGAAGCTACTAAGGAAGTTCAGTGGATATTTTGACGACCCGCAGAGGTGGCCGTGCCTACTAGCTTCATCTGATTTGCGCAACCCCATGGTTGACCGGAAGTTCTTCTGCCTCGTGTGATAACAAGCCAGCCTCTCGGATCCGCTCGGGGGCCAGGATGGAAAGCATGCGAGTGGAATACTACAACTGCATCAACGCCATCGAGTTCCAGCATCTTGGCATAGCTTTACGATGGCTCTGTCGATCGAATCTCAGGGAGTCGTGATGACCTGTGGCTCCTTCGGCAGTACGGCATCACATTCGGTATTCATTCCAACTGAGGAGCGAGGTTCTCTCCCAGCTGGCGCCGCTGCTGCAGTTCGATTCCATGCCACGTTTTTCTCTTTTTGCAGCCGTGCCTTCTCATTCTCATAGAACGCCTTGGACGCGGCCTTGCTCTGCTTACCCCGGGTTTCGAGTTTTGAGGTCGGGCTGCTCTGAATGTTGACCAGTCTTGATGTCAACTCCGCGTTGACTCTCTTTGTTCATCTATTTGGGGGATTCGGACAATTATTCCGCGGGGTGTTCCTGTAATTGCTCAGCGTTGGCCTTCGACTCCTGAGCGGCTGGCGGGCTGGCGGTCTCCGAGGTCGAGGAGCTTCTTGGCTTGCGCGGCGCGCTGCGGCGCGGCGAAGCCAGGGCCTCGGCCGGGGGCGAGAGGCGAGAGCTTCGAGGAGCTGGGGAGATCGAGATCACCTCGGAAGAAAAGCCGAACTGAGTACCTGGCATCATGTGGCATCTGGATGTGAGCTTCGAGCAATGTCCAGGCTCTCGAGATGTCAAAGAAGGCGCGAGCCCAGCTGCAAATCTGAACAGCCGTTTCTCTGAGGGGAGAAGGTGGCCCATCTCTTCTCTTCGCGAGCATCAGAGTGTTGCATGATGTGCAGGCTTACCGGCACGAGCCGTTGTTGTGCAGTCTTCGCTGGCTGTAGGTCTTCAAGTTGCGCTCAAGGGCTACACCGATACATGGCAATGTCGACGGCAGTCGATGTCACCGTGACTACACCCATTGAAGCCCGAACCTAGCAGTCCAATATGATCTCGAAAATGACAGCACATTCCCAGCTTCTGGTGGAAGCCTGGAAGAATTGGAGAGGATCTTTCAATCCGACTGGCGAACCTCAAGCTGGACATCTCCGACAGGAAGACGAAGCGCTTCTTCAAGGACAGGCTGCAGGGGCAAGGAGGGTTGGCATGTCAGGCGCCTCGGAATTCGTCTCGGGCTTCTGGACCTGCCGATGCAGCACAACACTCAAAGATGCCTCGTGCGTGATGGACCATGGCTTTAGGCTTGGGATGGTTTGGGTCACAGGAGGTGCAAATGCAGTCGCCCTGCAGAAAAATCGGTAACACACCTTCGGTGTTCAGAGGGGGGGGGGTGCAAGGCAAGGTGCCTGGTGCTCGGTCTCATTGGTGGGAGACACCATTGCGGTCAGGAGAAGGAGCGGCGGCAGCTGGTGGAGACACTTAGCCCGGCTGCGCTCTCAGTGCATCTGTCATGTGCGAGTGGCTGACGGAAGACCGTATTCATGATTGTGATGCTCCCTGTCGAAGTAACAAGGGAGGGCCACTCCCAATTCGTTGAGCTTCCCCCGTGACCAGGCAATCGCGGAAGCCAAGACACAGCGGCCAGAGCCCCATCGCAGTCAAGGAGAAGAGGTTCTGAAGTGAGCTTGATAGCTGATAGTGTGGGGCGGTGGTAGTGGCGACCCTCTCTTCAACAGCACCTTGTGTTTCTTGCAATGCTTGCACTTCGAAAGAATGGAAGAACGCTTCTGATTCGATTTCGAGCTGGTTTGCAGGCTCCTTGCCGAGCAAGCAGGCAGCGCAGGCCGCAATTGCAGGTTTCAGAGGATCTGAGAGTAGTCCGAACCTGGCCACGACCATGAAATCCGAGAAGCATTGAAGCTTGCGCCTTGCAACTCAACAAACTCTGGCCCAGTTGAGAGCACTCCCATGGATGCAGCCCCGCAGTCTGCCCACATGGAGGCCGAGGGAGCTGGTCAGATTTTGCTTTGGGTTTAGCTTCCAGTTGGCGAGCCCTGTATACAACCCGGACAGCGGCTGGAAAACTGCAGCCGCACAATGATCGGTTTCAGCGCTTCCACCACCACCACCACCACCACCACCACCACCACCACCACCACCACATACCACCACCAACAACAACAACAACAAGACCACTACAATAAAGCCAGGCCTGCACACGGCATTTGCATTCGCTGCCGCAGTCATGCGGCTCGAAGCAGAAGTCAAGAGCATGAAACTGTCACTGTGGTTTTCAGCCAGGCCTAATCAGAGTTCGTGAACCCACAAGGTGTTGTGACTGGTCAAGTGAGAAAAAAAGACCCAGCTAAACAGTCTTAGGCCCTAGGTTCAAGCATCATTCTGACAGCCATGGTGCTCCTTCGGCTTATCGCTGCCCCGTGGGTGCCCCCAATTGACATGGCGGGAGAGTTCAGCACACCACTGCGAGCTTGCATTTTGCATGTATTATAGCCGGGGCACGCATTCCGGAAGAAGTAATTAGTGGACATTTGCTTCGTGGGTGATACTCGAGCGGAGGGAGCCTCCAACAAAAAGATTCTGGCTGCTTGTAGATGTCGCGACCTTACACCTTAGTCTACATATTTGGGCCTAGGTCCTCTGTTAGCTGCTGCAAGGAATTCAAGTCCGTAGCGAAGGTACTGCTGCTGCTGCGGCCATCCTCGTGTGTGTATTCTGGCTGACTTGATCGTGACTGCGCAAGTTGTGACTGTCCTTGCACTTGTACAACTTGTACGGTGTAAGGTGCAGGCAGACGCGCATGAGAACGGTTGGTCAGTCATATGCCGGTACATGTGGTTGTTTGGCATCTGATACTGAGGCAGCAGCTGAATGATGAGACTTTCGAGCACCAGACGCAGGTGCTTTGTTGTGGCCAATGGAGCTAGAGTGTTTGTGTGAGTCCAGCTTACAGGGGAGCGGGTCAACCCGGCATGCTTCAGGCTCGAGTGCAACGTCAAGGTCTTCTAGAAGCGACAGAGTGTGGGACATCGATGGGCTACGCCCAAGCGAGTTCGCAACATCAAGTGTCAGCCGTCTTGATCAGCTTGCCGATTCCATGCCGCAGGCGTCTACAGGCATGACAACTGGGAGCTGGCTCGTAACGCCAGCAGCCAAGTGCAAGGTGTCGGTAGGGGCGACACTGTTTGGAAGTGAGGGGAAGTTCACGTACTTGTTCGTACCTCAAGGGAGAACTAGTGCCAGAAGAGTTTCTCATTTCTCAGGACACCTGGCAAATTTCACGACTCCAACCTGAAAGGAGTCAAAGGAGTTCCAAAATCAGAGATTCGTTAAGCGTGCCGAGATCACTCCGAAGTCAGCTTTCGAATCGGTCGCAATTTTTGCTGTAGGTTTGGAGCGAGTGGCTGCAGCAGCTGCGGCGAATTTCGAGAGGCACCTAATCGACCAGCTGCAGCTGAATTGTTTGTACGGGGTGCTGAGACACTCGTCGTCGCGTTGTTGGCAAAGCGGCCAGTATGCTCCCTCCTCGCCCCTGCGCCCTCGCCACAACACTGTTTCCGGATCTTGATCTCGATGGTGCCAACGGCCATAGGGGTGGGTGGTCCAGTGTTTCGACTCTTATGCTTGTTGCCCAATCCGAACGAAGAACAAACCTGCACACCTCAACAGCGAGGGAGGAAAGTCAGTATCGCCCACATTGAGAAAGGCATGCCGGAGGAGGGATGAAGCCAGAACTACCCACGCCACCCACCCACACAAAAGGGGAGCGCGTGTCACGGGTTTGGGGAGGAGGGGGGCCTTAGCAACGCTGCAATCGTTCGATCGAAAACATCTTCGCGAAATCGGCCAGCATTCAGTCAACAGTCTTTCGCCGAGGATAAAGGCTTGAATTCACTCCTCGTCGAGCAAAGGTGCTGATTCCCGCTAGCATCGCAACAGCTCCATGTCCAATGGCCCGCCCACGCTAACCAACTACAGGAAGCAACATTGAACAAACAGAGCCTGCGACCATACTGACAGCAGCGATGAGAGCAATGTGCCCGGCCTGGAAGTATCCATCGTCATAGGATCCTTGCTGCACGGAGCCCCGAAACAAGGCTATCCTCTTCAAACAAACGTTTGCCACGACGTACTGTGCTGTCAAATCTGGCTGATGATCAAAGTGCCGTGCGTCATAGTACTTCGAGTAGTAAGTCTGATAATGGTAGCTTTTTGTCGCACTTGAGTCGCAAGAAATGTCTAGCTATGGCAAGAAGACTCATCCTAGTACTCTGTGTACTACGGACAGTCCTTGAATCGCTAGTTCTAATTGCCTTCAACCAAATCCTCGACACAGGCCTTGGATGGAGTGGAAGAGGACCGGCGTCGTACGTGCGCATGGCAGCAATGCCGGCATAGCATGGCATAGCCTAGAATGGTGCCATGAGAAGCTCCGCTTCGGCCGCAGGAGCTTCGAGACATATACGTGATCCCTGCTCATGTGGACAAAGCGGACAGCGCAGGACTGTCGAGGGCACTAGTCATAAGTCCTGCTGTGCTTCTACGCAGGGAAGTACGCTTTTTGCAATGGTGCTGGTGGTCCCGCAAGGATACCGAAGATGATATGCTGTGGTGCACGTATTCGTCTATATCAGAGCATATAAAAATCCATTGTCCAGTTTATTCCATGCTCTCCATCGCTTAGTCCTGTAAATCCTGGTTTCTCGGATATGCGCTATTCGTTGGCTATCATTGCCCCGGCCGAAGGCTTGTGGAAGCGATTTGGCATCGGCGAGGCACGAACAAGAAAGAGTACAGTAGGAGGTTTTGTCGAATGTTTGTGATTCGGCGGGACGCTTCGGTTTTGGGAGATGAGACATGGCAGATGCAACTACCTTCCGAGTCATGCTACGAAGAGTGGCGAGAGCAAAAGACGTGATATCGCATTGTATTTTTTTGGCACAGACTTTCCACAAGGGCAGAAGAACAGTATCCCGAGCACAGCTGATGGCTTACACGAAAAATGGTTGTTTAGGAATCGTACATGTCACGTCACTTTACTCCTTATGCCAACACCAACAAGCAAAGCCGTTGCATGTGTGAGCGCCTTTAGCCGCCATTTTTCAAGCCGCCCCACGCGCTCGGGACGCCTGTAAGAAGCGAGTTTACTTCCCCCTAACGGCAGCATCACTTGCTCAGGTGCCCTGGACGCTGCTTTTCGCGAAGCACAAGCTGTACCGCTACACGGGCGCCCAGGACTGAAAAAGTCTTGCTGCAAGAGTTTCCAAGCCAGTACAGTAGCGGTGAGATGTCTAGGCATTAAGTACTAAGTACGGCGATGCTGGTTCCGATTTTCGGATGCAGCTTTACAGCATTGAGGCTGGAGGAAAAGCGAAACACCCCCTTGAAGCTTTTGGACATGGGATTTCTCGGACTTAGGGGATGTCTTTAGTATCGTGGCTACTTTCTTGATGCAGTCTTCAGCATGTTGCATCCCTGCTCAAGTCTGTATGCTTGTATTGGTTCTCTTTTCGACGCGGGCATCAGTAGCAAGAGCAATATGGCTGTATCGGGCGAAGGACAGTGAACACGATTGCGGCTCGCAATGCTGCATTTGTGCGAGGTGAATAAGAGCATGTCACGTCTATTACATACAGAACCACTGGCTGCTTCTCTTCCATCCGTATGCCAGGCGAAAGACTGCACATGTGGCAACCAATATATTGACCAAAATGCACTCTATTTATTTTAAAGATTGAACCACTTGCAACCCAATGGGAAAGAACCAACAAACGGTCAGGTCCTGCCTGACAGATGGAACGGTCCGTTTGGTCTCGCAGAGAAAACGGGTGTGCATCATGACAGTTATCGAAAAGCTCTTCAGCACGTTCGATTCCGAGCGGCCACAGTATTCGCGCTGGGGATATGCCCAACCCAGAGGCAAAGAGAAGCTCAGATTTGGTGTCAGAGTGGCAACGACAGGATGGCCAAAGCCTTTTGGCCTTTGCTCGAGCTGCCTTAGACGGGCAACTGGAGGCAGGAGAGGCCTGGCCACGGTTTCCCGTAGCGGAGCGGAAGCAAAGATGGTCTAGCCAGCACATGACAGAGCTTGCTTCGATGTTTCGGCAGCCACTGACAGTAAACCTTCCTTGCTGGAAGATGCTCAGTCGACAGCGCACAATTTCTTGAACTTGACCACAGATTCCTGCGCCACCGAGCTTGCTTGAGACGCTGCTGGACAAGGCCCGGAGCCCGGTTTTGCCGGGGAATGGTCGGCACAGTTTGTCTGAGCATTTGGGGGGTTGGTCGGGAACAACGTGTGATCTGCAGGCCTGGCCATGCCTGTGTACAGTTGCTTTGGGACGCAAGCCAAGCCCAGAGCGGCAGAGCCCCGCATCCAAAGCAGCAGTCCCCGGGCCCAAAGTGGACTCACCACGGTTCGGCAGGCATGTCAGAGAGACGATGTACACGGATCAGATCAGGTCAAGAGTATCTTCGGTGCTGGAGAGCTCTGACGAGCTCGGGTGAGCAAGCTGCATCGTGCCTAGAAGGTGCTGGAAAGACGTGTGACAAGGGATGTACCTTTAGGATCCCCAACTCTGCCAGAGCAGACTTGCATAGTTGATGCCGCTACGATGCCTCGCGCGCTGAAGCTGGCGGCTTCGGAAGGCTACATTCTGGGATTGTTTCCGACCGTGGGCAAAAAGCTGCCTGAGCCTGCTTCGGGGTGCAGAGGCCAGTATTTCGCCAGGGGGGCATGTGGATCGGTCGCATGCTGTAGTTGGACCAATGGCGAGGAGTGTCTGATGCTTATCATGGAGTCATCGAGGAGTCACCCTTCAAAACAGCATGTAGAAACACCGGAGGATACAAGCTGCTGCACATAACCCTCAACCAGGGTTTCAAGAACCTCCACAGCCTCCGAAGTCCAAAAGCCCATATTGCACACAGGCGAGTCAGGAGTATTGGATGACTAAAGCTGGCTTTTTGCGAGAGAAGATGACGACAGGGTTGGAATTTCACAAGCTCTTCCATGCGTTAGCATGCACGGCCTGGTAGTGTGAGTCGATTGGCAAGATAGGGAGCTTTTGCGTGCCTAATCACAGACTCCGTAAGTCGGAGAGGATGACTGTCCCGATGCAGAGGCGACTGCCTCCGATTGCGGCAAGCACCCTTCGTCCGGCACCCGTCAGAGGCCGACACTACGAATCCATACATGCTGTTGCCACCACCAAGGGAATAGAATTCTTCACTCTTGGCATGAGCCGCAGGCTGCTCAAATGCACTTCCCTGAGTTCGCTTCCCCGGAGGCGCTACAAGCACTACAGTGACAAAGAGTTGGCCCGGCTGCCCAGCTGCGTTCCGGAGTTCCGAGTCGAGCAGCCCATGGTATCACGATTTCGTCAGGTCTGTGAGTTTCGACAGCAAACTGAATCAATCTGCTTGAACGTGATGCAACAGGCATCGCTGCTGCGCGAGAAGGTGCCGACTGTACATGCTCACTGATTCTTCGCTCACGGTCACAGGGTGATGCTGCCACTTCATTTTGATTATGCTGCTTCAGTGGTGTTGCTTGCAACCGGTACTTTTTTCTGCTTTAGTCCGTCAAATCACTCAGACTGCGTCAGTGCCATCGAAGTCAGTTTGCGAGATTTGTGGAGTGTGAGACACTCATAGCGGCTGGCTGTACCTGAGCACCGGGCAGGGCGCAGTCTTTCCATGGTTTTGTTCAATGTTTCCTTGAAGTCCTACAGCAGCGTTGGTAGGGTGCGAGTTCGTGTTGCGGGCCCTGGTCAGGACGACTAGCCGCCCAGCTGGCGTCTTCAGCGGGAGCAAAAGTATCAGCGATAGAACTCATTGAGCTTTGTCTTGTTTGTTGAGTGGGGGCACCAGCAACTAGGTGCTCCGTTGAAGTTGTGGCTCACTGCTTCGATCAGTTTGTTTCTTTGATGTGTTTCGTGCAATGGGTTCGCAGCAGTGGTTGGCACTTAGATCCAATGATGCGCCGAAGACGGTATCGTAGTATGTTCGACCGCGAATGTGCAGTTGTGACATGGCTTGGTGGTTCGCGCATGTTCAAAGTTGGATGTTGAAAATGGTAGCGATGAAGCGCCGGTTTTGCAGGTACGGTGCCTTTCAACTTCACTCAGAGCTTGTTTTCCAAACCCAGGACACGACGACATCATATTTCGGTTCACAGCCGTCAGAAGGAGCAAAGCAACGTTTCACGACACGACGGCACAAGCAAGCTGCGAAGAATAAACAAGAACTCCTGTTCCAAGGAACGTCCCAGAACCAAGGTTCGCTCAATTCATTGGTGAATACAAGCATGCGACCCCGTTCCTCCGCGCAAGAACGCAGTCTGTGACCTTGCTGGACAGGAGCCACAATCTTTCACACAGTCAAAGCCCACATGATCCCAACAAAAGCGTGATTTGGCCGATGCAGTCTCCGTCGCATGGAAATGCTGCTCCACCGTACAGCCGGCCAAGTTGCTGTCGTGTGTGCATCGCACGAGATGTCCGCAAAATTCGAGCGTTGAAAGTCTCAGGGTTTAGACCATGAGCTTCTTTCGGGTATAATCCCCACGTATGCGTTCGCAATGCTACAGGAAGGAGGAACCTCACGTACATGAGGGACGAAGGCGCACAGAAGCGGCGGAGACAAGCTGTCTGCCACATCCAAGAAAGGAAGTTTGCGCGAGACGATGCCAATCGATGCCACAAGTGCGCATCCCTCCGAGCCTGAATCAGCACAGTCCAGCACAGGGTGCTGTGGGATGTTCGTCGTACTTCACTCGAAGGTACTCGAGCCTTGAGAAAGCGATTTGTGTTGATTCGAAGAAAAGTGGCGACTCCTGGCCAGGCATGGCTACAAGTCGATGAAGGCATCAGCGATGCGGGTATTTTGAAGTTTGCGTTCATGGCCCCATCGCGACCGTCTTTCATCTTTCAAGTCTGGAGGTGACCCTCGTTTATCCACCGGTGCGCCTCGAGCCGACAACGCTTCCTCCTGGTGGGCAGCCCAGCCCGGGACTGCACCCAACGTGCAGTACACCGACTGTGCGTCTTGTTCTTCGAGTCTTGGATCTTGTGGTGCCTTCTGCAATTGCGCCAAGGTTCACCGGTCTTCGGGGCTGTCACACCTCAGCCGCTTGACGGCCCAAGTTTCGGCTGTTGTCCACTTCCTGTATGGCCGCGTGTTTTGGTGACCTCCCGATGTTTTCAGCTCTCAACACCATTCACAAATGTGACTCTCTTACGAGAAGATTCATGCTTGGGAGGTTGTGGGGCCCTCTGTAGGATCAATGCACAGTTTAGCAAAGAGCGCGAACTAGGCTCCAAGCTTCTCGTGCAAGGTGCAAAGAGCTTTCCTTGCACCGTTGTTTGTGTCGCTTCTATTTCTGGGTCCGGGCTTCAAGTGGCCGCTGCACGGAATCTTGCCGATGTTTTGCAGCCTTCCGTCCTAAACCTCGAAGTGCCAAAGCCTGATAATCTCGTAGCCTCTTTGTCCTGAGGCAAACTCCGCGCTTCGTTTCTGGCGCGGGGTCTGTACCAGTACCAAGGCTCGGGTGCTTTGAAGTGGCTTCTCCTTGTTCGTGGCAATTCAACAGTCTCCCAAATTTCCCCTTGTCTGCAAGAGTGGAGCCGACATGGGGCAGCAGTCCCTCAGAGGGAATGGCAGTTCGGCACAACGTCTATAGAAAGCATGCCTCATCTCCCTTCCCTCGAAAATCGGGCAGGACCGCCCTGACGCCGGTCCCCGGCACGCGTCAGGCCGGGCACTTTCCCGACGAGGCTTTTCAGGAGTTGTGCCAGCTTTCTGGCATCCGCAGGTTTCGCAGCCTCCGCAGGCCGCAACCACTCCAGGCGGGAGCATGCATCACTTGCAGAGTTCTGCAGGTTTTCAACTCTTTCACGTTTCACGCGCGCTAGCTCATGCGAATTCGTGAACTCTGGGCTAACCAACCTACAAGATGAACTCCATGGCAGCCGAGATCTCGGAAATCGCTATGGGCCGCACCGCAGCCGTGCCGTTTCTGCCAGCTGATGACCGTAAGCATTTCACATGTTCCGATCTGTTCTTGCTGCAACTGATCAAACACTTGCGCAGCCCCACCGTGCGTGGTGACGGTGGGAAGGCGCGATGCAGGGACTGACTGTGGTGCTGTCGCGAAAGATTGTGTTGTACAGCCTCAGTCAAACCAGAGAGGAGCCAGGTTGCACACTTCGAGCTACAACAAAACCCCCAACGAACGAATGGGTTTGCGACCATTACGAGGCTCACACCAAGAACGCCAGTTACGCTCCCGGCACTGGGCTCGGCGAGCGCTGGCGTCTTCCTTGGGTTGGAACTCGGGCATGCGGCTTCTTGCGATCAGCGAGCACTTCAAGTTGATCACTGCCAGAGCGGGACAGGTTGTAGGCATGGCCACTGTTGCAGATATCAGCAACTGTTTGGTTCCTAGTGGTGGGCGCCTGGCTGCTTGCTTCGAGAACTGAGGCCAAGCTGGTCTCCGTTAGTCGGAGCCCTGTGCCGCAAGTATTGAGATCTGAGCGGCGGCCAGAGGCCAGGGAACCACGGGACAGTGTCTTGGCACCGTGAGCATGATCCAAGTCCAAGTGCGATCAATGAAGCCAGAGATCTTGGGCTCGGCAGTGTATCCCAGCTCTTCACAAGCTGAAGCATTCACGGCCTTTAGAGCACACGGCCTGAAGCTATCATTCGGGGCATGGCTGGTTTGTTCTTGTGGGTTGGGTGGAAAGAACAGGTGCGTTCGTGTTGCAGTCACGGTTGTCACGGGCTTCTTGGAAACCACGCATAACACGATTTCGGTATGCCTCACACCATCTCATAAGCCTTGCTCGCCATGGAGCGTGCACTCTGGAGCCGCATCGATGCCACCTGTCCGGCTAAGTGATGCCTCGTGCCTCTCGCAGAAGCAAAGCACCTCTTCAGGAAGAGTGCACGCAGTGTGCGCAGAGGTCGCGCAGCTGGACCGGGCCCTGCCTCCTTCGCTGCCCCGGCCGTGGCTCAAAGAGACAGGACGCGGCGGGGACGTGGGGGGCCGCTCTTTGTCCCTAGGGCCCAGCACAGGCTCTTGAAATGCTAGAGAGGAGGCGCCACGTGCGATGCTGATCAGGAAGCCGCTCGGTCCGGTGTAGTCCACAGCAAAACACTGTCTTCGGCGCCGGAGCCGGAGCCTTCTGAGGCTTACGAGGTCGCTTGCATGGAGCTCGCCGCCTTCCTCGCATGGCTGATTGCGCAGGCCCGGCATGCCAACTGAGGGCGGAGCTCAACAGCTGGGGTCGTGGTTCAGCATGTTTGCATGTTTCTCGATGTTGCAGGCTCCTAATCGTTGTTCTTGGATTAAGTACTGTTGACTGTCCAGAGGAATCACAGGTTGCTACGGGGAGCATTGGCACCTTGTGGAAGAGGCGCGTGCTCGCCGTGCCATGGAGGTCTTGGCCGACATGAAGAGCAGGCTGGGGACGATGCGTTTTTTCCTGTCTCTTGTCCTTAAGCCCAACAAACCGTTGTTCTGTCTCGTCTGTAAAGTCTGCGGAGCACATTGAGATCTGACCCACCTGCTGTACGTAGCATGATTCGACTGAGATGCTGAAGCAAACGTAAACAGTTTCTTCACTAGTTCAGTTTGCTGGACATGCAGTTTGATCTGGACAGCGACGTGACTTGTCCCTGGCTAGAGGGTTGCTTACAAATACCTCCAGTCGTAAGTCGATCGAGTTCCAGGTTGTCGTCTAAGAGTCGAGCTCAAACGCGGAACTCCCCAAAAAATGAGCCCTTGTTGCAACCGGCATCCTGCGCTCAAGAACTCGCTCTGCAAAGGCGCGGCTTGCTGGCAGAGGTGGGGCCGGACAGCAAAGCAAGGTGTTGAAGTCACCAACAAACCAACGTTGGTTGGGTGTGTATATTAGAGTTGGGGGTTTTGAGGATTGAGATGCGGGAGTTGGAGTTCAGTTAGAGGTCTTAGGGCTCATGCAGGGTTTAGAGGTTGGGTTCGTAGAGGTGGCGACTTCCTGGATGCGGCTTCCCGACGACACCAAGATGGCTGCTTGGCGTCCATCCAAGCCAAGTCAGACTCTACCCTGGTAATTGTCTTCGAGCCATGGAGGGGTGGTAACGTGACAGCGAGATGTTTCCAAGACCTGGTGGATGTTTGCCACACCAACTTCGGAGCTTTCGTTCATTCTTCTGTTCTTGAGATAATAATGAGATCCGTCCCTGCCCGACAGCTATCACAGATCACAGATTGGAGTCCCAGAATATCTGTGGTTGAGATAATGAATGGTCCTGTACATCCTGTTCACGTCCCTGTCCGACAGCTATCACAGATGTGAGTCCCAGCAACTCTGGGGAACAGCCTCGCTGAGGAATGGATACCTTCGGAATCTCGGCAAGCAGCCTGTCCAGCCTTGCTGAAAGGTGTCTCCTGATTCCTACAAGCCACTGCATGCGTTTGCCCGACTGACACCCTGCCGACATGTGAGGACCATCATGCTTTCCTCGCCGACGTGCTCACCTCGAGCCCTCTGCAGAAGGCCCTAGTGCGAGTGAAGCGATTCTTACATGTTGCTCTAAACTGTAAACTCTCAGTTTCGTTGCTGAGTTGCGGGGGGGAGTTTCGGAACATGGTCCGGGACAGTATCACGCCATGGTCAGTTTCAGCCATTTCAGAGCTTTCGGCCTGCGCGGCCTCCTCGGCAGGAGAGCTGGGTGCCCAAGCGGCGACTGCGCCGCAAGACCTGTGCGCAGGCCTTGCAAGGCAGGGCTTTGCTCCCTCTGTCCTCGGCCGAGAGGGACCCTTTTGTGCCTAAAATCAAATCCTCAAACCCTTGAATCCCAAGGGCCGGCCAGCGGCAAGCATATGTCCCCGCACCACAGCTTGTGGTGAAGAACCGGCCGCAACAGACGCTTCAGATATCGAGCTTGCTTGCTTCGGAGAGTCAGAGAGCAGTTGGATTGCTCACTCCTTGAGGTTGAAGGCGGAAGGTTCCGGGTCTAAGGTTCCAAATGGAATAGAATACGAACCTAATAACATTGATCTATAAGGGCTTGAAAACTCGACAAGCAGGAGGCACCCGAAGCAAAATGCGAAATTGACAAAGAAGGTCTTGGCGCCGGCGATGCCCTGCAATGACGATGTGTCCCGACAGATCAGTTTACCGAGCCTCATCACAGCTCCCAGCTTTTCGGGAAGGTTTCTTCTGCCTGCCGGCTTCAGAGCTTCCTTCTTTTTGCCTCCCAACTCCCGCATTGCTCAGCAAAGGATGCCCGGGGCAGAGCATGACCCGGCGCGGCCATGGAATTCATGCGGACATCACTGCGTGCCTTCACAAGCCATCTGATGTCCGATGTCCAGTGGCAACTGCGGGAGGCCCTGCCCTGATTTAAGCATGAATTGAGAGGCTCGCCAGCCTGGCTCCTATAGGCCATCTGTCAAGACTCTCCGCCAAGTTGGCTGGAGGTTCTCTACCGGGCTCGGCTGAAGTTTGATGGCACCAAGCTTCAAGAAGAAGCCCAGGGCCTCCCTCGAACAGATAGTCACAGTGTTGTCCGCCAGACGAAGTGGAAGCACCTGTTGCGCTTCCAAGAAGGGCATCCACTCGCGGCAGTTGCGAGCCGAGAGCGAGACGTGTCTCCATAAGTAGCTTACATGGCTTCAAATGATGTGTTTGGTCATTCTTGGTCGCATGGAACGAGAAGGATCGGAGACATCGCTCGCGTCTCACAGCGGGGTGCTGCACTGGCTTGGAGACAGTCTTCAGTGCAGCAGTTTCGATGGCAGGCGCAAAAGGTAATACGGCAGTTTGCTGCGATATGCGACTTCGAGCGTCTGGGGTGGTTGGCGAATCTTGAGGGCAGTGCGTTGCAATGACAAAACGACCATTTAAACTTCAGAAAAGCAAGCACCACAATAATTACCCAAGTCCAACGAACATTCCCAAAGCCAAGGAAGAACAGCTTCCGAAACTCCCGTTTCCACAGAGCTGAGTGGCACAGGCCGTAGAGAGCCCCCGGGTTCCGTCGCCGCGGGCGGTTGGCCCGGAAAGAAGCAGGTCTTTTCTTGTTTGGGTTCTGCTGCGCTGCAAGTTTATGGGTGCCTGAGCAGAGTTCAGTGCGGAGACTATAGACTATAGACCCTTTCCCCTTCGCAATGTCATGCCTTCTGACGTGCCTGAGGTGGTCCGGACCAGAGTGACTCGGCACGGAGTGCTGCGAGCCTTTGATCGACAGGGACTATGGCTATGTTGACACGTGATGACCTGGATGCAGGTGACCCTGGATAGCCCACGGGTCCCGTCACCGCGGGCAGCGAGCCCAGCAGGGCAGCTAGAAGACGGTGGTGCGGACGTTTGTTGCTATCGGATCCTTCCGCGCTTGCTTCAGGTGGTCCGGACCAGAGTCCCTCGGCATGAAGTGTGGAGGGTCGGAGACAAGATGCGTCGAAGGAAACAGATGTTCGGCAACGCGTGCTTGACAACCTAGAGTCTAGAGTAGAGACTGGTGCAAGCAAGGCACAGACTCCAAGGCACTTTCCACACTGCAGCTGCCAGCAGTGGTAGTGCTGGTGTTGGTGGGCGGCGGCATCGGTTGTGGTGCTCGCCGTCTCGTCGTCGTCGTCCTCGTACACCAGTATTCGTGCTAGCCCAAGACTTAAGAGTAGCAGTCATCGTCGTCGTCGTAGCAGTAGCGCCAACAGCAACAACAACAACAGCGCCACTGCCAGCACCTCCAGCTCCAGCAGCAGCAGCACCACCACCACCACCACACCACCACCGCCGCCAGCGCAACAGTAACAGCAACATCAAGAACCACAAGAGGGTCAAGCAAAAATCGATGCCGCTGGCTCCTACCACACCGGTGCCGGTACCTCTACTCCGACCAACTGCTACTACGGCCACCACAACCACAACCACCATAACCATAACCACAAAAGGATGGTTATGGTGGTTTTCTACTTCAGCGGGTTTCAAGAAGTGGGTTGCTCGAGCAGAGGCTTGGCTGTTCCTTAGTGCAGGTCGTCCTGGACAGCCCTCGCCCTTCTTCGCCACGGGCGCTCGACCCAGAGGGTTGGCAGAGCCTTCGTTGTGACTGCATTGAAAAAACCATTCACTTTGGTAGCCAGATTTGTTCTTCTTGTGGGCTGCGACCAGGATCCGGGCTCGAGCTGTGCGTCAAACTGCAGTCCTTCTGGGAATCTTGCTTAAGAACACGATCCGTATTTCTCCTGCACTGCCGTTCTGATTGCTACGTATATACATACAGCAGAACCCCGCTTTCATTCATGTTTGTTATTTCTTATCCTGTATGGAATCATTGTGTCCTTCTTCAATCCGTTGTAGCATCTCTGAGGTCATCACCCGGGTGGCCCGGCAGTGCCAAAGGGAAGGGGGTGGGCTTAAACGTGGGCTTTCTCTGCGACACTTGGGGGCTCTTGGGGGCTCCTCTTTCCAGGTGCTGTATGCTTCTTGATTACTTGCAACTTGGGGGCTTTCCAGGTGCCTTATGATTCTTGATTCTGGCCTGTTTCCTTGTTCGGATTGCCGTGTCTCAATATGTTTACTGCAATGTGGGCGCCTGCATCGCATCTGAACCTCGAAAGCCGAAGCGAGAAGCACCCATGGATAGCTGTTGGATTTTGCCCCTAAGAATCCAGTGCCCTCACAAGCATCAAAATGAGAGAACCAGTTCGTTCAAAGCTTCCTTCGGAATTCTGATCTCTCGTGCGAAGAAAGTAAGAACTCCTCGAATGTTTTATGCTAGCGCACGCACTGTGTTTGGCCTAGCATTGCCGAGCTCACTTCTAAAAGGATTCGATCTGCGTTTCTCTGCTTGTGAGCCTCACGGAGACGAAGGCAGTGTCGCCTTCGGCGGCCCGAACATCGGCGCTGGAGGAGTATGGGCCTCAGCTCAAAAACGCGCTGTCAGCATGGCTCCTCGTCCTCAGTCGGGCTGGGGGGCTCAGCCCAAGCCAGGCGCCTGAAGGAGTTGGAGAAGCGCCTGGACGCCAAGGAGACCGAGTGCCTGAGCCCAGCACTCGCGTCCTTCAACTGGGATTCGAGATTTCGGCCCACCTTGCCAAGCTTCGGTTTCGAATTGAAAGATCACCCTGGGCCCGGGCTTGGCTGTCTTGGTTCGGGAAGGATTTGAAACCATCTAAGGCCTGTAAGTCTGTAAGTCGGCCACCGGAGGTGTGAAAAAACCTTCAGCTTCAGGTGGAAGTCCCTGTTTTGGCTTGAGGTAGAATGCAAAGACCGGTTTCTGGACACACACACACACACAGACACACACACGCACGCACTGTGTGTGACATGTGTTGAGCAGCAAATGCTCCATACCCGAGATACACTTGTATGTGTTGAAGAATGCACATCGTGCACTGTGTGCTCATGTGTTGCGAAGGTTTCAGTTCAACTTGGTGGTGTGGAAGCGTTGGCTGTTTAAGTTCTGAGGCACTAGTTGACTCGTGCGGTGGCTTCTGTCGGCTGTTTCGCAAGTAAGCTTGAAGCTCTGAAGCCAAGCCTTGCATCTCAGCTGTTCCAGCCCTACAGGTGCAAGTTGCTGGAGCAGCACTTGATAGAGGCCACCTTTTATTGTGGAATCAGGAAGGCGCTTAGCTGCAAGTCGTGTGTTGCAGGTGAGAGGTTGCTTGGAGGAGCAGCGCGAGCGTCGGAACCACGGATGTCAATGGAGCGCTCGATCGTTCGACAACCTCATCTTACAAGTGGTGTATGGCTACGCGTAAACTGCTTGTTTCGCCTTTGTTGTTGGTTCTCCTCGGGTGTCCGATGTGTCACTCAGGCGGTGCTCGCGATCTGGAACAACGCGACCTCCACATCCAGGACTTCTCTTGGGCTCTTCGCGTGGATGCTGGAGGTAAGACTCTGGATGCTGGAACGGGTTCAAGGTTCGCGACAGCTGGAGCTCTCTGAGCTTGGAAACGCTGTTCACCGAAGCCCTTTCCGAGTCTCCTCTCATGCTTTGCACTTGAAAGTGCATCTGAAAGGAACTCAGCCGCCGCAACAATGACCTCATTAGTGCCGCACAGGGCTGTCTGGAGGCATCGAGAGAGAGTAGCATCGTCATGGCAAAATGCAGACCGATTGATGGCACGGTTTCAGCAGTCATCGTAGAAGCACTCTGTTAAATGGTACATTTTGAGTGTTGAACTCATGGCTGTGTTGCCTGGGATGAGTTTCAGACGCTGCCTCGGAAGATGTAAGTGCAAGGTTGTGTCTTGAAGCCCAAAAAAGCAAGACTAGGGCAGCCCTGAGCTGCTCAGTGATGGCACGAAGTATTGCTTTCACTGTTGCCTTAGCTTGGACAGCGGCGATTGCGTTGACGCCCACCTTTTCATGCGATGCGACAGGTGGTGGATGGCCCACCAGCAGTGGACGAAGAGGGTGCCCCCAAGGCCAACAGCTTGACTTTAGCTTTAGCCCTTCTCACAGTGGCTCCTGCACGCACTCGACCACTCGCAACAGCACAAAATGGTTTGCAAGCCTTATCAGAAGCAAGTACTTATACCTCAGGGCCCAACATGCTTGTTCAAAAACGGTTGCCAGCTTTGGCTTCCGCCTTGTGCTTTCTTGTCTCAGGGACGCTGGTTGACTTACCCGATTGGGTCATAAGTTTGCAGCTGCGTCCATCGCTGAAAGAAGATCCAACCCAGGAGTACCCGACTGGTGTGGTATCTATGTAACTCGTTTGTGGGAGCCGAGTATCGACCGCTTGAGACCCTGAATGCCAGTTGCAAGACGGCACACCTCGGCAAGACAGGCGCCACCTTCACCGGAAGCGGCTTCGGACGGGGCAGGTGCCAAGAGTGTGCCAAGTCCTGCCATGTGTGGTCTCAAGCGGGGCGTGGCCAGGGCCTGGAAGCAGCGCTTCGCGCCAGAGAGGCCCGGGGAGCCTTTGCGCAGAGCTGCAGACTTCTGAAGTGTCTGAAGTGTCTTCCGTGGACTTTCCACCCGCTCGCGAGGTCGTCTGGGTCCTGAGGCTGGGGCACTTCGGAGTGGAAGAGTCGAAGTGCTGATGAGGAATCCTTTAGCTTGCCAGCTGAGCAGCCTGCCGCTTTGGAAACCGAAAGGCTGAGCGGGACATGTCGTGGCCTCTGCTGAAAGTCTTGGGCAGTCTTCGGGCCTTAAAGATGGCAGCCGTAGCGTGTGTGTGCTTTTGGCATCTCTAAGAGCATCTTTGAGCTCCAGGCCCACCTTGGCGGCACTCCGGCAGCGCCTGTATCCCAAGTGGGGACCTCGAAGAACCCTGCAGCGTGCGAAAGCACGCTCATACGCGGCTTTCTCAGGCGCTCCCGTGCTCCGCAGGCTCCACAGGCGCCGCAGCGGGGCAAAAAAGGGGGGGGGCGGTGACTCCTTCATCTCAACAGAGCGCTTTGGTGTTCAGGAGTCGGCCCCGGACGGGAATCCCAGCGAGCAGAAGCTGGAGAGGACCAAGCTTTGCACCAACCGCCCACCGATCTGCGTTCCCGCGTTCCCATCACCTTAGCGAAGGAAGCCTGCACATCCACCTCAGGACGGCGCGCCCAACGCCGCGGCCCAGCATGGGTCGTTCGGCCCCACGGCGTGAGCGAGAAGAGCGTGAGGAGTTGGCAGCCCAGCGGGACAGGCACGGCACACATGCCTAGGCAGCGTGTCTAGACCCAGCCACACCCCAAGTACCTACCACCTACGATGTCCTACATGCTTCTTCACATGGAGTGCATGCACGCATGGGATGCCTTGCCAGACGTTGACTTTGAATGCCCCGGCTGTCTGAACAGTTTCGCATGCCACTGGCTGCCTAAATGACACGAGAAGGCGTTAATTAACAACTCCGTGAGACCTGAAGACTTCCTGCATAGCGGATCACCAGACACCACAGCAATGCCCGCGTCCGAGTCCCAAGGCCTGCCGAGAAGTCTGAGAAGCCCAGAGGCGTCGTCTCTTCTCTGTTCTTTTTCGCTGCGCGGGACTTGCAGGCCCCTCTGACCCTCAAGGAGATCCCCCTGGACTGGTGAACGTGAAGCTACTCATAACTGCACCTGCCTGCGACTCCTACACCACTGCGACTTCTCCTCCTGTTGCTGCGTCCCCTGCTGCTCTGACTTGTGCTATAGCCTATAGCCACCCAGGAGCGCTTTTGCCGTGCCCACGTTATGGTTCAAGGGAGGGTCTTTCAAGCTGAGACCCAGCTGCAGGTGCAGCTTATGGAGGCTTCGATATATTCGTTGCTGGCCGGTGAGGGCCCCCACGTGCTATTCAACGTGCCCGCACCGCGAGAGATCCCTTGGCCCAACAAGATCGCGCCTCCTCCATCTGCTCCCACTTCCTCCGATGACGAGGTTCAGGAAGACCTCGATGTTTGGCTTGGCCCGAGCTCCACCCTGCCGGGGAAATTGTCCGGCCGGGAAGCCAGGCTGAAGATTTCGCTCGACAACATCAGCTCGTCTGCGAGCCACCAAAGCTCACGGCATTGTGTACGACTCAGTGATTATCTTCGGTTACAGCTGAGTCCTTTCGCAGAAAAAGAAGGAGCAGCGGTCCGACCTCAGCTTTCATTTGGAAGCGCACTCCATGTCGGCGATGGTGTCAACGCCTTGTGCAGGGTCTGCAGTGGCTTGCTTGCAGGCATCGCTTGTGCAAGATTCTGGTTTCTGCATCTCTTGTCATGCCGAGGTTTCCACAAGCCCCCACTCCGCCAATGCTCGAAGGGTGCACTTTGCGACTACTGCCACCTGCATGATGGACGGCGCAACAGGCGCCGGCGGAGTGGACGGGAACCTGGCCCTGCAAGAAGCTAGTCAAAGAGATTTTGCAGCATAGGTCCCTCAGAGAACCCCCAAACCAACAGAGAGGTCAAACTGTTTGGTGTGGCTTGAAATCGAACGCTTCGAGATAGCGATTCTTGTACCAGTATGACAAACAGCCTGAAAGGACCGCTCGGGAAGAATGACATGGGAAGACACTGAGATCCAGGTTCTTGAAGGAATCCGTTTGTGACGGTTACGTGCACTGCAGCGGGCACGATGAGGCGTCCTCCGTGCTGCGCTGCAGCTGCCCCATTCAACTTTAAAAGGAATGTCGCAGCCATCGACATTGTCTGTGTGATTTAGTTGTACCTCCAGTTGGCCCGAGCCCAGGCTAAAGGGCAGTTGGCATTGGCCAACTTTGAGGCAATTCTCGTTGCATATTCCTTGTCTACGGGACATGTCATCTTGACTATATATATCTCACTCAATCTCCAAAGGTTGATGTGGAGTTGCAGCACGCGTTATATAGGAGCCTGTCTTCCAGTTGATTGAACGGGCTCCGCGCAGTGCCAGTTGTTTCACGGATGTTGCTTTTCGGGTCCAGGCCTGTGGCACTTATCACAGGATCCTGTCATCGGGGTCCGTACAGTTCCAGATGTTTCCCGTTCTGTGCCGCCTGCATACATGGACATGGACCGTGGAGGAGCATCTTACGCGCACAAAGCAGCGAAAACTCGAGCGAGTCCCTGACACGGACAGGAGGAGCCTCACGCTGGCTGGCATAGGCCATAGTGTCAACCTACTTCCTGCTGAATATAGCCGATGCCCCGTGCCCGTCTCTCTGTGCTGGCTTGCATCTGGTGTTAAGCATCGGGGGGTTGATCAGGACGACAAGGCAGGCGCTAGAGCAGACAGACCTTCCCTCCATCGGCGTGCAGTGGACCCTTCAACAGTCAGCACCAACACCTCTTTGCTCTGCCCCACAGATCAGCGGACACCGCCGCGACGAATGACGTGAGCCCAGCTTGGCGACTGACTGCCTCGATGTCTGAGACCACATTGGAGTCTAGGAAACTGGCCTGACCGAACTGGGGTAGAAGCTTGCGGCAGCGTAATTCACCTCGACTGCAAGTGCCATCCGTGCATGCAGACCCGCTGATCTGTTCCAAAGTGTCAGAGGTTAGCAGCGTCGTGCTCCGCAGGGCCATGGGGCCCCATGGAGCTCGCCAAAGCCGGCCTACGCTGAACTAAGGTCATCAAACAAGAGATCAGGCCCCATGCAAAGCAGGACCAAGCAACAGTGACGCATGATGCGTGCACCGGCGTTAAGATTTCTTGGTCTAGATCTTGAGGTACGCTTGCTTTACAAGTTTCAAGTTGGTTTCAAAGCGTGAAGTGTATACATTACATTCACTTCCCAGCCAAGCCGGGCTCAGAGGTAGCTCGCAGCCTCTTTTCGATAGCGAACCCCTCCTGTCCGAACGAGGCGCAGCTGAGAAGCTTGCTGCATGTGTGATTTTTTACTACTTGCAAGTCACTGCGATGGCTTTTTCGCTGAAGCCTCGGCTCTGCGAGGCTCCGTTTTTTCATATCTCCCGTCGGATCCATGGTGCCCCCAAGCTGAGCTGCGGCCTGAGCTGCGGCCTGAGCTTCGTCGCTTTGCCTGCATGGACCGCACGTGCTGCCCAGGCAGGAGAACTCCACCTGCTTTACAGACTTCACGGTTTCTGGCATCATGAACGTCAAGCCTGGAGTGGCTGCGGTTTTGCTGCCGGGCCCCAAGATGCTGATCCATTAGGCAGTGGCGGGAGTCGCTGGGAGCTGTCAACGTTCTCTGAAACCGCCGATTCAAGAACTTCGTGCCTCAAGCCCTCGCGCTTCAAGCATGGCGTGATGCTGGGGATTTCGGTACGGGGCCACCTAGCAACCCGTGCAGCACCACCACCTCAGTCCCCCCCCCCCCCCGTCCTGACTTTCCTAACGACTTTTGAGGTTTCTACCGCTCGTCTACTCTTGGGGTTTTGGGTTTCCTCGCAGTCAACTTCTCCATTTGGGTTTCGGGTTCGGGGCTTTGGCAGTTGAGTTGCCCACTCTCCACGTTTCACTTCCGCGCGCGCGAATCCGCCACGCTCGTGCGCGAGGGTCAGTGCACGAAATGCTGGTGCTCGAATCTGGCAACTTTGTGCTGTTGTACGACTCGGTTCACAGCCGTGCACGAATGGAGCTTTTGTCAGGTGCGCATGTCCAGTCTTTCCGGTGCCGGTGCACTAACCGTCTTTCCGTGATGCTGGTCTGGCTGCCCCAGGACACAAGCAATTGGAGCCATTGGCAACATGGTGCCGTCCCTAACCCTCTGCGAAGCCGCTCTGAGCTGTCTCTGCTCGTCTGGAGAGCCTGCTTCGACCTGACAGGCAGTGCTGCCGGTGTTGCCCTTCTTCGCGGGGGGACCCAGCTGCCCCCTCCGCTGATTTGAAAGCTTTATTTCCATGGCTTTTGTCGGGCGGTTCACGCCGGAAACCAGGCCGTGCAGCAGCTGGGCGCATCAGCTTTGGAGGCTCTGGCGCTTGGGCTCTGTGGTTCGAGGAGAGAGAGCAGCGCTGCTGGTGCTTTCTGCCGACACACAGGCTTCCTGCACACAGCTGCAACTATGTCCGCGATGCGGATTCCCCATAAACCAAAGCTCCCAAGCGCTGCAAGACCAGATCGGAAAAACTGGAAGGTGGCGCTTCTGGCCTCGTGTTTCAACTTCACGTGGCTTCTCAGCATTCTGGGATTATTTGAGGTGTACGTCGCACCCCACGTTGCCTTGCAGACGTGCTGCATCAATGGCTCGCCCATCCTTCTGCGCCAGCGGACTGCAACCCCCCGACACAGTACTAAAACCGTAGGCTTCGTGGCCCCTTGCTGTCCTTAATGGCAGATTCGGCTCCGGTTGCGGACACTGCAACCAACATAGCAAGTGTTCGTAGCTGTGAAGAAAGATCCAGGCAGATGGTCTTCGCCCCCTGCGTCGGTGCGATCTCAGACCATTTCGGGCGGAAGTATGCGATCCCGGCAGTTCTTGCTGCATGGGGCTGTGCCCTTGGCTTCGAGCTTGTGGTGATGTGATCACTTGATTGGGTTGCTGGCTCTGGTGAAAAAACGTGATCCGCAACATTAACTTGCAGCGAAGGGGCTTTCGAGGGCTATGGTATGTTCGAATTGCCAATCTCACGTTATCGATTTTCGGCCGAAGTTTAGATTCATGCAGAACACGTCTCAATCGCATTGCATTTGCCCAGCGGATCGCTTGCTGTCCATACCGGCTTTGTCCAAAAATATCTTTTGAACGCAGCTGACGGGTGTTGCCCGAATCTGTACCACTTATGCTTCGCAGATGCATCTACTCGTCAGATTCTGTTGGCGTGCCAGGTGATGCTCGGGGGCCTCTTGCTGCAGGCCCGGATGCCTCCGTGTTTGCGAGAAAGTCGACGAAGCTAAAGGCCTATGGGCGTACGTCGGCCTGCCCTGGGCGCATTTTAGTGGCCCAGGCCTTGTCGAACTCCTTTCAAGCAGAGGCCGACTCTCCTGCAGCCTGGATCTCAGCCGGGAGCCGCCTGCACGTGCAGACCTCTATCTAGCTTATGCCCGTACGATCCAACTTATCCAAGACGTCTCTAGAAGACTTCTTGCAATGAGAGATGGCTCGAGTTGATCGAAACGCTTTTTGCATGCACGCTAGAGACTTGCATGGAGGCTTCTGCAGCAGACCTCAGACATAGGTTGACCAAGTAGATTGGCACGAAGCGCGCTTCACGAGGCCTTGCTGCTGGCTCGGGTGCGCCCTTGCCGGAGTGTTTTGCGGCATTTGCACCTGACGAAACCGTGCCTTTCCTTGCGGCTTTCGTTTGCCTTAGGGCTTCGTGGGCTTGGCGACGAGCACCGGTCCGGTCGAGATGGCCGGAGGGACGGGGCATTCAGCATTCAGCCCATGGTCCGTGGCCCGTTCTTGGAGAGGCTTACATCATGGACTACACGCGCGACGAGCAGCAGTGGCGAGCCCAGCTGTTCTCTTCAGGGTACATGGGGAAGACACACTGTTCCACCTGTCTTGCACTCCCCATAGCTCGGCGTGCGATGCCCAGGCTTAGTTACATCCTGGCCTTGCAGAGAGTGGTGTGCAACGGCGGCGCCGCTTGCTTGAAAGTTCGTGCCCAGCGCCAATCCGCAGGGCGGTGCAGTTTCCCTGTGCCCCCCTTTGCGGATGCCCCGAGTCAAGCTGTCCCCTGACGTAGAGAGCCCCTGCTGGCTGCAGCTCTCAACATCCGTGCTTGCGAGAGAGAAACACGCGACAAGAAAGCGCCATGAGAGACTCCCAGGCGCTCCTGGGCCCCGTGCTCGCACACAGCTTCCAGGGCCGGGGAGCCCGGGAGCTCCGAAGCTTCCGCAGCCACGAGCTTTCTTCCGAGGCTACGGCTTTCCGGCCTTCTGCCGAGGCTTCGCCTGCCTGTGCCTCAGAGATCCTCAGAGCTTTTGGTGCAGTGCGCTCTTATGCGCTCTGTTGCTGTGAGTCTCTGAGGCATCAACTTGCTTTGCCTCTTTTTGGGATCCCTGCTCTGGGAGAACTACTCGCAGCCAGGAGCTCGGAAGCTATCTTCGACGATCTTCGAAACATAAACGCGTTCTTGCTTCGCCGCGCTCGCCGCACTTTCGCTTTGGCCAGAGGTCCCTCCCTGACGAGGCGCAGACCCGCAGCTTCTTGCCGTCGCCTGGAGCTTGAAAGTGGATCCCCAACTTGCCGGACCGGACAGGCATGTGGATCCACTCCGCTGAGCATTCAGCGCTCTAGGCAGAGCTGGGACACGAGGAAGGGAAGAACATTAACGAAGGGTTTCAAGCAAAACGCGGCGAGGAATGAGGCGTCTGGATCAGAGGTCGGCACGGCAGTGGGACAAAGGTTGAATAGTTGCATGTAAATTGTAAATGTGTGCAACTTCGGATCGACTGCCAATCCAACCGGAAAATGGGATGTGCACCTTGTGCAGGTCAGACCTCTCCAAAAGTGGACAAGGCAAGATCAGCCCGTGACCTTCGGACATTTGTCGAATTGGAAGCTGTACACGTAGTTCAATAGAAGTGGTGATGGCATGCACATCATGCGGTCCATTCTGCATGTTCTGCCAGTGCTTTCTCGGGGCGGGAGCCACTTGGACCTGCTGTCCAGTGCTGTTGTCAATGAGATTTGTCTCCAAGCCTGGCTTGGTGGAGTGTTCGACCTTCCTCATGCCCTGTGACCATCGCTGCGCTTTCTTCAGCCAGGTCGCATTCCAGGGGAGCACTACCTTGCTGTGCCTCGACTGGTGGGACTACGTAAAATGGAGGAGATGGAGCAGTCGTCGCGGCATATAGATCGGCGGTACTCGTAGGCTAAAACCACCACTTTGGCACCGCACAGGGGCTGCGTCTTGTCGGGTCTCAGCTTCACTCCTGTGTCACTCGGTTTTCGGCTTGTCTAAGGCAGCGTTTCAGTCGAATGACTTCGCTTTTCTTCTTTGTTTGCTGACTGGTGAATGAGGTGGGGCGAGATGACAGGACGTACGTGCTGGGCACTGCAATGGAAAGAAGTAGAAAATTCAGGAAACATACATGCAGTCAATACGAACAAGCATGTAGTTCGAAAGGAAGCTTCCAGATTCCAGACTGCTTCAAACCTGAATTCTGAGGTGCTGTTCCATGGCGGTGTTTGCTACCTGCTTGGGGTGCCCCGGCTGCACCCCCGCGGGTTTCGGATAGCTTCGGAAGCGTCCACTTCAGCCTGACTTCAGCATCGAAGTAATTGGGGACTCCTGGGGCTGGGGCTTGGCTATCGGACGAAATTTGCCTGGGTTTCAGATTTTTACTGTATATCTAATTCATCAGCCTTTTCTTGGTGAGCATTGCCAGTGTTGTAAGACTGTGGGATCCCAGTTCTCGTTTCCGAACAGCTATGGCAATGACTTGAGTAGGGGAGCGTGGATCCTGCCCGTAGAGACCCTTTGTACTTGGTCGTCCAGCAGTCATAGCTGGGGTTACCTGTAAGGCATCCTTCGGCTTCAGCTTTGCCTTGGGTGTCAGCTCCGGCCTCAGGATTGACAAACTCGGCCGTTGCACACAAGTATCGTGGCATCTCTCTCCGGCACACGTGCTCCAACTCTTTCGCGCGGCTCTGGACCAATTGCAGTTCCGTAGCTTCGGAAAAGCCTCGCACAGCTTGCACCAGACTCTTTTTGAGCAAGCAGCCGGCATCACTGAGGTGAGGGCCCCGAACCGCTGTTTTTGAAGGTTCGGACGTGGGAAGCTGTGGGAAGGGGGAGCAGTGACGCTCGGGTTTCAGGTGACCACTGAACTTGTTAACTTGTTTGTACAGGGGGAAAGCCGCAGCCCTCTCATTTGCAAGAGCTATATGACTATATGGCTTCTTGGCCAGGAGCGCTACTTCTTTGGACAGACCGAGTTTGGCTGGTTCTTCATGGCCTTGGCACCCAGAGCTTCGGCTCCGCGGGCCCGGCGTGTCCCACTGTGGTCCCTGCCCTGACACGAGGTGTCGAACGCCTCGACCTTGATGTGGTCTCCGGTGATCCCCATGTCCTCGGCTCAGCTTGACTCCACGTAGCTCCCGGCTGAAGAGCAGCTAAAGCCAGTACAGGTTGAAACGAAGCGTGTATTTTACACTCTGCTGACGACGGGCCAGAATCGGGGCCCAGACTTTCAGCAGAAGGTCGACAGCCAAAGAAGGGAATACTGACAGTGCAGTCAGGTGAAAGGATAAGGCAGCCCCAGAAACACAGACAGCCAAGGACAACAACATGAACCAGAGAATTCCAAGCCTCGGAGCATGCTGACAGGTTTATTTCCTATGTGGGGGCGCGAATAGCGTGCGCCTGTGGCTGCTTGGGTTCTGCCAGCGCCGGCGTCCCAGGACGCCCAGATGTTTCTCGAGGTAATCCCAAGGCTCACAGCAGTTTACGGATGGCTAGTGGCTGCTCGTGGGTGACTACAAATGGGATCTGCTTGGCAGCTTTGGACTAGAATCCCCAGTGCCCTCCTTCGCTCTCAAGGCCTTACTCTTCTTGATCGCGCTGAAGGGGTGCAAGTGGGTGCCATACATCTACGCGGGAGCCTCAGACGTGCAGTAAGGTCCTTTTGGCAAGCTTTAGACGAGCCAGGCAGTGAGGTTTCGGCCTTGGGCTCCAACACAAGTGCAGCAGCAGAGTGCCCGAAGAAGCTGCGAACCAGGCACAAGCACTTCGCTCCAGAAAAGGCCCAATTAATGAGTCGATGACCGTCTATCCCAGATGACAGACGTGTTTCTCCTAATTCCATGGACTGCATCCTTCAGTCTTCTCCGGGCCCACTGTGACGATGTGCCAGTCTCCGAGGTTGCAGCGACGGTGGGCCTTTTTTCAACGATGGTTGGACTCGGCTTTATGGGTGCCGGTCCCAGGTACCGAGTAAAGCATCTGCCATCGCGGTGCTTCCTTCTGAAAGCCCCGGACCCTCTCGGCTGGCTGGGAGCACCATCGTTGCTGTCACAGACGGGCATGACCATGACACTGCGACACTGCGACTGCATCTTCCGACTGCTTGGTCTTTCCCTCCCTGCCCGCTCCTCTCAAAGGTTCGCGAAGGTTCAAGCTGAAGCATCCCCGAAAGGCTTTGCCAGCTTTACCTGCTCCGAAGGTTACCGTAGCTTCTTGGCGCACCTAAGCCCGCCTCTCCGACAGCCCAGCCTACGCTCTCTCCAACCTCGCAACCCAGAATCATCAACGAAAGCACCAGATAGCGCGCCCCAGCATGATCCGACTGTGCTTCGGCCTTCTTCTGGCGCCTGCCCACGCTGCCTTCTGCCCGAAGGGCCGCGTGGCAAAGGAACGTAGATCCTCAGTTCATGTGTGCTGTTCTTGTCACACTACTCTCCGGGGCTTTGCCGGCTGAAGCTTTTTTACAATGAAGCACAGTTGCATCTGGAACATGGTCTGTTCTGAGAACCACGTTCGATTTCAAGGTTGGGCAACACGGCACTGTGGCAAGACTGCTGCAAAACGTCGACTGACGAAACCATAGCCTGTTCCTGCTATGTAGTGTTTGTTCCAACGACATGCACACTATTGTCTGCACGACTCTTCTTCTTGCCTGAGAGTTGCCTCCTCCTGCGACGGCGCATTGAACATGGGAAGCAGTTAAGGAAACGCCTCGTGGCTTCGGGTGCATAATACACCTGCAGAGCGAGAGAGAGAGACAGAGAGAGAGAGAGAGAGGCCAGAGCAGGAGAGGAGGTAAACGCTATGATTCGCTGGAAAGACCTGCGCTTCTGGCGAGCAGAGCAACGCAAGCCTCCCAGAGACAGAGTTAGCCACGCTGCCCGCTTCAACCCGGAGGGGGATGTGGAGAGAGCCCTAGAAAGCATCGGGGGAACAAACTGGGGCGACCTAGCAACGGACCGCACCCGGTGGCAACTACTCACAGCCAGCTTTGTTGACAAGTTCGACGTTCCATGGGCAACAGGCAAGCAGACCAGCATCCAAAACAACCTTGTTCCACACACGCCCCGGGGACCACCCCGCACACCCACGCTGACAAGCTAACACCTTTAGCAAGCCTCTCCGCCACAGCCACAACCAAGCAAGCAACCACAGTGAGTGAAGGGAGCAAACCTGAGATACTGTGACAGCTGCTGACCTACCACTTGAGGGGAGAGAACAGAGATTCTGCGATGTACACTTCATGACAGTCTTTGCTTGTTTGTTTCTGTACTGCAACCATGTTCTTGCTGACAGTCTGACAGCCTGCCTGCAGCAGAGGGGGGAAGGCATACACAGACGCTGCAGCCCTTGACTCCAGCGACTCCCCACGGCCCGAACCCTAGCCGCACACATGGCTTCGAAGGGGGGAGCGCTACTGTGCTTCGCAGCGACCGGCCTGTTGCTGCTCAATTTCCTGGTCAGTCCCACACAGGGCCGACCAACCATCCCCAATGACGGGGGAAACAGTGAGGGGCCACGCATGACCCGACTGGGCGAGCCTCAAGGAGCAGGCCCTTTACCGCCGAGACGTGCCGAACAAGCAGCCACGGCAGGAGGAACCTTACCAGCCACAGCCACACAACACGACAGCCGAACGGGGGGGGCAGCCGGCCACCTACCCAGCACACCTCAGCAACCTGGTCACCACACATGAGAAGGGGCCATGCCCACACAGCAGCCGCAACAGCAGCAGCCGCCGACACACCCGCAGAGCAACGTCGCAGCGAGCTCCTCACACAACTGGCAGACCCCGCAAACCCCACAAGCCTACGGACAACAACCACAAGCCACGGCGATGCCGCAACACGCGGCGCCCCAGCAATACCACTGGCAGCAAGCTCCCACAGCGCCAATCCCACAATACAACCCAGCAACAGATCCATGGCCGCAGCCCTACGATGACCAGTCACCACAAGAGCAACAACCACCAACGGGGGCAACAGCCTCCCACCTCCACCACCACCAGCAACCACAAGGTCTGAGCTCGCACATTGGAGCCAGACTCACAGCCCAACCACCACCCAACCCGGTTCAACAGGTAGCCGAAGGGCTATCACAACTCTACCAGCAGCAGCTAGCCTCCCAGCAGGGGGGAACCCCACCACCACCATACACAGCGGCCCAGCTCGCACAAGACCACGGCTTTGCCTCCTACGACGCCTGGGGGAACCTCCGCGATCCCAATGGCCAGATCATCGAGCCACCTCCCGACCAGCACAGAGCGGAACAACTACCAACGGGAGCTCCACTCCGACCACACGGCCCACATGGAGTTGCCTTCGCCACCACCTACAATCCAGACACCGACCCATGGGCAGAAGCCACGGCACCCACACACCCCACGCAACAAACACCGGAGCCACAGCCACACTGGGCAACAGCACACGCGGAGCCGACAACAGCCACAGCAACCCAGCCCCACACCACAGCCGAAGCCGGCGCGGAGCAACAGCACCACCACCAAGACACACAAGCCACAGCAGAGGCCCCGACGCAGGGACAAACACCAACGGAGGGAACACCACACAAGCCCTTCCGTGAGCACCCCTTTCAGGCCGCCACGGGCAGCAACCTACCGCCCGGCGGAACTAAAGCCATCCCTGGCATGACCATGCGTGAACACTACCACTGGATCACAACGGGGGAAATACCCACGAGCTACATCCACCGTGAACTCCTGCCGGGCTTCACAGACGCTACAGCAACGAATGATGGCGCGGCGGGGGACGCACCAGCACAAACCACCACCACACCCCGACGCCGCAGCAGCCACCGCCCGCAGCACAACCACAGAAAGCATGAAGGCGGGGGAGCCACACGCACCCGCAACAAAGCAGAGAAGTTTCGCATGAAGAGATGGCTCAAAGCCCATGGCCTTCACCACACCAGATGGGACCAGCACCTCCTGTACCAGACTCACCCCGCCTCCACAGCAACAAGCAACACCACACCCCACCACACGGGGGACAGCAGTCCCGACAACGACCCACCAACCACCTGGCAGCCGCCACAGCCCACACGGGAGGAAAGAGCAGCCTACTTCCGTCTGCTCAACCCGGGACAGCCACTCCCCGCTCACCTCCAACCGGAAGCACCACACACACGACAGTACGACCCAGCCGACGACACAACAGATCCACCCCAAAGTACCAAAGCAGCCACCTACACCCCCCATTGGCACCCGGACGGTTTCTCCGAGCAACCACCGCAACGCACCAGCTACTATCCAGCGCGGCAGCCAAAGCCACAGCCTAACCCACGGAAGCACAACAGGAACCACCACCGCCACCACGGCCACCAACCTTGGGGGGACAGAACACGGTCCCACCCCCACTTCCACACTCCAGAGCTACCGACATTACTCACACAGCCCTGCGGGCGGGCAAGTGGCTGACGAGAATAGCGTACAGCCAAAACCTGCCAACCACCCCGGGCGAAGGAGCAATCCCCCCGCCCACGGGGGGGATGCCCATGGCTGCTTATCCACCGATAAGCGGAGAGACATGGCTGCTGCAGGAGCCCCTCTCAGAAAGAAGATGGCTCGCCACAGTCACCCAGACACCCAGAGCCATACAGCCTAGCATTGCACGTGGGAGACCAGTTCCTCATGACCAGGGGGACCAACGGGTGGCACATGCAGTTCACCACCACCACACCAGACCGCTTCCTGCAGGAGGGGGACACCAACCACAGCCCCACAACCGACCAAGCACACAGCAGCACACAGCCGCAGCCGGAGAACACTCCGAGGCCAGAGGAGGACCCACCAGCGACAACACAGCAACAAGAGTGGCAGTGGAGGACAGACGACACTCACAACAACTGGGACTACTGGTACCAAGCACCACAAGAAGGAGCCGCGTCCCACACCGACGCCCAACAGCAGGCAGAGCAACCACAGACAGAACAACCAGCACAGCCGCAACAGCAACAAGACCCGCTGTCTGACGGCAGAACACTACGCCGCTCCAGCCCGGAAGCACAACAAGCTTCCCAAGCCCAAAGGCAGGCCCAACCAGCGCCTACCCCGTGGTTCCATCAATTCCGAGACGGAAGGCATATCGGTCCAAAACCGAGCCCAAGCCCAGCTCCGCACACTGACAGCGACCGCACAGATCTCATGCAGGGGGAGATCCATATCCACACCTCGACCTCTACCAGTACCACGTCGACACCGCCCACGGCAGGATCACCGAGACCGGAGGGGGAAAGCCACTGGAACGGCACCACCACAGACGAAGAAAACTGTGGGCTGACACGAAGGCGAAGGCGCACACCCTTGGGGGAGCAAGCCAGACGCCGCGTGTATGGCCGGCTACCCTCAGCAGCCGCGGGCTCCAATGACGCAGCCGCCGCGGGGGAACCACCAAGTGCACAAGCTCTACTTGCAGCACAGCGGGGAGCTATCACGGCCACCCTCGCCCAGCTGCAGATGATACACGAGATCGCGGACGGCCTCGCCAACAGAGATGGGGAAATCATCTCCAACATATGCGCCATTGCACTGCGCATGCTCTCGCAAGCCGACACCCACCCGGAAGCCAGAACGTGGGGGAGAGCAGTCATGGCGGAACCAACGGGGATGAGCGAGGCCTACCGCTTCGTATCCTCAATGAGGGTGAGAAGGGGCGAGGGCTTTACTCCAGAAGAGTTCGCCACGGACCTCAGCCAACTCAGGGCAATGATAGAGGCGGGCCTCTCCGAACTCCAGGAGCCGATGCCGGGGGATGTGACCGAAGCCAACCTCCACAAAGCCATGGCCAAACTCAGAGAGGCATACAAGATGGTCGACGGGGTGATCCTGCTGGCACTTGGAGGGGATCGCACATGGAACACGCTGGCATGGTGGGACGCCCTCCATGATCTACTGTCGCCAGCCGCACTGCTGTCAACCAAAAAGGGGGAAGCCTACCAGCAGCCCGGAGACTCAAAGACATCGTGCCCTACGTGACGGACACCGTGCTCATGCCCGTGATCGAACTGCTACATGCCATTGAAGCCTGGCAACAAGCTCTCTTCGGGGGAGCACACGCGGTGCATGAAAGTACCCAAACGGGGGAGACCCACGTGGACCACACGGGGGAGCCCGAGACCGCCCACGACTCCCACGCGCCGGTTCGCGAGAACACCGAGGAGGAGACGGCGGCCTACAACGGGGAAGCCGAGACCGACCACGGCTCCACCGCGCAGCTTCGCGACGGCGCCGCGGAGGGCACGGACCAGCCCACCGACACCACAGGGGGAGAAGAGCTCCCAAACATGCAAGGGGAGCACTCACGGCTGCCCAGATGGAGGCAATGATGACCGCCAGCCTCCAACAAGCCGTCAATGC